CTAATTCAAGTGGTCATTTTGAATTTCATATCCTAATAATGTCATAAGAAATAGAGCTTACAAAGCACACATTTACTACTTTCTGTAGGGATATTGAGCAATGTTGCTTATCAAATACACTTAACTTTTTAAGAATAGAATTTGACTCATAACCCAAAACTCTGCAAAAATCTCTTTTCCTTCACATTAGAGAGAAATTCCTCCATTCACTGCTTAGTGACTATCATGGAGGCAGGTAAGTGCTTGTTTGGAAAATTTCCAGAGGGGGGTCGTGTGTGGTATCTGGGTCCCCTGCAGGTTATATGCAGAGGCCCAGCCGAGAGGAGCTGAGCTTCCCGTGATGAGGAGAGACTTGACTTCTTCATGTACATTGGAAATTAACCTCCAATGTTGGAGAATTAGGCTATCTAAATTATAAAGATGCTATGCCCGAGGTGGACTTAATATGTTTAAGATGGCGGCCCACATGAAAATTCATGTCAGGATTCCTCTGTAGAAAGTGGTGTTTGATGTATGTCTACTTTATTTATGTGACACTGTTTATGTGCATTCCAGTGATGACTAACAAAGGTCACTTGGTGGAAAACCGTGATGAAGGTGGATTTTGAAATGGCTGTATCAGCTGCAGGTCTGGCAAGACCACAGGGACTCTGAGTCTTGTGAAAATTGCCACATCAGCTTGTGCTCAGCCAACCTTACATGGAGAGAAAAGGCAGTTTAGTCAACCATGCAAAAAAATAAATAAATAAAACAACAACAACAACCAAAAAAAAACAAACAAGAAAAAACTCCCAAAACAAAGAAACACAGAACTGTCACAGATTTCATTAAGGCAACCTTAGGTATGTGTGGGCATTTGGGGGCCAGGAGGATGTATGGTGGCTGACTTTGGAGAGACACTGCCTAATTTCTTATTGGGACCTGCATCTCAGTAGTTGGTCTCTGACCCTCTCTATACTTCAGTTTCCAAATATGTACAATGGAAGAGGGAGAGCCTGGGTGGCTCTGTTGGTTGGCTATCTGATTCTTGATTTCTGCTCAAGTCATGGTCTTTGAGTTTGTGAGTTCGAGCCCTGCATCAGGCTCCACACTGACAGTGCAGAGCCTGCCTGGTATTCCCTCTCTTTCCCTCTCTCTCAAAATAAATAAATAAACTTTTGAAAAAAATATGTTAAATGGGAACAATAATCATTTGGAATTCAAGGAGTTGTTTGGGATTAAATGAGATGACACACATACAGCTCTTAAAATGCATGAAGTCATCAACCTATTAGCTCTTTCCATTTTTAAATGTGAAACTGGAAAACTGAAGGTAAATGCAGTTCATGTCAGCTGTCTTTGTGAATTTCCTTTACTTCTATCCCTCTTTTTCACTGGGCACCCCCAGTTTTTAAAGTCTAGTTTAAAATGTTCACCACTGGTGATGATCAAGGATCAAGGTTCCATGATCATGGAGTTCTACTTCTATGATGAAAATATTTGCGAAGCAATTGGACAGGCAATAAGTAAAGATGAGGATGTTCTCCCTTCAATTAGTTTGAACATCGCTATGAAAACCAGTAGAAGACAAATACCATATGATTTCACTCATATGTAGAATTTAAGAAACAGAACAGATGAATAAATGGGAATGTTGGGGTAGGAGGGAGAGAATAGAGGGAACCAAACTACGAGAGACTCTTAAGGACAGAGAACAAACTGAGGGTTGATGGAGGGAAGAGGGTGGGGGATGGGCTAGATGGGTGATAGGTATTAAGGAGAATGGGTGATGGGTATTGTTACGATGAGCACTGGGTGTTCTATGTAAGTGATGAATCGCTGAGTTCTACTCTTGAAACCAATATTGTGTTGTATGTTAACTAACATTTAAATTAAAAACAACAACAATGACGAAACCAGTGCGAACCTATGAAGGCTAGAGTCTGTCAGGATGCTCTCAGACAGCACTGGATCTTCGAGAAGGTGGAAATAGCCCGCCACTAAGCTGTATAACAAACTCTGGATGTACTTCAGGACTAGTTCTAGAGGAGACAGTAAAGTTCATTGCCAACCGAACCTACTTCTCAGAAGGGTTCAGTATTTCAGCAACATTAAAATATAGGAAATGAGGGAAACATTATATGAATAGAAATATGTGAATTATAAATTTGGGGGAAGGGCTCTTTGAAGTAAACACTCACAAATAAAAATCATGAAGTTGTGTTTATGGGAGAATTTTCTGGAGATGTTTATGCCAGGACAAAATAGTCTTTGTGCTATTTTAATTTTTAAAAGTGGTTCTAGCTTTTTCAACATAGCCTATTCTGGTCTAGTTCCAAGCATTAATAGCAGATACATAGTTCCTCATTTTCCTCATGACTGAAACCTGAGAATATTGTTTTACTTCTAATGTGCTTTAGAAACAGTGGTTGCATTTTAGAAGGAAATTGCACATGAATACAGGTCATCAAAATATCAGACACACTTCTATCACTTGCAGACTAAGCTTGGTTGGAGGATGTTTCTTGTAGGTGAATCGAGTTACTATAATGAAATATAATTGTCTCCCAGAGAATGAGTCAGGAGGTGAATGTGAATTTATTTGGCTTATGGTGGGTTAACATTAGGAGTTCTTGTGTTCCTGAAATTGGGAGGGCTAAGATGGAGAAGCTAAGAAGAGAAACAAAAAACCTAGAGGCAATAAGACTCAGAATAAGCAAATAATAACTTCCTTCCCAAAGCATACACATCTATATGCATACATACACATGAATATACACACATAAACACTATATGTATGTACACATTTATATACATATGTTGCATATCTATTTTAAAAATAAAAAATATTTCACTTTGGTTTAAAAAAAATCACCTCCATCAATCTGGGTTACAGGAAATCTGGAGCAAATAGCAGTTCACATGGAAGAAGGCATTTTTTGTATTGTTGCTTACAGCCCTCCTTTGAGCTGGTAATCTAAGTTTACTAACAGAAGAGTGACTGCGTGCTAAGGAACAAAGGACAGAATATTTTTCCTATGTTTTCCCCAACTCAGAAAACATTTGGAATTTTGTATTCAGTTCATGGGAACTGCATTTGATAGTAAGTCTGCATTTAGAGCATCACGACAAAGCAATGAGGTCTTGTTAAATGATGAATATCTTCAGGTAAATAGAAAGTTGATGCTGAAAACTTTGCATTCCGGAGACGATATAGGATTGGCATGTTCAGATGTCTGGAGGAGAGTGACAGGAAATGGAATCAGCATCTTTTCTGATGTTTTGGAGCATGGAATTTACGAGGCACCTTGAGAATCAATACAGGGAAAGAAAAGCTCCTCCAACAGGAAACTTCCATAAAACAAAAGAACTATCTTCGGAGCAAGTGAATTTCCTGTCACTGCAGTGTTCCAAGAGGGGCTGGTTGGTAGAGAGATGGTTCTTTGTTAGAGCTGAGTTTGGGGTGGCGTAGCTACAAGGGCCCCTTCCAAACCCACGGTTTACCTGGCCGGTCCCCTCGTCCGGTTGGTGGTCATCTACATCCCCCTTTCCCCTTTGTGCCTCCTCTCTACTTTCTAACTTCTTATTTCCTTTTAAATGAATAGCTTTTAATCTTTCTGAGCAGGTTTCATGTTTATAGAAAAATGACGGTAAAGTACAGAGTCCCGTATCCCCCTCATGCCTCCACACTCTTACTCACATCTTGCGTTAGTGTAAAACATTTGTTTTAGCCGGTGAGCCGATATGAATATATTGTTATTAACTAAGTCGTTAATTTACATGGTTTCACTCTGTGCTGCACATTCTATGGATTTTAACACATGTATAAAATAATGATATGTGTCTGCAATTACAGTATCATACAGAGCGGCTTCGCTGCCCTAAAAATCCTCTTGATCCACTATGCATCTCTCCTTGCCCCTAACCCCTGATGATTACTCATCTTTTTACTGTCTCTGTATTTTCACTTTATTCAAAATGCGACATTTTTGGAATTACATCGTATGTAGCCTTTTCAAATTGACTCTTTCACTTAGCAACGTGCATTTAAGATTCCTCCATAACTTTTCGTGGTGTGAGAACTTATTTCTTTCTATTACTGAAGATGTGTCACCCTTTGTTTATCCATTCACCAGTGGAAGTTTTCCATTCATTTAGGTAAAGACCAAGGAGTACACTTGCTGGGTTGTATGGTAAGAATATGTTTAGTTTTGTAAGAAACTGACAAACTGCATTCCAAAGTGGCTGTAGCATTTTGCATTCCCATCAGCAATTAACGGGAGTTCCTATTGTTCCATATCCTTGTCTGCATTCACTATTGTTGTGCTTTGGGTTTATATTATTCAGATAGGCACACACTTAGCGGACTGCCTTTCCTGCCTCATATTCAGATATGTTATTTCCAAATTACTATAAGAAATACACTTAAGGGGTGCCTTGGTGGCTCAGTCGGTTGAACGTCCAACTATTGAGTTTGGCTCAGGTCATGATCTCTTGGTTTGTAGGATGGAGCCCCACATCAGGCTCTGTGCTGACAGCACGAAGCCTGCTTGGGATTCTCTCTCTCTCTTTTTCTCTGCCCCTCTTCTGGTTGCAAGTGAGTATGTGTTTGCAAGCGAGTATGTGTGCTCTCTCTCTCTAAACAGAGAAATGCATTTAGGCTATGTTTATGAAATATAATGTCACTATTATCATTCAGAATCCAGATGGAAAGACACTGGAAACAAGAGAACAAGCACTTATTTAATATTAATACTGTTGATAATAATCGTAATAATATAAATTTATTTATAAATTGTAAAAATATAAAAGTCCTTGTGAGGACTTTCTGAGTTCATTTGGAAAAGCAGTGCTACCAGGAGAACATGCACAAAACATATTTCTGATCAATCCTTCTGTGCAGTCGCACTCAAAAGCCTTATGAGACATTGGTGGTCATCGTATGATAGTTCTCTCGAGGGAACTATTTTTTGCAAGTGCTACTGATTCTCGATTGACATTTCTCAGTGTCTTTGTTTCAGGTCTTTCAAGTCGCCTACGTCATCATCAAAGCTGCCAATGCCCCTCGACCCGGAAACTGGATTCTGGAGCGTTCCCTGGATGGCACCAAGTTCAGTCCCTGGCAATATTATGCCGTCAGTGACACAGAGTGTTTGACCCGCTACAATATCACTCCAAGACGGGGGCCGCCCACTTACAGGGCCGATGACGAAGTGATCTGCACCTCCTACTATTCTAGACTGGTGCCGCTTGAGCATGGAGAGGTACCGTGCCCCCGCCAGTGACGTCTGGTGTTTCACCAGAGCCCTCACCTCCCATGTTAAGATAGCCATTGTAAGAGCCAACAATGAACACTCAAAATAGATCTCTCTTAGTACAGATTACAGAGATCTTTAATCTAACTGGCTAGCTGTGCTTAAGGTATTGACTGATGTCTGCTGATGATTGATGTCATAACCCGTACATTTCACCTTATTGATTTCATCCTTTCTAGGAGAGCCCTGGTCTTCACTCAGCTGTAACTCAATAGCTCTATCAGAGCCTCTTCAGAGCATCGTTCCCACGACAACAGCACAAGGACATTTGTCAGAATATTAAGGAGAGGACTAAAATGCCTCGAAAAGATGTAGTTTCTAGTTTTCTTTGTGGAGTTCTCCTGTTTGGCGGTGTTGAGCCTTGGAGGTGGCTCATAAAGTATTTCAGCCCCGTGCTCACCACACCCAGACCGTACACACTTCATTAAAGTCAGAATGTAATAAAAAATAAACCGTTCTTTAGTAGCACCTGGCTTGATGAGATAAAACTACAAAACCTCTCCCCAGCACTTTTCACAGCAGGAATGCAGCAGCAAGCCTGCCTTGTTTCAAGAGCGAGAAACTATACAAAGCTTCCTGGCACCTTCTCTCACTCTCCCCAGTCTGTGCCTTTCACTTAGAATGTGTTTCAGAGAAATCGTAGCCTAATGAAACATGTTAAAATACCCTCACTACCCCGGGAGAAGTGGTTCTGTGTCCACAAGTAGTAGTTAAGGAACGCTGGATTTCTACAAGAATCTAGTTGCTTGGTTTGGTTTTAGATAGTATCAGTAAAGATTATACCTATACCCTCAGGATAAACAATCAGGGCTATATTTTTGCATGCTTAAAATTGACATTTATTTATTTTGATGTCTTTATCTTTAGATTCATACGTCACTGATCAACGGCAGACCGAGCGCGGATGATCTTTCACCCAAGCTGTTGGAGTTTACTTCTGCACGATACATCCGCCTTCGCTTACAGCGTATCAGAACCCTCAATGCCGATCTTATGACCCTGAGCCACCGTGACCCTAAAGACCTCGATCCTATTGTTACAAGACGGGTAAGTCTACGGCAAGGCTCCCGCCCCTTGTGAAAAGTTTATTTTGTTCAAGAGAAATAGCCTGTTCTTTTCGGTTGGCCTTTACCTCCCAAATTAGCCTTTTTTTTTCTTATTTCATTGAGGATTATTATATATGTTTTGTTTAATGTGCCACCTCTAAGCAGGATGGTTCTGACCTCGTGTCCTTGAGCCCCCTCCTCCCATAATGCCATAGCGAAGCGAATGTTGTGGTATTTGCTTTTCACATTCTGCTCTGGCTCCACATCTGATCTTCAGCAAGTCACTTACAAGAAAATTTTAAAATTTGACTTATTATTTATGTTCAAGGAGAGGTACAAATTTTAAGTTACAGTAGACGTACAAGGTTTGTACGGACAAACATTTTCCAGTCCCTTGGATAAATGAGAAGTAGAGTTACTGAGGTATAGGGTGGCTGTGTGTTTAATATTTAGGAATTTGCTAAGCATTATGGAAAGGCTTTTTTGCAGACCAGCAATGTGTGAGAGTTCTGTCACATGACACGCTGTCACCGACGTGGGTTGTCACCCAGTTTCACATCAGCCATTCTGAAGTGCATGTGGCGTCAGTTCCTTGGGATGTTAATTTGGATTTCCCTGACCACACATGTTGAACAGGTGCTTATTGGTACCTGATCGAATCTTTTTGTCCATTTTTCATTTGGGTCATTTCGTCTCCCTATTACGGAGCTATAAAAGACCTTTATATATTTTGTCTGAAAGTCCTTTGTCACGTGTCTACACTGCAAAGATCTCTGTCTGGAGCTTGCTATTCACTTTCCCATGACATTTGAGAGGCTTTAATTTTGATGAAGTCCAACGTACCATTTAAAATTTTATATTAATGCTTTCTATATCCTTTTTGAAAAATAGTTTTTTATTCCGGGTTTGACAGCTATTGTCCTTTCAAATGAATGTTTGTGTTTGGTGTAAGGTAGAGGTCAAGGCTCTTTGTTTCCCCGTCTAAACATACAATTGTTCCAGCACCGTTTGTTGAAAATATTTTCCTCCATTAAATTGTTTTGGTGCCTTGTTGAAAATTATTTGACCTTACGATTGTCTACCTCCATGTCTGAGCTCCATGCTAGTCTATTGATCTATTTGTCTGTGTTTATGCCCATAACAAGCTTTCTCGATTGCCGTAGTTTTTAAGAGTAAATCTTGAAGTCAGGCCCTATGGTAGCCCTACTGAATTATTTTTTAATATTTTTGGTTATCCTAGGTTGACTGTGTTTCCTTATAAATTTTAGAATCAGTTTGTTAATTAGTGTCAAAAAAAATCCTGCTAAGATTTTCATTGGGATTTCCCTGGTTTGATCAGTTTGGGAAGGATTTTGGAAGACAGTTTGACAGTATTGTATCATTTGATCCATAAACACGTTATATCTCTCTACTTATCTAGGTCCTCTGTAGTTCTTCTTGGCAATGTTTTATTATTTGTTTATTTGTACGTCTATAATTCAGTGTATTCTTAAGTATTACACATTTTTGCATGTTAGACTTCATAGATTGCTTTCTAAATTTTATTTTCCATTTGTTCATTGCTAGTGTATAGAAATACCTTCATTTTTGTTTATTGTTTTGCCTATTAAGACATGGCTAAAGTCACATAGTGTTTCTAGTAGTTTTTTTTTTTTTTTAGATTTTTCCTAAGTACACAATAATATTACCTGCAAAAATTGAGAGTTGGGTCTTACTGCGTCCTCTGTACACCTTTGATTTCTTTTTTCTTGCATTATTGAACTGGCTGGCACCTCCCATGGACACGGAACGGAAATGGTGAGAGCAGATTGTAAGAGGAGACCACTTCATCTTTCACTTCAAGCTTTTGGTGGCTCATGGATTCCCTTTATTAGGCTGAGGAGATCCTCTTCCACTGGTTCCCCAAGTGTTTTTCACGAATGATGATAAATTCAGGGCTTTTTGTGAATCTATTTGAAATGATCAAACGCTTTTTTTCTCCTTTATTCTATTAAGACAGTGATGTAAAGTTATGGATTTATGTGTGTTGTATTTTGGAGGAAAATCCTACTTGGTCATGAGTTATTATCCCTTGTATAAAGTACTATATTGAGTTATATAGTGCTGTATTCAATGTAATGATGTTTTTTACGGTTTTCAGTGACATGAGTTTTGAATATGACTGCCTGGTATAAGGTGCAGTTATAAGAATTTCTTGGTTTAAGAATTTCTTTTAGATGCCTTTGGTTTTTGTTGATGAACTCATTTGAGCATTATTTGTTTTCATTGAACACAGGATTCTTTGTACATGAAATATAATTTAAAATGTATATCTAATTATTTTTTAGGTTACCAATAACAACTGAGCTATTTATTGATGAGCCCAACGTTTTCTGTTAACTGAAATAGAAGAGGCCTTAATTTTTGTTTGTCATTTTTGTTTTCCTTAGTATTACTATTCAATCAAAGACATTTCTGTTGGCGGAATGTGTATTTGTTATGGCCATGCTAGTAGCTGCCCGTGGGATGAAACTACAAAGGTGAGTTCTAGTATTTTACAGTGTATTGAAGCTTCAAAATTGAAATTACAGCTATAATGTTTTACTTACTAGTTTTTATATTCAAGTCAGATGTTAAAAGGTATAAAATCACACTGCAGAAAAAGATTTATCAGATAATTTAACTGGTTTCATTTTTTGAACAATTTTATTTCACTTTGGAGGATATACATACACACACACACACACACACCCATATATATATATATATATATACATTTGTTTTCCTACTATGTCCAGCACAAAGCAGGGATTTTTTTTTTTTTTTTTGGTTTCATCATGATGAGTGTACTCTTTATGTTCTATCACTTATTTCACCCATCCCCCTATATCCCACCCACCTCCCCTCTGATAACCATCAGCTCATTCTCTATAATTAAGGGTCTGATTCTTGGTTTGCCTCTTTCTTTTATTCCCTTTGCTCATTTGTTTTGTTTCTTAAATTCTACATACAAATGAGATCATATGGTATTTGTCTTCCTCCAGCCGTCTTATTTCACTTAGCATTACACTCTCTAGACCTATCTATGTTATTGTAAATAGCAAGATTTCATTCTTTTTTATGGTGGAATAACATTCCATGGTATATATATACTGTTATTTTCTTTATTCATTCATCTATCAGTAGACACTTGGGCTGATTTCGTAGTTTGGCTTTTGTAAATAATGCTACTATAAACACAGGGGTGCATATGTCGTTTTGAATTAGCATTTTTGTTTTTTAGGGGGTAAATACCCAGTGGTGTAATTACTGGATTGTAGGCTAGTTCTATTTTTAACTTTTTGAGGAGCCTCCATACTGTTTTCCACAGTGGCTACACCAATTTGGATTCCCACCAACAATAGTGCAAGAGGGTTCCTTTTTCTCCACATCCTCGCCAACACCTGTTGGGTTTTTTTTTTTTTTTAATGTTTATTTATTTTAGAGAGAGAGAAACAGAGACAGAGTGCAAGTGGGAGAGGGGCCGAGAGAGAGAGGGAGACACAGAATCTAAAGCAGGCTCTAGGCTCTGAGCTGTCAGCACAGAGTCCAACACAGGTCTCGAACTTGTGAACCATGAGATCATGACCTGAGCCGAAGTCAGATGCTTAACTGACTGAGGCACCCGGGTGCCCCAACACCTATTGTTACTTGTGTTGTTGATTTTAGCATTCTGACAGGTGTGAGATGATATCTCACTGTAGTTTTGATTTGCATTTCCCTGATGATGAGTGATGTTGAGCATCTTTTCATGTGTCTGTTGGTTTGGAAAAATGTCTGTTCATGTTTTCTGCCCATTTTTTAATTGGATTAATTGGTTTTTTGGGGTGTTGAGTGGTATCAGTCTATATATTTTGGGTACTAACCCTTTATCACCTATGTCATCTGTAAATATCTTCTCCCATTCAGTAGGTTGCCTTTTAGTTTTGTTCCTTCACTGTACAGAAAGTTTATTTTGATTTAGTCCCAAAAGTTTATTTTTGCTTTTATTTCCCTTGCCCCAGGAGACATGTCAGAGAAATGACTGCCTGAGGTCTCCTCAAGGATTTTCATGGTTTCAGGTCTCACATTTAGATCTTTAATCTATTCTGAGTTTATTTATATGTATGGTGTGAGAAGGTGGGCCAGTTTCGTTCTTTTGCATGTAGCTGTCCGGTTTTCCCAACACCATTTGTGAAAGATACTGTCTTTTTCTCACTGTATATTTATTCCTCCTTTGTCAAAGATCACTTGGCCAAAGAATTGTGGGTTTATTTCTTGGGTTTTAAGTCTATTCCACTGATCTATGTGTCTATTTTTCATATCAGTGCCGTACTATCACTTTGTAATGTAACTTAAAATCTGGAATTGTGATACCTCCAGTTTTGTCTTTCATTTTCAAGATTGCTTTGGCTGTTTGAGGTCTTGTGTGGTTCCATACAACTTGTAGATTTATTTGTTCTAATTCTATGAAAATTTCTGTTGGTATTTTGATAGGGATTGTGTTAAATCTGTAGATTTCTTTGGATAGTATAGACATTTTAATAATAATTGTTCTTCCAATCCATGAACATGGAATTTCCTCCCATTATTTTGCATCTTCTTGAATTTCTTTCATCAGTATTTTATAGTTTTCAGAGGACAGTTCTTTCACCTCTTTGGTTGAGTTTCTTCCTAGATATTTTATTGGTTTTGGTGCAGTGGTAAATGGGATAGTTTTCTTTCTTTTTTTTTTTTTTTAATGTTTATTTAGTTTGAGAGCGAGAGAGAGATAAAGAGTATGTGTGAATGGATGAGGTATGGGGTGGGGGCAGAGAGAGGAGGAGAGAGAATCCCAAGCAGACTCCACTCTGTCAGTGCAGAGCCTAATGGGGAGCTTGATTCCACAAACTATGAGATCATGATCCGAGTTGAAATCAAGAGTCAGACATTTAACCTGCTGAACCACCCAGGTGCCCCAATGGGATTGTTTTCTTAATTTCCCTTTCTTTTGCTTCATTATTAGTGTATAGCAATGCAACAGATTTCTGTACATTGATTTTGCATCCTGCCACTTTACCGAATTCATTTATCAGTTCTAGTAGTTTTTTGGTGGAGTCTTTAGGGTTTTCCATATATGGTATCATGTTATCTACAAATAGTGAGAGCTTTACTTTTTTTTTAAATAGTTTATTGTCAAGTTGGTTTCCATATAACACCCAGTGCTCATCCCCACAAGTTCCCCTCCTCCATGCCCATCTCCCCCCTTCCCCTCTCCCCCACCCCCATCAGCCCTCAGTTTGTTCTTAGCATTCAAGAGTCTCTCATGGTTTGCCTCCCTCCCTCTCCCTCACTATTTTTCCCCTTCTTCTCCTCCACGGTCCTTCATTAGGTTCCTCCTAACCCTACTCTACGTGCAAACGTGTGGTATTTGTCCTCTGCCTGACTTATTTCGCTCAGCATAACACCCTCAAGTTCCATCCATGTTGTTACACATGGCCAGATTTCATTCTTTCTCATTAGAGCTTTGCTTTTTCCTTTACAATTTGGATGCCTTTTATTTCTTTAGTTTATCTTTTGATTGTAAGATGTGCTTCTAATTAAGCATTTACTAGGAATGTTTTGTGGTAAGATATAGCTAACATAATATTTACCATTTTAACCATTTAGAAGTATACAGTTCAGTGGCCTTATGAATTTTGAAGCTCTTCTCTCTATAAGACTGTCAAGCAAAAGGCCAACAAAGTTATAAATTATGCTCATATATTTTTAAAAGAATGGCTCCCCTCCTCCCATTTCTCTCCCTCTTCCATTTCTGTGGCACTAAATCAAGAGAAAATCAAGTTTACCCATGTTAGCACAATACTAAGGGAATAATTTGACACCCTGTCTTCTCTTAAACAACTTATATGAAGCGATTTGTTATTTCCCCCACACCCCCAATCTTCGTAATTCTCTGACTCTCGAATAGGATTATCCTCTTTTGAGGATGAAACCTCTGAAGATCAAGATAATTATTAATAGGAGCTTATAAGCCCTTAACATCAGTGCATGTTACTCTGAACACTTTTTGTTCATGAACCGATTTTATTTTTAGCCTTGTTGTGTCCCTCCTCGCTTCTCTTTGTCGCCGGGACACAGGTGTGTATTTTCCTCTAAGAGGTAAATGCCAGTATGCTTGATACAGCCGCGTGTCGTCCCGTGTACCGCCATGCCACGGATTTCCCTGGGGTAGGTTCTTCGTAAAATAAATATGCAGGCTCATTTTCAGAGGCGGTTTTGCATTCCCTGTTTCTAGAAACTGCAGTGTCAGTGTGAACACAACACGTGCGGGGAGAGCTGCACCCGGTGTTGCCCAGGCTACCACCAGCAGCCCTGGCGGCCCGGCACCGTTTCTTCTGGTAACACGTGTGAAAGTAAGTACACTGAGAGCTGGAAGAATGTCGTTGTCTTCCTTCTTAACATGCTTAACTTTATGAGGACCTGACATTTGTAGTTAGTACGTAACCTGTTTCCTTAAACATTCAAATAGTTCCCAAAGCTACATAGGACCTTAATACAACTTAAAGTGTTATGGCCCATGTGTGTCTTTTGGGATTTGCTATTTCAGCTAAAGTTCCTCTTCCCCTGTATTAGTTTATTCTTTATTAATGTGGGTTTAAGTTTTTTTTAATGTTTATTTATTTTTGAGAAAGAGACAGCATGGGCGAGGGAGGGGCGGAGAGAGAGAGAAGGGAACAGAGCATCCGAAGTGAGCTGTGTGCTGAGAGCACAGAGCCCGATGTGGGACTTGAACTCACAAACTTGAGATCATGACCTGAGCTGAAGTTGCATGCTTAACCAACAGAGCCACCCAGACGCCCCTAATTTGGGTTTAATTTTTAAATAGGCAATAGGTTCACATGGTTCCAACATCGACCAATATATACAAATATGTGGTGAAAAGTATCACTTCCGCTCCATCTCCATCCTTCCCACCTTTTACTGTTTCCTACTGTGGTCTTCCTGACATTCTTACGTAAATGAAGCCTACGTCGACACGTTCCTATCCCCAGGCTAGCTTGGACACAGAACCTAACATGTAATGCATGTCATTCTACACATTGCTTTTATATTTAACTATATATGCAATATGAAATGCTGTTCTCATTTTTAAATTTTATTGATTTTATTTTAATTCCAGTATAATTAACAGGTAGTGTTATGTTGGTTTCAGGTGTACAATATAGTGATTCAACAATTCTACGCATTACTCAGTGCTCACCATGATGAGTGTGTTCTTAATCCCCTTCACCTGTTTCACCCATCCCCCACCCACTTCTGTTCTCTTAACCATCACACTGTTCTGTATCAAAATGCTGTTATTAATTTTTTTAATGTTTTTTATTTATTTGTGAGAGACACAGAGAGACAGTGTGAGCAAGGGAGAGTCAGAGAGACAGGGAGACACAGACTCTGAAGCAGGCTCCAGGCTCTGAGCTGTCAGCACAGAGCCCGATGCAGGGCTCAAACCCACAAACCGTGAGATCATGACCTTAACCGAAGTCGGCGCTCAACTGACTGAGCCACCCAGGCGCCCCTCAAAATGCTGTTTTTAAAAACAGGAAGCACTGGGGCGCCTGGGTAGCTCAGTCAGTTGAGTGTCTTACTTTGGCTCACATCATGATCTCACGGTTCCTGAGTTCAAGCCCTGCATTGGGCTTGTTTGCTGATAGCTTAGAGCCTAGAGCCTGCTTCGGATTCTGTGTCTCCATCTCTCCCTGCCCCTCCCCTGCTAATGCTCTGTGTCTCTCTCTCAAAAATAAACATTAAAGGGGCGCCTGGGTGGCTTAGCCGGTTAAGCGTCCGACTTTCGCTTGGGTCATGATCTCGCGGTTCATGGGTTCGAGCCCCGCGTCGGGCTCTGTGCTGACTGCCAGCTCAGAGCCTGGAGCCTGTTTCAGTCTGTGACTCCCTCTCTCTCTGACCCTCCCTTGCTCGCGCTGTCTCTCTCTCTCTCTCTCTCCTAGAAATAAATAAAAACATTAAAAAAATTAAAAAAAATAAACATTAAAAATTTTTTTTAAATAAATAAAAACAGGAACACTGAATTCTATTAAATGGATGCCACCTAATTAAAATAGCTATCCATCCATGGATAGTTTGGGTGTTACCAGTCTTTTGTTAGCACAAACAGTGCTGCAGTGATTAACCCTGTACATGTCAGTCATAAGTGCAAAGTACTTCTGCAGGATATGATCCCGGAAGATAGGTTGAGGGGTCAAGTGGGTGTGCATGTTTATAGTTTTGACGGCGACTTCCATTGTCCTCCATCAGATTGTCCATATCCTATTAAAATGACCTATTCCGGAATTTTGATTTAATTTGCAGTCATAGACACTTACCTTGGGGAGGGAAGGGTTTTCTTTATATAGGACATAAGGGATATATGAATTGAGATGTTGAAATTCTCCTAGAGTGTAATTGTCACAATAAAGCCCAAGACTGTTACTATGATGGAAATGTTGCAAGTCAGAGGAGAAGCTTGAATATCGCAGGACAGTTCAGAGGAGGAGGGGTGTGCATCAACTGCCTGCAAAACACCATGGGAATCAATTGCGAAACCTGCATCGATGGATATTACAGACCGCACAATGTAAGAGTGTTTCTTCGCTGTAGCTGAATTTCATTGCCATTTCAAAGTGGAGACGAGACTTCAAGCGTCACCTTCATTATTAGAAAGTCATTTTCTTTTGTGATATTTCATTTAGATTCGTATTATGCCAGTAGCCTTTTTCACATATCAGGTTATTACTCTATCTGTGTGGTTTCTTGCTCAGAGTAGGATGGTCACTTGTTATTTAACTTGGATCGGGGCGGAGGGGAAGGGCTACTGGCTGTGTGATCCTGGTTTTGTAACACTAACTGTGAATGTAGAGAGTCAGCCATGTGTCGTGCCTGTAGGAAGTGCTCAGTGTCTCCTCCGCTGACCTGATATGTAGTTACGACCTGGCTCTCTGTGACAGTCTGGTCTGGGTGATGCTCCTAAATGGCTGTGAGAGATAGCTGAGCGAGGGCGGCCACGTAGCAGCGGTCACCGGAAAGGATGACGCTCCGCTAATGATACCAGGCCGTCCCATCACAAAACTGTTGGGGGCTTTCTGGCTTGAGCCCACCTTATGTTCCTGAGACCCAGCCTCCCTGGGTGTACAAAATCATTAGAACCGTCACTTCTTGAACAAAAAGCCGATCCTTTGTCATTGATATTGTTATTATTGCTAATATTGCTGTTATTTCTAGTGAGATAATCCAGGACAAACTCCCGCCTTTCAGGTGTCTCCTTATGAGGACAACCCTTGTCGTCCCTGTGACTGTGACCCTTTCGGGTCCCTCAGTTCAGTCTGTATTAAGGATGAGCTCCAATCTGGCTTACACAAAGGTAAGTACTTGATTCGTTCTGGGGCTTGAATTGATTTTGTGTGTGTGTGTGTGTGTGTGTGTGTGTGTGTGTGTGTGTGGCAGCCTTGTACCTGGTGGAACTGTTACCTTTGGATAGCGGTTGGATAATCTGATCCTCTTGATTCTTCTGTTCACGAAACGCTTATTCAGCACTTACTGTGTGTCAGGCAATGTTTTTAGAACCCGGGAATGTGTCCTGAACAAGATGATCACAATTCCAGCTCACAGGCAGACGAACAAGTACATGCATAATATAACTCCAGGTCGGGATGAATGCTGTGGGCGTTAAGGAGAACTAGGAATCGTGATTGGAGGAAGATGAGGTGTAAAGGAGGCAACGTTGGGCGATGAAATGACATTTGAGCAGATAATTGAGCATTTGATGAGAGACGAAATAAGATTCAGTTTCAAGCCATATGGGGAACACAGTAAATAGCAACCCCTCTATTTAGCTCTTAGAAGACACTCACAAAGCTTTCGCATACATCATCTCGCAAAGCAAACAATTTCTCCCGCTAACTTTGCAAATGTCAGTGTTCTTTCTGTTTCAAACACTGGCGAAGGACTGGCAAATACCAGAATCTCCTGAAAAGGTTGCATTTGTTCAGACTTCTGTGACCTCATCCAATCCTCAGTCACTAGCAGTGAAAATGGATATTGATCAGCAGGGAAGGATGTGCCAAACTGTGGGGCCCACCCGAAATGTGGAGGGTAATTTACAGAATCGAATTAATCCTTACATGTGACTGGTGATGGGAGCCTAACGATACTGAGGATGATGTTGATTATAGCAACAATTACCCTTGATTGGGTTCATTTTAAAAAATATATCATTTAAGCGTTCAACCATAGCAGAAATTATTTAACGCATTTTATAGGCAAGGAAACTAGCGCAGAGCAGTTAAGAAACTTGGCTGAGGTTACACAATTAGAAAGTTTCAAAGCCGGCATTAAAAGAAGAGATTGTGTCCATTGTCCTTTACCATTTCTTTTGTGCTTTAACAAAGAAAATAACACTGTATTTTGTGATACAATTCACTAGATACAATTCACCCATTTAAAGTGTATGATTCCGTATATTCATAGTTACAACCATCAAGGCAGCCCAATTTTAGATCATTTTCATCACCTCAGAAAGAAATCCCTTACCTGTTGGTAATCATTCCCCATTTCCCTCCACGCCTCCATCCCTGCCCGAGGCACCCACTAATCTACTTTCTCTCTATAGATTTGCTTATTCGGACATTTCATATGAATAGAACATACAGTAGATGGTCTTTTACAACTGGCTTCTTTCACTTAGCATAATGTTTTCAAGGTTTATCCATGTTGTAGCATCTATCAGTACTTTTTTTTTCCCCCTGAATACTACTCTACTGTATTTATATGCCACATTTTGTATATCCCTTCATCAGTTAATGAGTATTTCATTTATTTCCACTTTCTGGTTATTATGAATAAGGCTGCTGCAAGTATTCACATGTAACATTTTTGTGGATGTATGTTTCATTTTTCTCACGTAAAAGGACAGGAGTGGAATTGCTGGGTCAGATAGTAAGTCTCTGCTTAATATTTTGGAGACATGTCAAACCGTTTTCCAAAGTCACGGTGCCGTTTTACCTTCTCATTAGCCTCTCTCTGTTTTTCATCTCTGTTTTCTTTTTTTAAATCATGGGTTGACAAGCTATGGTCCATGTGCCATATCTGGCACACTGCCTGTTTTTGTATATAAAGTTTTATTAGAACAGAGCTATGCTCATCTGCTTATGTATTATGCGTGGCTGCTTTGAAGCAGTCATGGCAGAATTGAGTAACTGCATTAGCAATTCTTTGGCCAAAAAAGTTGGAACTATTTCATGTCTGGCACTTTACAGAAATAGTTTGCCAACCCCTACTTTACCTTTTGAGCCTCCTGATGGGCCACCGCTATCTTTTCTTCCCAGGGAAGTGGCCAGGTCAATGTCCGTGCAAGGAAGGCTACGCAGGAGAAAAATGTGATCGCTGCCAGTTTGGTTACAAGGCTTACCCAGCCTGTGTCCGCTGTGAGTGTAGCCGGGCTGGCAGTGTGAACGAGGACCCATGCTCAGAACCTTGTCTGTGTAAGGTATGTGGGGGGGGGAGGGTTAAAGGTGACCCTGAGTTTCCTTTGATGTGTGCAAGAAAGGAACACATTCCATAGGCTCAGAAGATCAGTTCTTGAGCAAAGCAGCAAGGTTTAAGGAGAACTCTCCTTCCCCACATCTTCCCGAGAAGCATGAAGTTATGTCACATCCATGTCTTTGGACTTAGATGGGCACACCCAGTTTGGTTTTTTTGGTGCCTTCTGGACAATGGCCACATAGTCCAGAGGTATTTCTGTGATTTCCAAGATGAAATCAACTACTACATTTCTGCGGCCTGGGCCATTAACCTCTTGTATGACATTCTTTTCCAGCTTAATTTTTAGAGGAGAACCAGTTATAAGAACATTAATTAAAGGCAGATATGTTATTGTGGGTTTCTCTTAAAAAGGAATTGGACAGGGGCGTGCCTGGGTGGCTCAGTCAGTTTAAAGTCCGACTTCAGCTCAGGTCATGATCTCATGGTTAATGGGTTGGAGCCCCACATCAGGCTCTGTGCTGACAGCTTGGAGCCTGGAGCCTGCTTCCGAATCTGTGTCTCCCTCTCTCTCTCCCCCTCCTCTACCCATGCTCTGTCTCTCTCTGTCTCTCAAAAATAAATAAACATTAAAAAATGTTAAAAAAGAAAGGAATTGGACAATGATTAAAAAAACACATTAAATAATTAATGATTTTAAAAAATTGGCTATCTGATATTAATATCCATTTTCTCATAATAACCATAATTGTAGGACTTCTCATTGTATCTTAAGTGCTTCTTCCTATGTAAGCACACATCATAAGTGACTGAAAGTAATCTTGAGCATATTAATAAGACAAACAATTATATAGCACTCTTCAGATTTTAAGCTTCTTTAAAGATTAGCAAAATTGGGAGATTTCAAATAAAGCAATTTGAAAGAAGCCATTTTAATACAATGACCAAGCTCTGAGATCCTGACCCTCATTCTTGACTACAAAATTAAATGGTAATTATTTCGAAATATGTATCCTGGAAATAATGACTTCATGAGGCTTTACATTTACTTTGAGCATCTATTTATTTACTTGTTTCTCTGGATCACTAAACAACTTTCTTGTTAATGTCATGTTAATACCAGCGTATTCTGTCTACCTAGAACACTTTGGTTTCAGGGCAAATCTTTTGTCTAACGTGCAGGAAAATGTCGAAGGGGAAAATTGTGACCTCTGCAAGCCGGGATTCTATAACCTGAAGGAGAGAAACCCCAAGGGCTGCTCAGAGTGCTTCTGCTTCGGCGTGTCTGATGTCTGCGGCAGCCTTTCTTGGTCTATCAGTCAGGTGCGGGTACCTTCCCTGAGCCAGAATTTAAGAAGCGTGCCCACTCAAATGAGTTTTCTGGGACCTGTGTTCTTTCCCTCTCTTGGAAACACCGCTGTCAGCAGTTAGCAGTGACACTGGCATGGATCAGAAGCCACTTGCTATTGGAGTGTCACGAAGATTTCTTCCTTGGTCATGTGTTTATTCCTACGTACATTTCCCTACCCAAACAATAGGATATTATGGTATCATAGAATGTATCATGTTTAAATTTCTCCTGTGGGGAAATGTATCAGGTTGTGGGGTCAGATCTCACCCCACCTGCTCCACGCTGGTCTCAGGCCAGGACGTACAGCAGGACATGGGCTCATGAGGAATTTTCTAGTCCAGAGCACCTGGTGGGGGTAGGTACAACAGTGAGTGACGTAGGGACTATAGCCTCAGTTGTTCTGGGAATGGGGAGTCATAGGGCATGCCAAATGGTGCCTTGGGAGGAGAGTGTGATGGCCGGGGCTTAGGAAGGACTGCATGGCACAGGGTTCGTCCATGGTAACCACCTCACCTCCCCACGGCCATCTGGGGAGACCAGTATTCAGGGAGGGGTTGGGGGGTGCTAGTCCCTCACTCTCCTTTCCCTCCCTTCTCCCTCCCTCCCTCCCTGCCTGGCAGGCTGGGAGGAGTGGGAGCCCCATGCGGGAGGGAGTGGGAATTCCAGGCAGTAATGAGAATGAAGGCCACCATGCGGTGGCCACCATGCTGTGGCCTATGGCCACCATGCTGGGGTGATGGCTTTTCCTCTCTTTGTAGATGACAAATTGGGAGGATAAGATCTGGAGGTTTAATTTACATACTTTTTAGCTCTTTGGTGAAAAGCAAGAAGCAATGACGAAGAAATCAGAGTTAGCAAAAACATTTTGTTCAATGCATTTATATTAAGGTCTTTGCTATTTTTTAAAATCTAAAATGTATATCTGTAGCCTTGACAATTTTGCTCACCTGCTTGCTTATAATTGATCTGGATTTGAGGAGTGTTGACTCATTCTCAGATTTTCTCGGCCCTTTGACAAGTAGGAGGGTCATGCGTCGTGTGGTCCTGTGGCCACAGTGTGTTAGCTCTGTCCCTGGCTAAGCTTTCTGGGTCTGTTTCTTCATCATGAGGATTTCTGGGTGAAAACTAAGGTGATTTCTATTTCGTATTCCGACATTCTGAATCTTTTTTTAAGGTGAAAGATATGTCTGGGTGGCTTGTCACCGACCTGATCAGTGCAAGCAAGGTCCCGTCTCAGCAGGACGCTCTGGGTGGGCGTCATCAGGTCAGCATCAACAACACGGTGGCCGTGCAGAGCCTGACTTCCAAGTATTACTGGTTGGCTCCGGAGGCCTACCTCGGAAATAAGGTAGGCCCATCACCAGAAGTAACATCTTGGACAAAGATCTCAAGGCACATTGAGAAAGAACGTAACTTGACAATTTAAGTCATCTTATGGTTACTTGAGGGTTTGACAGAAAATTATATAGCATTTACTTATATCTGCCCAACCCACATGGTCTTGCTTATCCTTGCTTGACTTTATAACATCATTAAGATATGAACTTTGTTCTCGGCCATATTGGTCATAAGCAGTCTGTTGTAGGAAGTCTACAGATTCGGATGATCTGGGAATAGACTCAGTCATTCGAGCTTGGTGTTCACCTACCTACACCACACGTTCAGTTTGTTTTAAAGTAATGGTATGTTGGGGTGCCTGGGTGGCTCAGTCGGCTCAGTGTCCGACTTCTGCACAGGTCATGATCTCATAGCTTGTGAGTTCAAACCCTGCTTTGGGCTCTGTGTGGACAGCTCAGAGCCTGGAGCCTGCTTCAGATGCTGTCTCTCTCTCTCTCTGCCTTTTCACCACTCCTACTCTGTCTCTCTCTGTCTCTCAAAAATAAGTAGACATTAAAAACTTTTTAAGTAAAAAAAATAATAAGGTAATGATATGTTTCACCGTAGTGCAGGTCTTATAGATTGGTAAGCTGTTTCATTTGTTGGTTATATTTTAATTTTAGAACTTGTTTTACTTAGATTTAGGTTTAAGTAGTATTTATTTTGAAAATGATTCTTTTTTCTCATCGAATTATAATCCTAGAAGATGTACTCTGTTTATAATGGGATCTAATTACCAAAAGTCAATGATTTATTTTTTTCTGTTATGATCGCCTTTCCATTCTCTGGCTCAAAGACTAGATTTTGAATGTGATATTATTGTAACATTCCTGTCACAATGAAAATTTCCACTTTACATTAAAGGAGATCACCAGGAAGAAAAACCTTTCATCCTTCTTCTAGCTGATGAGACAGGATCCTTATTGTTCTCCTACAAGCTGGGCAATGAGATCAAAATGTTGGGGTTATTGTCATGAATTTAACTCCTAAATCCTAGAGGATTTAAGTGAAATACACGTGTACTGTGTGATTCGCAGGAGTTTATTTATGCTAATTAATCTGGGGGGAGTCTCTAAGAAGGAATGCATCTTCTGTCCATTTAAATTTTTTTTAATGTTTATTTTTTTGAGAGAGAGAGAGACAGAGCACGAGTGAGGGAGGGGCAGAGAGAGAAGGAGACCCAGAATCTGAAGCAGGCTCCAGGCTCTGAGCTGTCAGCACAGAGCCCAATGCAGGGCTCAAACTGATGAACTGTGAGATCGTGACCTGAGCTGAAGCCCAACACCCAACCAACTGAGCCACCCAGGCGCCCCAACTGTCCTTTTAAATTATATTCTGCATTGTGGTGCCTGAGAGGCTCAGGTAACTGATCTCGGTTCATGAGTTTGAGCCCCACATCAGGCTCTGTGCTGTTAAGCTTCAGATACTCTGCCTTCCTCTCTCTCTGCCCCTCCCCTGCACTCGCTCTCTCTCTCTCTTTCAAAAATAAATAAACATTAAAAAAATTATATCCTGCAGTTTGGCAATATCGATTAAACACACTATTCTTATAATATGCTTTCTTTTCACTGGCTTAATATGAACTTCCTTCCATACTACGGCCACTTGGACACCTTGTAGCCTGGTTGTTTCCCGATGGGTCCTAGCCACCACTTCCTCTTCCTGGGGGGCTGAGATCATTTGCCCTCGGTGTTTACTCCCGCTTACATGTTTCAGCTGACTGCTTTTGGTGGATTCCTGAAGTACACGGTGTCCTATGATATTCCAGTGGAGATGGTGGACGGTGGTGACCTCATGTCTCACGCCGATGTTATCATCAAGGTAGGTGCTCTCACATTGCTTTGCTGTAGAGCTCGAGGGCTTAGTTGGGTGACGGTTTTGTGACTCCGAGTGGCTAAGGGACACTCTGGCAGCAAGGAGCACACGCCCAGGTGGCTGTTCAGCAGTGCTTTGCCTGATCTGGAAACTGACCAGACAGTGTGAGCGTTGTCTTTGGGTCCATTTCCGGAATTGCCTGAGGACAGCTCGTGTGGCTCTTCCACGGATCCTTGAAGCTGACGCGTCTTTTCACATTTAAAACGGAGACAGGTGTTTGCCTTGATGTTGGAACTACCTTGTCAGCCATTTGAGTCCCTCTGTCTCCTCCTTCATTGGCTCCCATATGAATAGTTAGGCAGTAGCACTTGGCAGTGTGGGGACAGGAGATGCGGTGCCGTTTTTGTTCTCAGCCTCTGTCCCTAATCCTGTATCCTCACTCCCCTCCTCCCCTGTCACAAAAAGGCCCAGCTCAGCCTCCCCAGAAATTTTCCCAAAGGTAAGAAACCACTTCAGCTTCTAGTCTGCACCTTTGATGACCCAAATCTCCCTGTCCAGCCTGTGGCAAGTGGGGACAGTGTGACCTCAAGCATTTTTGTGAATGGGAATTTATTAAAAGCTAGAGGTATTCTTACATAGTTTTTCTACTTTTGCCCTTCAGTTAAAGATCAGGGGTGTCATGGTGCACCTGGGTGGCTCGGTCAGTTAAGCGTCCGACTTCAGCTCAGGTCATGATCACATGGTTCATGGGTTCAAGCCCCGTGTCTGGCTCTGTGCTGACAGCTCAGAGCCTGGAGCCTGCTTCGGATTCTGTGTCTCCTTCTCTCTCTTCCCTCCCCCCCACCAAATACAAATAAAAATATTAAAAAAGTTTTTAAAAAAAGATTAGAGGTGTTGGATTAATCACTTTGAGGAAAATTGTGGGCAGATATATACCGTTTCTTTTCTGAGATCCCAGGGAAGGACCTGTCTTTAGATTTAAACTCTGAATCCCTCTGAAGGGGAGACCCTGAAACACCTTTCCTCTGATCGTTTTGGACCAAGAGCTATAGACACTATTGCATGTTTACCCTGAGAACCTAAGCACAAATAAAAAGCACATTGCTGAATACAAATTTGCTTTTACTTTTTGACCAGGAAGTTGAATTACAAATATATTTCCTCTTGCTTTAAATGTTAGGGAAATGGACTCACTCTGAGCACCCAGGCGGAGGGCCTGTCATTACAACCCTATGAAGAGTATTTGAACGTGGTCAGACTTGTGCCAGAGAACTTCCGAGATTTTCATAACAAAAGGGAGATAGATCGTGACCAGCTGATGACTGTCCTGGCCAACATGACACATCTCTTGATCAGAGCCAACTACAATTCTGCAAAAATGGCTCTTTACAGGTGGGTACTGAATGAGAGGGAAAGGTTTTGGTGAAGGTATGTTAATCTTGTCCTCACCTATTAGTATGCATTTTAAGCATAATGTATTTTACTTGATTATTTTAAAGGTGCACCTAATGGAACCAGCTGTCGTAAAAATATGTTTATGACTATAATATTATGGACGATATAAGAATAGTTGTCCAAGAAACTGTGTCTCAGTTAGGAGATAGTCTAGGATGGTTTTCTGAGAACTTCCTGACAAGTTAACAATCGGCTGGACCATCTTGCATCTACTTTTCACACTCCTCATGTTAACAGTCTTAGATCTTACTGTCTATTTAAGCTAACGTTCCCCTCTTTAGTCTTTTTACTGCTTCTAGAAGGTCAATCTCTGGCAATGCCAGGCTAAGTGTAAATATTGGCTACAGCCAGTGCAAACACAGGATTATACATTTAAGGACAATCTCTGTATTTGAGATAGGATGATGGAATGGATTCATTTTTCCGAAATGCTTCACCTCAGGCTGGACACCATCAGACCCTTCCCACAGCTGTCTGGACAATCACATGCCTTTCCACCAAATGCTCAAAGGCCTCCCCGCGAATACTGATGGCTTGCAGAAATCATATTGGTGTGAAAATCTTTAGTTGCTTACAAAAGTCACATCCCTGTTTTGCCTGAACAAGCCTTTTTTAAGAATCCACCTTCATCAAGGTGTTAGATGTCATTTGCAGGTGGGTGGCTAAGTCACATGAGGACCCCTTTCTATTGGTAGGTTGGATTCTGTCTCTTTGGACACAGCCAGCCCTAATGTCATAGACCTGACACTGGCCACCGAGGTGGAACACTGTGAATGTCCCCAAGGCTACGCAGGGATCTCCTGTGAGGTAAGGCTCCTCTTCCTGTCCCTTCCTGTCCCCTTCCCATACACTTCCTTTTGTTTTTTCCTAAGGGGAAAAAAGCACATCGAAGGTAATACAATGACCCACATTTGCATTTTAACTTTAGAAACTTAATGTTTGACTCAGACTTTTGGAGGCTGTAGGAATATTGGTAATCACGATGTTTAAGGAAATCTGGTGCCTCTTCCAGGGGGCTCCTGAGGCACCTGGAAATGCTCCGACTTAAGTCTACTCCCTTGCCTTAGTCATCTGGAAAGTTCCATGCCATATTTTGCATTTCTAAGGGGGATTGAACTTGACTGTATCTGAATGTTGACTAATCACAAGCATGCAACCTAGAAAACACTAGGCAAGCCAGACCCATTTTGAGACTTTTTATGGCCCCCAGCTACATTAACTTAGGTGAGCTCCACCTCACAACGAAGGGTAAGAAAATGCACTTGCAGTCAATCATCACCGAAAGTAGTCTGTTGGTTAGAAAATTTTTTTTGGAAATAATTTTGAAACTATTTGGACATTAACGTTGATAATAACTCTCTCCTGCTGAGAACTCTTTATATATTGGGCACCATCCTAACATCTTTCTGTAGGAAAGGGCTAGGAAGTAGTCTCATTAGGTTTCAAGTTCATCTGTGCTGTTAACTGCCAAATGGTCCTGCCTCTCCCATGTTCAAGACTGACGATAATTATGAACATTTGTTCATAATTAGGCTGTTATTTTTTTGGCAATCATTTTTACAAAGAGAGAACATTGTATTTATGATCCGATTTTATGAATCTTTATCAGCTATAAACTTTGCAGCTAATAAAGCTGGCCTATGCTTTATGATGTCAATATTTAATTATTTCTATTGCTATTTTAAATTTTTTGCAGCATTGTTTCATTTTTGACCTAGTGAACTTTTTTTTTAGATCTAAAACGTTTCTTTTTAGACCAAGAAATTACATATCGTAATTCCTATGTAGTTAATGCTTAACGGGTAAATGACCTAAAGGCTACCTCACAGAGTGTGCGATGTGGAAGGAAATAGGAAAACTGGAGGATCAAGTAAGAGCCTGACCCAGCCCGACCAAGAGGGGGCAGCAGTGAGCAGGTGCGGCTGGAGAACCGAAAGTCCACTGGGTTTGGAGGGAAAGGTACCCATGTGCTTAAGATGATGGCTCAAGCTAGTGCATGGAGCTTAACGCATATATTTCAGTGTTTTTGTCAGGCAGAAGAACTCTTTCTCTAATCAAAGCTGACAGAAGGAATTGGGCAGCTATTGGTGGGGAATGAAATTCTTTTTTTTTTTTTTTAAGTTTATTTATTTTGAGAGAGACAGAGAGAGAGAGAAAGAAAGAAAGCACAAGTGGGAGAGGGGCAGAGAGAAGGAGAGGCAGAATCCCAAGAAGGCCATCAGCGCAGAGCCCAGTGCGGGACTCAGACTCAGGAGCCTTGAGATCATTACCTGAGCTGAGATCAAGAGTCGGACGCTTCACTGACTGCACCACCCAGGCACCCTGGGAATGGAATTCTCGATGGCACTGTAGCGACCACACAGCCCCCAGGCAGCCCCTCCTCGGTGCCCACCTGTAGACTTTCCCATTGTCCTTGAGGAGAGTATGGGTGCATGGAGGTGTTAGGGGACATCCTCAAGGTCAGTGCGAATGAGCACATGTATATCTTATTTACATAAAGAAAATAAAATTTTAATACTTTTTACGATAAAAACGGAATCCACATCCCTCCTCCATAGCCCCACGGGAGTATGCTGGCCTCCAAAGTAATCACTCCCCAGTCTGTACTGTGAACATGTTTTGTGTCTGGTGTGGTCCCTGGCACCTCTGCGGCCGCTGGCCTGAGTGGTATACACACCCGACTTCGAATCACTCCACTGGCACGGTGGGTATCATGTCTAACTCTTCTGTGTTCCAGACTTCACGTCTATAAAGTAGAATATTTCTCAGGGTCATCATGAGAATTACATGGAAGACTGTGTCCGGGGTGGCCCCCTGTTCCTCACAGGCAGGGGACGGCACCCTGGATACCGTGAAAAGCACACCTGTAATGTTTGCGCAATTAAACTGATGCCGTTTGACACAGACCTACGCTTGAACACTTTGATGGTAACATTTACTGAATTTTATGCAGAAGAAAATAAAATCAAGTTGAGAGGAAACTGTTCTCTTGATTGAAACACTGGTGAAGTGGTTGAGTGTTATGATTTCTAGTAATATTGCAGCAAATGCCACTCAAGTGCATGTATAGCCACTAGGTTTGGGTGTACATGCTTCTACCCTTAAAAAGAAATAAGGGGGAAATGGGTGATGGGCTTTGAGGAGGGCACTTGTTGGGATGAGCACTGGGTGTTGTATGCAAGCAATGAATCATGGGAATCTATCCTCAAAACCAAGAGCACACTATACACTGCACGTTTGGTAACTTGACAATAAATTATATATACAAAAATTTTTTCAAAAATTAAAACTAAATAAATAATAACAAAAAGAAATAAGGAACTGGATTGTGATCATGATTGTACACTTTGGTAAGTTTACTAAAAAATTCATTGTACTGTACCCTGAAGATGGGTGCATTTTAGGGGTGCCTAGGTGGCTCAGTCAGTTAAGCATCCGACTTTGGCTCAGGTCACGATCTCGCAGTTCTTGAGTTCAAGCCCCACATCAGGCTCTGTGCTGACAGCTCAGAGCCTAGAGCCTGCTGCAGATTCTGTGTCTCCCTCTTTCTCTGCCCCTCCCCCATTCACACTCAGTCTCTCTCTCCAAAATAAATAAACATTTAAAAAAAGTTCTAAAAAATAGGTGCATTTTTTGGCACATAAATGATGCCTCGGTAAAGAAGTTTGCAGGAAAAAGAGAAATTTCTTTATTTATGGAAAATGGAGCCGTTTTTGTTTCTAATGTATTGAAAAGAAGATGAGGAGTGCCTGGATGGCTCAGTTGGTTAAGTGTCCTGCTCTTGATTTTGGCTCAGGTCACAATCTTGCAGTTTCCTGATATCGAGCCCCGTGTCAGGCTCTGCACTGAGAGCAGGGAGCTGCTTGGAATTCTCTGTCTCCCTTTCTCTGTGCCCCTCCCCTACTCGTGTTCGCTCTCTCTCTCTGTCTTTTCGTGTTTCCTCTCTCTCTTGATAAATAAATAAACTTTAAGAAATTTAAAAGTAATAATAAAAAAAGATGATGATTTGGATAATGTCCAAGGTTGCCTTCTGTCTTTTGCAGTCCTGCCTCCCTGGCTATTACCGTGTGGATGGAATACTCTTTGGAGGAATTTGTCAACCCTGTGAATGCCACGGCCATGCAACCGAATGTGATATCCACGGCGTTTGCTTTGTGAGTCTGTTCCCAAAACCTCGAGTGCCTTCTCCTACCCTTCCCAAAGTCATCTGCCATGCAGAGTGCTTTTTAAAAATTGCTTCCTCCATCGAAGATTATCCCTGCCCTTGTAGACCCCAAAGGAAATTTTCAGACTTCAGTTCATGTCATAAAATGTTTCCTGCTACCCCCTGACGCACACTTTTTTTGGGAAAAAAAAAAAAGTTACTTTGGTGAAAACGGAAAAGGGATATATAATTTCATTGCAGGTTTATTATTAGAACAACAAATTACTTTGTAAGATTATAAAGTGATATAAAGGTAGAAAATATTATCCACTGATTAAGTAAAAAGGATCAGGACTTTTACATGAAAATTCTCATATTTTTTAACATATTACACAGTATATCATAAAAGGAATAATACAATTTCTGATAATCACACTCGTTTGTTCAATATATAATGCTTCATAGCTCGGATAAACTCTTTGAACAAGTACTTCTTTCATGCAACAGGAGTTGAAACATGGCTTGACAAATATGCAGTTAATCTTGAGAATGAACTTTGGGGCAGATACAGGGCAAGACTTGTTTTTTAACTTCAATCAGGAATTCCTTTAGGTTCTTTTGCCTGGGAGCCAGGCCACACTCCTGGGTTCTAATGGATTTACTGCACGTAGATGGAGTGAACACATATGTTAATCAGCGGAGTCAGATTCACTGCAGGGAAACGTTCATGCTCTTTCCAGAAGAGATTGATTGAGTCCCAGGGCGAGGGAAAATTAATTATCAGACCCGTGGAGATGCCCTGGATTGCTTATTCTCTCTAGAGCCTAGTTTTTCTTGATTCTGTAAGTAAAGCTTTCATTTTGTTCTTTGTTCATTTCTCTGTTCTGGGAATGTGTGTGTCTGTAGGAATTGCATGAAATGATGATTTGCACACACACTCAGTCCCTCAGGACTAGTTTCCCAGAGCTTGATGAGGTTGTTGCTTTTTCTAAAATGCCTCTGCCTTTCCACCTGGGTTCTCAAGGCCAGCCTTCCAGGGCCCTCTGCCAGCAGTGGGGGGGAGGGGGTGGAGTAGTCTGGGGGTACGGGGGTCGGCTGGTCGACAGGCGTGGATGTGGCACCAATGACTTTGGGTACAGGTGGACTGAAAGGGTATTTGTACAGGCTTCTATCAATGTATATTTATAAAATTAAAAATAAATACCCACATTAAAGTGAAGATGCTAATAGCACCTGGCCTTCAAGTCCTAATGATCATAAATGATAAGGGTTTTTATCACTGAAAAATTTTCGGAAACCATGTTAGATGTACAGAAAGGCTTACAAAACCAGTATAGAGAGACCCTGTGCGGCCTTCACCCTGCTTCCCCTGATGCTGCTGCCTTGCATAACCAGAGTCTGGTGATCAAAACTAAGACATTCACTCTGGCTCCATCTCATCCACGGACTGCAGACTTCACTCTGATGTCATCAGATTTTCCACTCGTGTCCCGTTCCTTTCCAGCATCAAGCATTTTAGATAAGAAGACGTGAAGGTGGCCTCTCGGTGCACACTGTCAGGGACATGTAGTGCCCTGGTCTTTTTCCTGGGGACGTTAGCCTGGGACAGCCAGAGAAGGTGGTGACGGCCAGGTTTTTCCACTGTAAAGTTATTTTTCTTTTCCAATCAAGAGAAGATATTTTTCCTTCCCAAGGAGATGAACATTCTTATCCTAACAGGGCTGGTCACTTACAGGGATGGTGACTGAGAAAGCATTAAAACAGATACTTACGGGGGTGTGGGGTGGCACTTGGGTGACTCAGTCGGTTGAGCATCCAACTGTTGATTTCGGCTCAGGTCATGACCCCAAGGTTGTGGGATTGAGCTCTGCATCGGGCTTTGCACTGAGTGTGGCGCCTGCTTAAGTTTCTCTCTCTCTTTCTACCCACCTCTGCCTCTCTCCCCTGCTCATGCTGTCTTTCTTTCTCTCTCTCAAATTAAAAAAGAATTGAAATTAAAAGATAAAACAGGCCCTTAGTAGGTTTTTTAGCAGAACTACATAATGGTCTTCCCAAAGAAAAAGAAAACCCTATCTGGCCTTTTGATCAAAGAAATCATATCCTAGCTATTTTGCAAGTGGACGTAATCAAATGTATTTTAATGAAACTAGTTATTTTGCATAATACTCTGAGCTCAGCTATGTAGCCGTTTACCAAGACCAGCTCCATTTTTAATTAATTCAGGTTAATTATAAAAATTAAGGTCATATGGGGGTGGGGAGAAAAAAAGTCTAAGACGTCCCTACCGAAATGTCACCTGAAGACCATACATAGCCTAGGCATCACCAGAGAGCTCTCATAGAAATGCGGAACTCAGGGAACAAATCAATCAGAATTGACATTTAACTCAGGTGATTGGTAAACAGTTCAAGTTTAGAAGCCCTGATCTAGGATAACCCTAACTCAAACTGATGAAAGCCTGTTTATAAGTCTTTTTTTTTTTTAATGTTTTATTTATTTCTAAGAGAGAGAGAGAGAGACAGCATGAGCAGGGGTGGGTCAGAGAGAGAGGGAGTCACAGACTCTGAAACAGGCTCCAGGCTCTGAGCTGGCAGTCAGCACAGAGCCCGACGCGGGGCTCGAACCCACGAACCGCGAGATCATGACCTGAGCGAAAGTCGGACGCTTAACCGACTAAGCCACCCAGGCGCCCCAATGATGAAAGCCTGTTTAAAAGGATGTACGACAAGTATTTATAGTCCCAAATTAAATTTAACATACGGGAAAACTTTTATCAGCCTCAGAAATTGTAGAAAAGTATGTAGTTTAGAAGTCAGAAATGTTATTTAAATTGTTAAAGGAGAGATGGCCAGAAGGTATGTATAGTGAGCGGGTCTAGGAGAAGGGCAGTAAAGGGAAAAGGGTGGCAAAATTGGACCCACAGGGGGAAGCCAGGGCAAGTGAGTACAGGCAGGGGTAGGTAGAGATCATGGGAGAAAGCTCTGGGTGGCATCAGCATAGAGATGGGGCTTATGTGGTGACCTGGGGAGATGGAGTCACGGGAAGAGAGGATCTTGGGAACGAATGTTGAAAACAGGCCGGGCTTTCCCTTGAGCCGTGCATTTGACCCTGTGCTCAGTGTTGCTTCCCACCTGGCCCCACTGTACCCATCTCTTCTCCTGCATACCTACTCTCTGAAGAGAGGTTTTCAAAAAGGAAATAAGTCCTTCATGTTTGTCCTTTATTCATCATTTCTGATGCTCTTCAATCCTTGGTATAAATCCAAGATCTTATCTGGTTCCATGTTTCCGCCCCCTGCAGAGTTGTTTTTAAGTTTTTCCTCAAGTGTAAGTCCGATGGCCCACAAATTCGCTCCTGTTTTATTCACCTGAGAAAGGCTTTCTTTCACCTGCAAGTTGGAAATAGGTTTTTGCAGATTTTTTTTTTCAGTACTTGAGAATTGTTCTGTTTGCTTATGGCTTGCATTGTCTCAAATGAAAAATCGGTAGTAATTCTTATCAATGTAATTCTCTCTGTGTTAGTCTGTTTTTCTCTGCCTGGTTTTTAGATTTTTCTCCTTATGAATCACATTTAGTTTTTGTTTGTTTGCTTTTTTTTTTCATATCCAGTAGTTATTATCCTGCATATAAAAAAAAAAAAGCCCTTGGGTGCCTGGGTTTCTCAGTCGGTTAAGTGTCCAACTTTATTCAGCTCAGGTCATGGTCTCATAGTCTGTGAGTTCAAGCCCCACATCAGGCTCTGTGCTGACAGCTCAGAGCCTGGAGCCCGCTTCAGACTCTGTGTCTCCCTCTCTCTCTGGCCTTCCCCTGCTCACACTCTTGTCTCTCTCTCTCAAAAATAAATAAACATTAAAAATTTAAAAAATAAACAAATCCTTATTTGGAAGTCATTTTTAATTTATGCAAAAGTGGGAATAAAAATAGTACTTAAAGATCCCACAGTTTACTCTTTTGCTGCATTATTCTCATTATCTCTTTATCTAATCATAATATTTTTCTAATACAAAGTTGTATACACTGTGCTCATTTATCTCTAAATACTTCGGTGTGCATGTCCTGAGAATAAGGTTTTTCTCTGATATAACCATAGTACCTTATAAACTTCAATGAATGGAACATTAATGTTCTACTTTTTTTAATCTACCATCCATTTGTCCATTTTGCTGGTTGACTCAGTTATGTCCTTTAAAGCGTTTTTTCCACCATTACAGGCCCCGTCTAGGATCTGGTATTGCATTGTATTCTGTCTCTTCAGTTGCCTGTAATCTGAAATACTTCCACAGCATTTCTTTGTCTTTTATGATGATGGCACCTTGAAGAACACAATCATTTTTTCCAAAGACAGAATGCCCCTTACTTGGGGTTCTTCTCTTGCTCTTCCATGAATAGATTCAAGGTATGCGTTTCGGGCGAGAACACTTCATTAGTGATGCTGTGGCCTTCTCAGAACCGCGTGCGGAAGCCCATGGTATCCACTGCCCCTCGCGGGTGGTGTTAATTACACAGGCCAGGGGTTAGTCAGTTTCTCTACTATATATTTACCATTCTTTTCTTTTGTAATTAATGAGCAGCCCGAGGGAGACACTTTAAGACCATGCAAGTATCATATTCATCATCAAATTTGCCCCTTAGATTTAGCAGTCACTGTTGATTCTTGCCCCAGGGTTTACTTACCATGATGTTCGCAAAAGGGTAGCTCTCCAACTTCAGTGCTCCTGCACGCATGCTTACTGCTTTGCTTGGTGCACAGCCTCCACTGTAAGCAAGAACCGTGTCCCCTTTCTTGTGTTTACTTATTTACCTACTAATTATCTCTCTGGACTCAGGGATTCCAAATTTTCCTAGATTTGACTAGTGGAAGTGTACTCAGTAGGCATTTTTTTTTTTTTTTTTTTTTTTTGAGAGCGAGAATGAGTGAGAGAGAGAGCAGGGGAAGGGGGCAGAGGGAGAGAGAGGGAGACAGAAAATCTCAAGCAGGCTCCACGCCCAGTGCAGAACCCGATGCAGGGCTCAAACCACAACCCTGGGATCATGACCAGAGCTGAAATCAAGAGTCAGACACTTAACCAACTGAGCCACCCAGGCGCCCCTACACCGTAGTTTTTGATTGCAGGGTGAAAGTTGTGCATTGTTACGTTTTTAGATTTTGTTGCTTTCCTTTAAAGAACATCAAAGTTTGTTTTGGCAGGCAGTTGAATTACCATAAGTCAGCTTGATTGTTTCACACTTTGTGTTTAAGTTTTGATAGGGTGGTTCTAAAATAACCTCTATTCTAGGGTGGGTTTTACCTTACTGCAAGTGAGTTTTTCTTCTGGGGTCTCGGCTGAGCGCTCTGGGTGTTTAACGGAGACTCCTCGTACTGGCCGGTGACTATTCTAGTGTCCCTGGGCTCTGGGTGACTTCTGAATTTTTCACCTGGCCTCATGGAAATGCACTCTACACACGAGAAGTTTAGTATGCAGTAGTTATTTGAAGGGGTCTTCTGTGCAGATTTCTGGAGCTCTTATTCTGTGAAGCTCCGATTCTCTGCCCAAATTCCAGCAGCTCCAGTCCCCCCATGGCCTGACCTCTGTCTCCTCAGCTCAGCAAAACCACTTGTTGCCCACCCCGTCCCCTCCCCATAGAAAGACATGTCGTTGTGGGTTCATTCCATCACCTCCCTTCTCTGGGTCTTTCTGCACCCCTCTGTGGCCCAGTGTCTGAAAGAAGTTGTTCGATATATCTTGCTCCAGCTTTCTAGTTCTTTCCTCCAGAAGGGTGAGTCTGATAGCAGTTCCCCCACCATAGGCAGAAGTGAAAGCTTCTCATTTATACAGATCATGCGAATTACGTTTTGTTATTCATTTATCTGGAAACCGGCATCCCTCCTCATGTAACAGAGTTTGGTGACTTGTTTGAGCATTTGATCTTTTATTTTTTTCTCCACTCTGACTCCAGGTTGTCTGTAGATGAATCAGACACTCCTTTAAGGAGACCCCAACCGAGTCGCCTCCTCATTCATTCCTGTGTTCTAGGCATGCAAGCACAACACCACGGGCGCCCACTGTGACCAGTGCGCGCCCGGCTTCTACGGGCTGCCTTCCCGAGGGACTCCGAGGGACTGCCAGCGCTGTGCCTGCCCCCTCTCCACAACCTCCAACAAGTAAGCCTGGAAAGCCTGGAAACTCCGCCCGGGGGCCCTGCCCGGCGTGGCCAGAATGTCCTTTCAGATGTGCGCTGATGCCTTCAGAGCCAGACTTTGTGTGTGAGGAGAGCGTGATTACCCAGTGGTAATTACGTGGGATTAAAGATGGAGGGGTGGAGGGGCGCCTGGGTGGTTTAGTCGGTTAAGCGTCCGACTTATGCTTAGGTCATGATCTCGCGGTTCGTGGGTTCGAGCCCCGTGTCGGGCACTGTGCTGACTGCCAGCTCAGAGCCTGGAGCCTGTTTCAGTCTGTGACTCCTTCTCTCTCTGACCCTCCCCTGCTCACGCTGTCTCTCTCTTTCTCCTAGAAATAAATAAAACATTAAAAAAAATTAAAAAAAATAAAGATGGAGGGGTGGATTCTCTTTAAAAAAAAAAAAAGAACAAGCTTGGTCTACTAAATGAAATAAGAAAAGTTATGTGATGGCAAGGACATACACATAATTTTGTTCCTCTTGGTCTAACGTTGCTCATTCATTTTTTGTACGTACTTGCCAGTAGGCTAGCACATATGAGGTACAGAGAAGTGACTATGCCGTTGTTCCTGGCCTCGAGGACTTTTTGATATAATGACCAAAATATGTAAATAGGAGGCTCATTGAAAATGGGCTGAACTCATTTAATGATTCAACCAATCTTTCTGAAGTGCCTGCTGAGCATCATGGTAGGTGCTCGAGTATCAGTGTGTTCGCGCACGGCTGTTGGTCCCACGGGACGCGCAGTGTGGTCATGACTCGGTGGACGTACGTCCACCATCAGGAGAGTGCGAATCTGCCAGGAATGGCACGGAGGAAGCCCTTGATCTGAGGCTTGAGGGTGGGAAGGAATTTGAAGGCCACAGAGAAGGGCCTTCCGGGCAGGAGAAACCGAGTACGCGGAGGCATGTGGCACAAAGGAGCAGATCCTGTTTATGAACTCACAGTTGTCCTGCCGCACAAAGCCTGAGGGACGGGGGGTGGGGGCTGGGGGGGCAGCGGTGCACAAGGTCTCGTTTGGGGGCCAGTGGTTTGAAAGCCTGTTTCTCTCTTGCTGGTTTACTGTTTAGGACTTCCCCTTGCCCTTGACTCAGAGAACTCCCCCATGGGGATTTTTATTTGAAACTCTATTGTGCAAAACAGATGCAGACAGGGCTACTCTGATGAAATTGTGGGAGACTCTCAGCTGCCCCCAGCCCCCCCTTCACAGGTCCCCCAAAACCCAGGAACAGGGGTGGAAGGGACCTTCGTCAGCAGTGGGGGTCCTTTGGAGAAGGTTGAGGGGCTGTGAGCTAGAGCTCACTCTTGGCCAGTGGGGGCAGGGCCCTGAGACAGGTAGACCAGTGCCAGGGAACCCAGAGAGGGGGACTCTCTGAAGAAGTGAGGGATAGGCAGGAACAGGGAACAGCGAGCGGCCATTGCCCAGTGAGGTGGGCTGTGTGGTCCGTGGCTGCGGTTCTGGAGTGAAGATGTAGTGAAAGTTTGTAAGGAGTGGTGAAAGATGAGCATTTTACTTTTATTTTTGAAAAATTTTTAATGTTTGTTTTATTTTAAGAGAGAGAGGGAAGGAGCAAGCAGAGGAGGGGCAGAGAGAGAGAGGGAGCGAGAGAATCCCAAGCAGGCTCCATGCTGCCAGAGCAGAGCCTGATCAGGGGCTCAAACTCATGAACCTTGTGAGATCATGACTTGACCTGAGAGCAAGAGTCAGACACTTAACCGACTGAGCCACCCGGGCACCCCTAAAACACGAGCGCTTTAAATGTTTAGAAGTTCTGCATCACCCATTGGAAAATTGTGTTAATCTGTAATGCATTGACAGTTTCAGCCCCACCTGCCACCTAGAAGATGGGGACGAAGTGGTCTGTGACCAGTGTGCCCCCGGATACTCTGGAGCTTGGTGCGAGAGGTACTCTGTCTGCATCCCTCAACTGATTTCCAGAAAGTTTCATCAAACTTTTTTTGTTAATTCAGTGTCAGTTATATGTGTTTACTTCTAAATGTGTAGCTAAGTGTGATTTTAGAGCGTTGGGGTGTAATTATTATGTCACATAATTATAGAGAAAAGCCAGTATGCCGATTAGAAAACTCATGTGAAAAACTCCCTGGGAAATTTTCAAGAACAGCATTTGGTCTCCTCGAGCTAACGTGAGTTCTCATCAGGGACAATAGACCCAGTGAGGAGCCAGTGTTTACTGTTCACACATTGAGAAATCCCTTGACTCTGGCTAGTTCTATAGGTGAGAGGCAGTTTGATTTAATAGCCGTCTTCTGGCACCCGAAAGCCAACAGTGTCTTTTCCCATGTGTAAGTGTCAGTGCCCGGCTCTGCCTAAAGTCCCTAGGAGCGCCACACCACACTCGTGGCCTGCAGATCCAGTTGACCTGGGGCTGAGTGCACAGCCACTTGGATTTATGGCTCCTTCTGGATGCACTCTCTGTCTTCACAGCGAGTGAGAAAACCCGAATGCCCGAGCTTGGGGTTGCCCTGCTCCACAATAAATCTTACTTAAAGAGTCCGTCTGACTTATTAACCATTCAGAGAATCCCCGGATGGTGGGGTCACGTCTAGAGTGATGGCATTCATTCGGACCCCTCTTTCAATCTTTTTGCAGATGCGCAGACGGTTACTATGGAAACCCAACAGTGCCCGGGGAATCCTGTGTCCCCTGCAACTGCAGCGGCAACGTGGATCCCTCAGAGGCCGGTCACTGTGACTCCGTCACGGGAGAGTGCCTGAAGTGCACTGGGAACACGGCTGGCGCCCACTGCGAGAGGTGTGCTGACGGATTCTATGGGGATGCTGTGACTGCTAAAAATTGCCGCGGTGAGTGTGTGGGCTGTGAGGTCAGAGCCCTTATTGGTCGCCCTGTGAAGTCTCCATCCATCTACTTACGTGTGTCACAAAGGGTCACTTCATCTCGATCGGTACTTGTGGTAAATGCCAGTGTAGACCCAAGTCCTAAGTCTTCCCTGCTTGCCCCGCCTTAGCTCAATCAGTTCCTGTAAAGGAGGTCAGATGGTCTAGCAAATAGGTGCCCTTGCCCCGGAGGAGGAGGTGGTGCTTGACAGAGTGCTAGCACTGCTCTCCGTGACCGCGGCAGAGTGGGGTCAGGGTCTGCAGTGTTTGTGAAGACAGGCCGAGGGGTCTCATGAGTCAGACGGGATTTCAAGATACAGGGTGGGAAATGGGAAACCTGGAATCTCAGAGGTCCGTGTCTGAACTACCGACTCTCATGCCGCTCTGCAGGGCTGTGCTTCCTTCCCGACATTACGGATCACTTAGAACCATTCACCGAAGAGAGCAGAATTTTACATACCTGAGATGAGCAGCTTGTAGCCTCAGGGCTAATGCAGCCCTCAGATTTCTGTGCACAGCTCTTGAAGGCGTGAAAGAGAAAAAATGGCAATTTTACATTATTTTGATGATTTCCTATACATGTCCAGTCCTACTGTGCTGTTACATTATGCGGACACAAGAGGGTGCTAGTGATACGGAAAAGATATTTTCCCAGGCAGGAAAGGCTTTGTAGCCTTGGGCCGGTCATCTTGATCTTCAGCAACCCGGCCACCTTGATTGGTTATCATAGTAAGATCATTATGATAACGGGTGTTTGTGTAAAGCTTCAAAGTTTACAGGATGCTTTCACTACACTCATGCCTTTTCCTTTCATCTTTAAACCTTGATGATTCATTCCTTTGTTCATTCATCGTTTATTAAACAGTCACTATGCTAAGTATAGTCATAGGAGTTGGAAAAATTATGACTCAGGTGTGGAGGTGAAGCACAGATGTGGGTCTCGGGCTTTGGAGTCTGACTAATGCAGGACAGATAGAGCTCAGGGTTGGTCACAACCAGCTGTGTGACATTAGACAAATTTAATAACCTCCCTGAACCACTATTTCCTTATACAAAAAATTGACATAGTTATATATATGTGTATATATATATACATATATATATATATACACACACACATATATGAGACTTCGTGAGAAGTCAGTGGGATAACAAAGTCCTGGACATGTAATAAATGGTAGCTATTATAAGTGTTATAATAACTATTATTATATATATATACACACATATATATAACTATGTCAATTTTTTGTAATATATATATAGTTATTATATAATAATAACTATTATTATTTAATTATTTTTATTATTTACTATTTATTATTTTATTACATTTTCCAGTAGAAACGTAAATAGCACATGTAATTTAAAATTTTCTAGTCACTGGGGCGCCTGGGTGGCTCAGTCAGTTGAGCGTCCAACTTCAGCTCAGGTCATGGTTATCACGGTTTGTGGATTCGAGCCCCATGTCGGGCTCTGCGCTGACGTCTCAGAGCCTGGAGCCTGCTTCACATTCTGTGCCTCTGTTTCTGCCCTTCCCCCACTTGTATGTGCTCTCTCTCTCTCTCTCTCCGTCTCAAAAATCACTGTATAAACATCTAAAATTTTTTTCTAGTCACCACATAAATAGATGAAATATATTTTAATAACACATCTTATTTTACCCAATATGTAAAAATAATATCACTTTGTCATGTAATCAGATTTTTAAACTATTAATGAGATATTTGCTTTCCTTCGTCAATTTCAGTGCATATTTTATAGCCTATTTTGATTAGGATGCTAACGTTTCCCAAGAAACACTTGATCTGTAATTTAGATAACATAAAATTCATAGCTGCAAAAGGGAATTTACATACCCGAGCTGTTCAAACGTGTTTCAACGTTTTTCACTGTGGCCAAGAAAGAAATCATTTTCCTTCATTATTTGGATCTACACTGACAAAACTGCTTCGGTATTTTGTGTAGATAATAGGTCTCGGTGATGAGCAGAAGTGGGCGAGGAGGGTCAGAACAGACGGGTTTGGGTCCGGGTCCGAGCTCTTGGCCCAGGTATTAATTTAAGGGAAATTAGAGGTCTTGCTGGTCAGCTGCATCAGCCACCTCCCAGGGCTCAGGAGACCTGTGCACGCAGCGCCGGGGAGATGCGACAGGCAGGTCTCTGGGGTGATAAATGGCCGTCCCTGGGGTGTGCACACACTCCATAAGGGCCCAGCGCTGTCCGTGGAAACACCACTTGATGTGAGTCTGGAAGGATGGGTAGCAGATGCCCGGGCGGCCCGGCAAGTGGTGGGACAGTGTCGTCCAGGCCGGAGGAGCAGAGTCCCGGAAGAGTGTGCTAGAAAGTGAAAGGCAGGGCGGGCCAGGGCGGGAGCCTCGGCCTCCAGCGTGGATGGAGCCCACCCGCCGAGGCTGCGCCATCTGTCCGGAACTCCAGCTCACGTGAACAGATCTGTGTAGAACAGTTCTACGCAGCTCTAGAACCGCTGTGGTGGACGACGTTGGCAAGAAGGCAGACGAGGCCAGGAAAGAAGGCTGCTGGCAGAGTTAACGAGGGTTTCCAGCAAAGCCTTGGTCACCGGGAAGACGTGAAGATGCTCTGTGGTGACCGGAGGTCAGGAGGGGGGTCAGGGTTAGGACGGGCAGGTTGGTGGCCCAGATGGCTGGACTGGTGATAGAGGGACACTGTCCGGGTTCTTTCTAGTTTCCAAGCATTTTTAAGTTTTATTCTTGCTTCACTTCCTCTTCCTGTTCCCCAGCTTTAATGAGATGATTTCTTCCTATTTCTGGGTATTTCACTAGAGATCCTTCCAGGCCAGGGGTGCCTGTGTGGCTCAGTTGGTTGAGCCTCTGACTCCTGATTTTGGCTCAGGTCATGATCCCAGGGTTGTGAGATCAAGCCCCACATTGGGCTTCACATTGGGCTTGAACCTGCTTAAGATTCTCTCTCTCTCTGTGTGTCCCTCCTTCTGCCCCTCTCTCCTGCTTGCATACTCTCTATCTCTCTAAAATAAAACAATAATAATAATAATAATGAAAGAAACGTTCCAGGCCTATGATAGAATCCCTTTTATGGATTCCCAGAGCCCCCGCCTACTAATATACTACTGTTTTATTAGGTTCACCCCAGTGAGAGTCCCGGTATTCGCTATTACTGACATGGGAATTCCTAGGGGGGTGTTGGGAAGGCATTTGGACATTCAGGTATGCAGGAATCAGGGAAGAAGTGGAGCTCAGAGACTCATGGTAGCAGAATTGGTGCTTCCGGAATGGTTTTGCAGGGCAGCCCGGGGGCACTGGGACCCCACCAAGCTCTACTGTTCAAGGACCCTTATGTGAAACATGTTAGCTGGGTATCATTTTATATCGTGAGGTTGTTGTGAGAATTACGTTATATGTAAAGCACCTAGCAGTCGGTTACTAGGACCTCTTTTATTTTATTTTATTTTGTATTTTATTTTCTTTAAAGTTTATTTTGAGAGAGAGAGAGAATGAGAGAGAGCACACATGTGAGCCGGGCAAGGCAGAGAGAGAGGGAGAGAGAGAAAATCCCAAGCAGGCTCTGCACTGTCAGCACAGAGCCTGATGTGGGGCTCGAACCCCCAAACTGTGAGATCATGACCTGAGCTGAAGTCATGAGTCGGAAGCTTAACTGCCTGAGCCACCCAGAGGCCCCTAGTGGCACTATTTTAAGTTAGTATTATTTACAGTAAAAAAGTTTCTGTAATAATCCCTACTAGAGTTGTTACCATAGAAGGCCAATTGCTAGCAGCTGTGTGACCAGTGGACCTACACAATCTCTCTAACTTGCAGATTTCTTACTGAACAGTAGAGAAAATTAGAATGCGTCCCTCCTCAGTCTGTTATGCAGGGTAAGTGAGATCTACTGTAATGTGACACAGGCGTAAACAGACAGGACGGCAGATACAATTTATTATCATCAATGTTTTGTGATGGTCATACAGTGAACTTTGGCCTTTCCCCAGAGGGAGGGGAAGCTTTCACGGAGACACAGTGAGGGAGGCACTGGAGGGAGAGACACAAGAAATTAGGAGGAAACCGAATCTCGGTGAGAGGGAGTGGGCTATGAGTCAGGTCATGATCATGATCTCAGGTCACGATCTCGCAGTTCCTAAGTTTGAGCCCCATGTTGGGCTCTGCACTGACAGTGTGCGGAGCCTGCTTGGGATTCTCTCTCTCTCTCTCTCTGTCCCTACCCCTACTCTCTCTTTCAAAATAAATAAACTTTTTATATATATATACATATGTTTTATTATTATGTGTGTGTATATATATATATATATATATATACACACACACATATGTTTCAGTATTATTTAGGTATGGCAAGGCCAGCGGATGCCAGGAGGAAGGGACACAGCAAGGCATTGTGGGGCGGGCACTGAGGAAGCACCCATGTAGGTCCGGAGGGTAAATGTGGTTTTAGAGCCTTTGTTGTGCTTTCCTCAGGAAGGAAGGGGCAAGGCAGGGGAAACGGGTTTAGGATCGGCTACTTTAAACCATTTCAGCAGGCTCTGGGGCATGGGAGCCGGCCCTAGTTGTCTGAGGCGTGGCCCTGGGGTGAACCGTCAGGGGCGGGGGGGGGGGGGGGGGGGGGGGGGGGGGGGGGGGGGGGATAGTGGAGGTGGAGCCCAAATGAAGGGAAGGCCTGAGAAGAAGGCCTTTGTGGGTGTGAGCTCTGGATTTGCATGCAAAAGGCCTTCTGGCAGGCCAGCTATTTACTCTTTCTAGATATTGGGTCCACAAGGCCCCAGGGGCACAGTTGAGTTACAGCAATGGGCTCCGGTGAGTGGGGCCCCTAGTGAATCGTGGATCCACTTAAACCAGGGAACACCAGCTCGGTGCCTTTGCCGCAGACAGTTACGCCACCTGTCTTCTGAGCCTCTGGCTTGCAGTGTCCTGTGTCTGCCGCCGCTCTGCAACACGAAGTGTGCTTGCGCTTGAGATAACTTGTGAAGGTTTTCTGTTTTCGCATCATTACACCGTACGACAGATAGCACGCATTCCCTGAGTGCAAGCGCTCATAAGTCGTGTGCATTTCTAGGGTGTTTTGTCAGTGAACATATGAAATATTTTCAGGGACATGCATATTGACAGCTAGTCTGTAAATATCAAACATTTATAGTCCATAAATATTAAACATTTCTTGGAGCCGTTAAATGGCATCACTTTGAAAAGGGGAGGGACTTGGAAGCTTTAAACATCAATAGTATAACTGTTGGGGCACCCGGGTGGCTCAGTCAGTTGAGCGTCTGACTTCAGCTTAGGTCATGATCTTGCGGTTCTTGGGTTCAAGTCCCACATCGGGCTCTGTGCTGACGGCTCAGAGCCTGGAGCCTGCTTCAGATTCTGCGTCTCCATGTCTCTCAGTGCTCCTCCCCGGCTTGTCTTTCTCTCAAAAATAAATAAACATTTAAAACTCTTTTTAAAAATAAATAAATAAACATCAATATTATAACTGTAGATAAATTGAAATGTTTGGCCTGAAGCGGAGTACATTAGAGCTACAAATGACTCTTGACTTAGAACAGGGAAGTACATTACATAAACTATGAAATGAAATTAGCTATTTAGATTGTTATAACGGAGCCTTAAAATATTAAATATCTATATGACTGGAATGAGAGCAGGTGGCTCAATGGGTTTTGAAACCTCCATTATCCGTTTCTTATGAAGATTTGTTAATAAACACTGGTGGCTCATTTTTACAATTTCAGGGAATTCATGAAATTGGTTAAGATCATTTGTTAATTGTTATCTTCATAGCTTCAGTGGTTTTCCTGTGCGATGCTTTCTTCCACCACCCCTATTCTGGCTTACTCTTCAGAAAAATACTAAACTTTAAAAGTTATTGTAAAGTGATTTAGTTTTATGATTTGAAACATGAATGTTTAAAAGTGTTCCTTTGGGGATTAGGGGATCTTATTACAACTGTATCCAGAAATGGGCACAAATGTCTCTCTTGTGTGTGTGTTAGCCTGTGCATGCCATGGAAAAGGCTCCCTTTCTGGTGTCTGCCATTTGGAGACGGGAGTCTGTGACTGCAAACCTCATGTGACCGGACGGCAGTGTGACCAGTGCTCGGTAAGATGCCCGCTGGTCACTGCGTGCGATTAAAGTGTGAGTCGGCGATGTCTATGATCACTACCTTAACATTGGTTCCAATGAAATGGACTTCATGACAGCCGGAAAGAGCTAATGCCCAGAAGGTGGCTGATGAATGCAGTGGGTCCTTACCTGCAGAGTATGTGTTCAGTTCACAAGGGGGTGGAATGAGGTCGTGAACACTTTATGATTCTATGAAACACCCTATGTTTGAGTTGAGAAACGTTCTCGTGAGTGTTAGTGGCTAACTAAAATGTGTTTGTGGCTTCCCCAATTCTGCCCCTCCTGTGAAACAGCACGGCTATTACGGGCTGGACACAGGGCGTGGGTGCCTGCCCTGTAACTGCAGCGTGTCAGGCTCCCTGTCGGATGACTGCACGGAGGAAGGCCAGTGTCCCTGTGTGCCAGGTGTAGCTGGGAAAAAGTGCGACAGGTGTGCGCATGGCTTCTATGCATTTCAGGACGGTGGCTGTACACGTAAGTTCTGGACTTTATTATTTGAGACTGTGTAGGAATTTCCAGACTTTGCTTGGAGCTCTCCTTTGACTTCGAATTCTGTTACGTCCCTTTACTTTTTCCCTTATGTGTAAGATTTCATACCTTTTTTCTGTTTCCTGATCCCTATTCTTCATTAGTCCAGGAGCTCTGGTCAGGCTTTCCTAATTGTGTGACCTTCGATTAGCTTTAGTTTCTCCATCTGCCAAATAGAGAAGCTAATGACAATCTCCATCCAGGACTTATTTTTAATGCTGAGTATAAAGTCCTTAACACGGCATTTGGCACACGATACGTGCCCCGTAAATATTGGCTGTATCTGTTCTTCCCACCTGTTTCTGTTGATCTGTCCCGATTAACCCTTTTCCAGCAGCGCCTCCTAACAGGGAGGAACAGCCACCTCCCGGGAGACACAGACGAGTCTTGGGAACCACGAGGTCTCTGTTAGGAACTAGAAGAATGGTTTAGAACAGTTTGGGATAATTAATAAAAGGGGGATGACCCGTGGCATCAACTCGGACCCCTTCAACCGCACGATGGCCCTGATGTGTTACAACACTGTCTGCCTTCATTGCAGCCTGTGACTGTGCCCACACACTGCACACTTGTCACCCGGAATCAGGGGAGTGCATCTGCCCTCCTCATACTCGGGGCGCATCCTGTGATGAATGTGAGGACGGATACTGGGGCCGCGACCCGGAGCTCGGATGCCAGGTGTGTGCTGCCCTCTGCGTTTTTTTTTTTTTTGGTTTTTGGTGGGGTTTTGTTTTTTTTTTTGACATTTATTTTTATTTTTGAGAGACAGAGAGACAGACACAGAGCCTGACGCGGGGCTCAAACTCATGAACCACGAGATCATGACCTGAGCTGAAGTCGGCCGCTTAACCGACTGAGCCACCCAGGCGCCCCTGTCTGTGTTTTCTTAACCGGAAGCCCTTTGCTGGAACAAGTTATGTTCCTTCTCTGTCATTCATTCACTTGACCTTAACCCAGTGAACAGCTCTGTGGTTTGGATTTAAAATTCAGGATTGGTTCAGGCATCAACGTGGAAGGAGCAGCACCTTTCAAGTACATCATTCTAAGTTTTTTTTTTAAGAACCAGCTGTGGAATCGATGGCTGGAAACCTTTATTTTGATGCCCCTTACATGTATTCTGCATGTACACTCTCTTCCAGGAGAAGGGCATATGTCACGTTACTGGAGGGTTATATCCAGTCTTGAGCATTTCTGTTTTCTATGTAGCTTTCATTGGGTAAACTGAGACATAGTTTGTGTTTTGAAAACAGACTTGACTTTGACTTGTAGATGATGTTGACTTTCAGGTCACAGGTTGGGCCCAGGGTGCATGTGCCTCAACGGGGCACAGACATCCAGTCACCGCCTCCCACTGGGCTCCTGGCAAAGTGAATCTGGGGAGCCATAATGAGAGAGACCCACTTACCCAGATCACTTCCCCACACTTAGTGTTCTAATGTAATCCCAGCACGTGTACATGATGAAAATGTAAGAGGTACCTTTTGATTTAGTGAGTTTGTTTTTCCAGGCCTGCAATTGCAGTGGTGTTGGGGCAGCCAGTCGTCAGTGCGACGTGCTCACTGGCCGTTGCCGATGTAAGCCGGCGTTCGGTGGCCCCAGCTGCCATCAGTGCTCCCAGGGGTACAGAGGCTTTCCAGACTGTGTGGCCTGTGACTGTGACCCGAGAGGGACCTTGGCAGACACCTGTGATGAGGAACAGGGTCTCTGCAGCTGCGCAGAGGAGACCGGTTCCTGCTCTTGCAAGGTAACGGCCCTTGGCGTTCTGCTTTCTCCCCTTCTTGCACACATCATTATGACTTTTGGGCTTTCAGCTACAGTAGGACCTTGGTCTGTGAGCATAATTCATTCCGGAAGCATGCTTGTAATCCAAAGCACTTGTATATGAAAGCGAATTTCCCATAAGAAATAATGGAAACTCAGATGATTCGTTCTACAACCCCAAAATATCCATATAAAATGACCACAGTACTGTATAATACAAAATAATACAGAAAATACAACATATAAAGAAAAATGAACAAATTCACCTGCACTCAGCTTTGAAAAGCTTCGTGGCTGGTGTGAGGGAGATAAGAGAGAGGAGGGTTATTGTGTAGGACGCCTTTCACGGTCACTAACGGAATCACTGCTATCTATTGGCTCAGTGGAAGCTTTTTATTTTCACGCACCTTTAACAAGGAGCCTATCCAATGACACATGCTTTTGCTTCCTTTGGAAGATTTCGCAGAAATGTGATATTGCATTGATGATCACCCACAGTCCCGCAGTGAACAAGGGGGAGAGAAAGAGAGAGAAGAACCATTGGCTCAGTTGGGATCGTGTGACGTGCAGCGTCACATCCTACTCATGTTGCAAGACATTGATTTATCAAGTCAAAATTTGCTAGACATGTTTGCTTGTCTTGCAGAATGCTCGCAGAACAGGCTACTCGCAATGCAAGGTTTTGCTGTATTGAAATCAGCAGCTGGGTTGTAGACCCTTCTTGTAGCACTCACTACCTTCTAGTTTCGAGTTAAAAGGCTGTGTGGGCTCTTCTAGAACAGTTCTCTAAAGTGGGGTTTTTACTGGTTATTCTAAGTGTCAGATGATGGAAATGAACGGAAAAACACTGAGTTTTCTGTTGTGTTCCGGTTGGCTGAGTAGCCAGCATCTTGAATATACAGGTAGCACAGGGCTTCAAGAAGATGTGATTTTCTAGCTGGTAATTATTCTTTGGTATGTGCCGACCAGACTGAAGGAAATTTGTGTTTATTGTTGTTCCAGCAGGTAAGATTTCAACATCATGTTTAATTCTGTGTTTCCCGCTGTGCTTTGTGATTAGGAGGTAACTGACGACCTCTGATCCTTTTCCAGGTGCTGGTGAGATGGAAGAGAGAGGGTAGTGGGCTGATTAGTGACTAAGGATGAGGAAGGGAAAGCTCGTGCAGTTACTATGGCCCGGAAGGAATGGAAACACCAGTGAATGTTTTTTTGGCTTACCACACAGGTGATAGCAGCTTTCATCCGAACAGGACAGGAAGGGCCTGCCCTAGGGATCACCCGGTCCCTGATTCGCCACCTGACTGGTCATCAGAGTCACCTGGGGCCTTGGGGAGGCACCGTCAGGCCGCTCCAGGAAAGGCTCATCAGGCAGTCTATATATGCCCGCGGCTTCCCAGCTGATCCGGAGGGTCAGCTGCGTTTGGGAATCACTGCTCTCTGGGCGCCAGAGAGTGGGTGTTCCTTGAGGTTAGGGAGCTTGCTTTGCCTAAGGAAACGGCTATTTTGGAAACGTTTGCTGCTCCAAAATTATTTTTGTGTCTGATTTCATTCCTGTTCCAAAATCATCTCTCCTTTTTTTTAGGTACCAACAAACGAGTCTGTTGCTCTTTCCCCTTTAGGAAAATGTGTTTGGCCTTCAGTGTGGTGAGTGTCGAGCCGGCACCTACGGCCTCCGCGCTGATGACCCTCTGGGGTGCGCCCCGTGCTTCTGCTTCGGGCTGTCACAAGTCTGCTCAGAGCTCGAGGGTTACGTGAGGACCCCGGTAAGTTGCAAACGCAGTAAGACTTGCTCTTTGTAAAGCCCTCCCCGCCATGGAAGTTGGATGACGGCAGGGGAGACTGTCCAGTACTTTAAACTTTGCTTTGATGGCATCAGAAATTCCAGGAAGCTGATCTGGGTTTGTTGTGAATCGGGGCTCTGTTTTCTGCCACCCACGGAAATAAACGAAGCTGGGACCAAAGGCACCCAGTGTTGCTCTTAGCTACTCTATGGAAAGCTCTACTTGGAGGGAAGATAAAACTGCAACTCACAGCAGCCTCCTTCATAGGATGGACTCTCGCCCCAGTGTAGCAGTAGCTTGCCCTAAATGCAAGCGTGTAAAACACGTGTGATTTGCATCTTCCCCCAGACGGTTGAGTTTGAAGGAAACGTCTTTGTTATTCCTGTTCTAATAACAAAGCCATCCCGTCTGTGAAACGGTGGTAGAATCTGGCACATCAGAGGTGGGGCTTGAATTCGTGTCCTAAGGTGTGTTTTTCTTTCCTTCCATGACTAGATAACTCTGGGCTCCCGTCAGCCTCTCCTGCGTGTGGTTTCGCAGAGCAACCTCAGGGGCACGACCCAGGGCGTGTATTACCAGGCTCCTGACATCCTCCTGGACGCCGTGACTGTCAGGCAGCATGTCCACACGGAGCCTTTTTACTGGAGGCTGCCAGAGCGCTTCCAGGGAGACCAGGTGAGGCCCCGCCCAGCCTAGAACTGGTCCGCACTTCCTGGGAGACTCTGGTCTCCAAATTCACAATGGGCTGTGTTAGCCTACCATTAACCCAGGGGGTTATTAGTTCACTCTTCTAAGTGGGGATGGAGAAGTTCAACTCTTAGCAAAATCCCCCCATGGGGTGCTTGGGTGGCTCAGTCAGTTAAGTGTCCAACTTCAACTCAGGTCATGATCTCCCAGTTCGTGGGTTTGAGCCCCGCATCGGGCTCTGTGCTGACAGCTAGCTCAGAGCCTGGAGCCTGCTTTGGATTCTGTGTCTCCCCTCTCTCTCTTCTTTCTCTCTCTCTTTCTCCTTTCACAAGGATTTTTCATTGTTATTAATGTAAGCTCAAGGCAACCTAGATGCTGTGTTTCTTCTTAAGAAATCACCAGTTGTTGGGTGAGGGCGGGGTTTACAACCTACTGTAACAGAGTAGTGAAGCCCTCACTCACATTTTTGTTTAAATAAATTTCAGAGTGTGTGTGTGAATTAGCCCAGATCTTTAAAATTTGCAAATATGGGGCTGCCTGGATGGCTCAGTTGGTTAAGTGTCCGACTTCGGCTCAGGTCATGATCTCACGGTTCATGGGTTCGAGCCCTGCATCAGGCTTAGTGCTGACAGCTAGCTCAGAGCCTGGAGTCTGTTTTAGATTCTGTGTCTTCCTCTCTCTCTCTCTGACCCTCCCCTGCTCATGCTGTCTCTGTCTCTCTCTCTCAGAAATAAAAAAACAAAACAACAATAAAAAACATTAAAATTTGCAAATATGTATCCAGTGTTCCTATAGCTGTAGGTCCTTTTTAATTCAAAGGAGCTTGAAAATAATGAGGACTATTACACCACAGATTTGTTACTTTGGCGCTTACCTCCATGGGTGGCGTCAAGAGGAAGTTCTGGGAGGTGATGGCCATGTCTGTAGCCTCGATGAGGGTGGTGGCCTCACAGGTGTATACTCATTCCCAGACTCGCTGAGCTGTACAATGGAAATAGGTACAGCTTTTTACATGCCGAGCATGCCTCCATTTAAACAAACAAACAAAAAGAACCTGTTAAAACATCACTTACTTTAAAAAAAGGAACTGGGGTGCCTAGGTAACCCAGTTGGTTAAGCATCCTGCTCTTGATTTTGGTTCAGGTCGTGATGGCATGGTTTCATGGGTTCGAGCCCTGAGTTGGCCTCTGCATGTGCTTGTGCTCTCTCTCTCTCAAAATAAGTAAACATAAAAAAGAAAGAACTATAGCTTGAGTCAACCTAATAATCCATAATTAAGTCGAATTAGAAGGAAGCAAATTCCAGAAAACCTATTCCACCCATGTGATGTAGTTTTAAGATGCAGGATTTCTTTCAAATGGCAGTAGGCTTGTGATGAAAATAAACCAGCGCATGTCAGAGATGTAAGCCATTTACTGTCCCACAGCTCCTGGCCTATGGTGGCAGACTGAAGTACAGTGTGGCCTTCTATTCTTCCAATGGCATGGGCACCTTCAACCTTGAGCCCCAAGTGCTCATCAGAGGAGGCCGGACCAGAAAGCAAGTCATTTATGTGGATGTGGCAGCACCGGAGAACGGAGTGTGGCAAGACCAAGAAGTGGGAATGAAAGAGGTGATGGTGACCCTTTTCGCATATGTCCCTTAACGGTGTGAAGTTAGCACTGGGTGCAGTGGAATGACAGGGAGCCATTAGGAGAGCCAGCCAGAAGACCTGGAGATCGAAATTCCATCGGGTTTGGCAAGATTTGTAAAAATGATTAAAATTTCATGTTCTCAAAAACTGGATATTAGGTTTGTGTTAATTTGGGGGCAAAATTGCACCCTAAATCGTTCATCGTGATACCTGAGCCTCCCCCTGAGTGGACGTAATGGTGCGAAGGTCTGGACTTGCTTGGACCGGGCAGGTGTGTGCTCTCTCACCCAGTAGAGGTCTGTGGATGGTTCACCATTCATCTGCTGTAGATGACACCTGTCTGCTGACAAACGAGGCTGGTGTCACTGCCGCCCCAGGAGGTGACAGGACACTGCCTCCGTTATGCTCGTGCTCATGCACGGGACTGGGCTCACTTCTGGAGAATTTATAAAAGAATAAGTTCACAAGCACCTGAGGATTTGTAACCTGGATGTAATCGAATTGTGTTTCTCCCCCCACAGAATTTTTGGAGATATTTTAACTCTGTTTCTGAAAAACCTGTCACACGCTCTGATTTCATGTCTGTTCTAAGCAACATCGAGTACATCCTCATCAAAGCATCTTATGGTCAAGGATTACAGCAAAGCAGGTACTTGGAATCTTCTAGAGCGAAACAGATTTTTTAAAATTTGAAACCAAACCGAAGAGATTTGATTCATCCTTATTACTTCATATATTTATTAGTCTACATATATCTGTGCTCCTCACCAAAACTTTATTAAATATTAATATTGTGAAATGTGTGGAAAATGACCTCAATTATTCATCCTCCAATTAATATGGATATAAAATATGAGTACATAATGGTGAAATCTTAGCTGAGGATGAAATATAAAGACAAAACAAAACAGTTCTGCCATCTTCTGCCCTTGAACTGAAATGCTGTTTCTTTGTAATGACACATCAAGAATGCTGTCACCTGCTGGTTTAGTACTTATCCCATAAAGAAAGCTGCTAAGTTATGACCAAACTAGTACTTCCGGGGTTGTTCTAGGTGTGCTTTCTGGAACATCACTTGTCAGGTGTAAGATGGCGGCTGGGGACCTTCACTGTGTAATGACAGTACTGATGGGCTTTTACACATTCCCTTTATAATCATGTAGGAGCTACTCTCAACCCGGCAGGAAAGCTCCGGTTTAATATATGAGCAAATTCATTATGTAATGTGCTAGGTCTCTAGAAAGTGTCTTTTTACATATTCACATCCCCTCTCACATTTCACGGTTTCACAGAATCTCGAATATTTCCATGGAGGTTGGCAGAAAGGTGGAAAAGTTGCCCCCGGGACGGAAGGTGGCATCCCGTTTAGAGAAGTGTCTCTGTCCCCCTGGCACGGCTGGGTTCTCCTGTCAGGTAGGGACACGGTACTTAGACCCATTACCTGGTTCTGAATGGAAATCCACTTGTTAAAACAACTCCCAGTGATGATCGGAATTTGTATGTATTGTATAATTTCTCTCTTTAAAAAAACTTAATTATGGTCAAATATGCATAAACACAAATTTTGGTTAAATCTTAACCATTTTTAAGTGTATCATTCAGTAGCATTAAGTACATTCACACTGTTGTACCACCAAACCCCAGGATTCTTCGACTTGCAAAACTGAAAATCTGTACCCATTAAACGGGAACTCCCCCGTCTCCCTTCCCACAGGCCTGGCAGTCACCTTCCCTTCTGCGTGAATTCTACCCACACTAGGTCCTTCAGTTAAATGGAATCCTGCAGTATTTCTCATTTGTGACTGGCTAGCCTCCTGTCTTCTGATTGCATCCATGCTGTGGCATGTATCAGAATTTGCTTCCTTTTGAAGGCTGAATACTATTCCACTGTATGCATACACCACAGTTTTCTTGTTAATTCATCTGTCAGTGGATGCTGCATTGACTCATTTTGCCTGTTGTGAATATAGCTACCCAAATATGTCTCCAGAACCCTCATTTCAATTCTTTGGGGTTTATACCCAAAGGTAGCATTGCTCGGTCATGTGGTAGTTCTGTTTTTAACGTTTTGAGGAGCCGCCATACTGTTTTCCACAGTGCTGCACCATTTTCTATTCCCACCCATGGTGCATGAGGGGCCCGCTTTTTCCGCATCCTTGACAACTTATTGTTTTCTGGTTTTTTGATGGTAGTTATCCTGGTGGGCATGAGGTGGTATCTCATGGTGATTTTGATTTGCAGTTCCCTAATGATTGGTGAGCTTGAACACCTTCTCAGGTGCTTATTAGCCGCTTGTATCTTCTTTGGAGAAATGTTTATTCAAGTTGTGACACTGTGATTCATAAGAAGAAATAGATATTTGGTCTTTATCCCCAATTCCTAGCACAGAGTTCTGTATTTATTTTAGCTTTTCTGTAACAGCTTTATTGAGATATAATTCAGACATCATACGATTCATATAAAATTATCTTTGAAATCTTACAAATGACAATTCAAAATATTTTTCAGTTGTAATCTGATAACTGTAATCCTACAATTATTTTCTCATGAATTCCATTGAAGATTTATTTATTTACTTTTGTGCTTATTTTAATTTATGTTTTAAATTTACATCCAAGTTAGTTAACATAGAGTGCGACAATGATTTCAGGAGCAGATTCCTTAATGCCCCTCACCCATTTAGCCCATCCCCCGTCCCACAACCCTTCCAATAACCCTCTATTTGTTCTCTGTATTTAAGAGTCTCTTATGTTTTGTCCCCCTCCCTGTTTTTATGATTTTTGCTTTCCTTCCCCTATGTTCATCTGTTCTGTATCTTAAAGTCCTCATGTGAGTGAAGTCATAATTTGCCTTTCTCTGACTAATCTTGCTTAGCCTAATATGCTCTAGTTCCATCCACATAGTTGCAAATGGCAAGATTTCATTCTTTTTGATTGCCGAGTAATACTTCAGTGTGTGTGTGTGTGTGTGTGCGTGTGTGTGTGTGTGTGTGCGTGTGTGTGTGTGTGCCATCCGTATATCCAACCATTGATGGACATTTGGGCTCTTTCCATGCTTTGGCTGTTGTTGATAGTGCTGCTATAAACATTGGGGTGCATGGGTCCCTTTGAAACAGCACACCGATATCCCTTGGATAAATGTCTAGTAGTGTAATTGCTGGGACGTAGGGTAGTTCTATTTTTAATTTTTTTAAGGAAACTCCATACTGTTTTCCAGAGTGGCTACACCAGTTTGCATTCCCACCAGCAGTGCAAAAGAGATCCTCTTTCTCTGTGTCCTCGCCAACATTTGTTGTTGCCTGAGTTGTTAACGTCAGCCATTCGGACGGGTGTGAGGTGGTGTCTCATTGTGGTTTTGATTTGTATTTCTCTGATGATGAGTGATGTTGAGCATTTTTTTCATGTGTCGGTTGGCCATCAGGTTGTCTTCTTTGGAGAAGTGTCATTCATGTCTTATGCCCATTTCTTCACTGGATTATTTGTTTTTTGGGTGTTGAGTTTGATAAGTTCCTTACAGATTTTGGATATTAACCCTTTATCTGAAATGTCATTTGCAACTATCTTCTCCCATTCTGTCAGTTGCCTTTTAGTTTTGCTGATTGTTTCCTTCGCTGGGCAGAAGCTTTTTATTTTGATGAGGTCCCAATAGCTCATTTTTGCTTTTGTTTCCCTTGCCTCCGGAGATGTGTTGAGTAAGAAGTCGCTGTGGTGGAAGTCAAGGAGGTTTTTGCCTGATTTCTCCTCAAGGATTTTGATGGCTTCCTGTCTTACATTTAGGTCTTTCATCCATTTTGAGCTTATATTGTGTATGGTGTAAGAAAGTGGTCCAGGTTCATTTCTCTGCATGTCGCTGTCCAGTTTTCCCAGCACCACTTACTGAAGAGACTGTTTTTATTCCATTGGATATGCTTTCCTGCTTTGTCAGAGATTAGTTGGCCATATGTTTGTGGGTCCTTTTCTGAGTTCTCTATTCTGTTCCATTGATCTGAGTGTCTGTTTCTGTGCCATCTAGCACACAGTTCTTAAATGCTTGGAATTTCCTAAGTGATGAGATCTGTAAATGTGTCTCTTGTTATATGAATAAGGTGACTTTTGGAAAGTTCCTAGGTCCTGTAAGGATGGAGGCTGGTCACCAGAAGAACCCAGCATGTGGGAGAACTTTCAGTCTTATCGCCAGACCTCAGGGGACAGAGGAGGGGCTAGAGCTTGAATCAGTTTCCAGGGGCCATTGATTTCCTCAATTGTGCCCTATGTAAGGAAAACTCCATGAAAACCCAAAAGGATAGGGGTGTCTGGGTGGCTCAGTCTGTGAAGTGTCCGACTCCGCTCAGGTCATGATCTCACAGTTTGTGGGTTTGAGCCCCATGCTGGGCTCTGTGCTGACCTCTCAGAACCTGGGGCCTGCGTCAGATTCTGTATCTCCCTTTCTCTCTGCCTCCCTTGGCTCATACTCTGTCTTTCTCTCTCTCTCTCTCAAAAATAAACATTTTTTTTTAAAGGCCACAAGGATAGAGTTCAGATAATCTCCTTGTTGGTGGCACGTGGTGAGCCAACAGAGGACGTGGAAGCTCCAATCCCCGTCCCCATACCATGCCCTCAATATCTCTTCCATCTGGTGGTTTCTGAGTTATATCCTTCTATCAGAAGCCAGTGATCTAGTTCTGGCTCCACCCTAGCAAAATCAAGCTCGAGGAGGGAGTTGTTGGAACCTCCAGTCTGTAGCTCATTGTCAGAAGCACAGGTGACAGCCTGGACTTGTGACAACTTGGATTTGGTGGGGAGGGGCAGACTTCTAGAACTGAGCCCTTAACCTGTGAGCTTTGATGCCACCTCCAGGTGTTCAGTGTCAGAAATAAATTGTAGGACACCCTGCTGGTGTCCAAACGTTGCTTGGGGGAGGGGGGTGACCCACACAACAGAACTGGTCACAGAATATACTGAGCAGAGCTGGGGATCTGAAGTGGAATTGGCATCAGAATCCTTACAAGTCCTTCACCCATTGTTTTAATCATGTTCGTTTCCTTTTGCATCTTCTCAGGACTGCGCACCTGGTTACCATAGAGGGGAGATCCCGCAGGGTGGTGGCCGAGGACCCCGGCCTCTGCTTGCCCCTTGTGTGCCCTGCCATTGCAGCAACCACAGTGATGTCTGCGACCCCGAAACCGGGAAGTGTCTGGTACGTGTGTTTGTGTGGGTTCTTAGAGGAGGCACCGAGTCTTTGAATCTCTGGCCCAGAGTCCTATCGATTTCTTGGTTTAGAGAGAGTAAACCATACATAAATGTCCTTCCAAAATGCTTATTGGCTAAGAGGGCAGATGTCGTCAGTGCAAAATCTTTTAGAAGTTTTAGTTCCGTGAACCTGTTTGTGGGCATCAACTGGGGAATTGGTTACGTGTACTTGCAGTACTGGTGGTTGTGGTCAAAGTAGATGAGACCTTTGTGTCCTGGAATTGGGTGGGTCCGCTGGAGGTTTTAAAATAAGTTAATGCCACTCCTACAAGTTTATTTCTCTCCTTGCATTTTAAAAAAAATGCTTATTTTTTGGGATCTTGGGTGGCTCAGTCTGTTAAGCCTCCGACTTCGGCTCAGGTCATGATTCTGTGGTTTCTGGGTTCGAGCCTCTCATCGGGCTCTGTGCTGACAGTTCAGGGCCTGGAGCCTGCTTTAGATTCTGTGTCTTCCTCTCCCTCTGCCCCTCCCCCGCTCATGCTCTGTGTCTCTCTCAAAAATAAATTTTAAAAAATGAATAATACTTCTTTTCTTGGATGTCTTAGTATGCATTTGCTTCTCAGACACCTTTTCCTTGTTAAAAAACCAAAATTCAAAATTCAAAAGTTGAGGCTATAACTGACTTTACTGAGGGATTCGTGAATTGGGCAGCAGTCCCATCCATCACGTAGAGGGGGTCTCTGGAGTTGTACAGAATAGAAATTTTTTAGGAGGGAGGGGGGCAAGGAAGTTATTTTCAAAAACAAAAGGGGGCGGCTGGGTGGCTTAGTCGGTTGAGCGTCCGACTTTCTCTTAGGTCATGATCTCGCAGTTCGTGGGTTCGAGCCCCGCGTCGGGCTCTGTGCTGACTGCCAGCTCGGAGCCTTGAGCCTGTTTCAGAGTCTGTGTCTCCCTCTCTCTCTGACCCTCCCCTGCTCACGCTGTCTCTCTCTCTCTCCTAGAAATAAATAAAAAAATATATTTAAAAAAAAAAAAAAAAAAGGATTGTTCCGGGCAAGGTCACTTTCCCTTAGGGGGAGGGGCAGGGGGTCTGATTAGGTGGATTACCTCCCCCTTCCTTTTCCGGGATAGAGGAGGGCCCACGTGACTGGTTACCTCACTGGTGCTGATCAGAAAACTCCTGACTGACTGGTTAAATACATTTCTGGGGGAGGTTGAGTCAGGGTAGGTATTAGGTCCAGTTTGGTGTTTTGGCCTAAGCGGTGCCGTTTGGGACCTGGGGTTCTCCTTCTAACCCCTTAGACCAAGATTGGTCCTGGAAACCTAAGGAGAATTCTCATCACTAGAAAGGAACAAACTGGCCAGATGGAAGTCTTGAGGTCTTGACTGAGGGCAAACTCTTGGGTCTGTGATTTCACTGAAGCTGACAGGGCCTTCTTGATAACCTAGAATAATCTGATATTCTTTCCCTAACTCTGGAAATCTCATTTTTAAAATCCTAATTCTTGGAGAAACATTGGTAACTCGTATAAATTGTGCCAAGACTAACTTACCTCAGGTAAAATAACTCCCTGAAGGGAAGTGAGCAGCCCGCCGAGAAAGACACACCTGAAGCCTGAGCACTCCCAGGTGGGCTTAGGCACAGGAACAGGACAGGGAAATTAGGACCGGGGGAGGTGGGGGGCTCCCAACTGGCATGCACCACTCTAGATCTGCCTTCTTCTGTCTGGAAGCATTTTTCTTATGTGGCATTTAAAGGTCATTTGCACTGGGGACGTGGCTGAACTGTTGCAGGTGAATTTCAATGCCGCAGCACAGCAGGGAGTCCCTCAATTAAAAAGATATCTATTAACCTTTGGCAACTCCATTATAGGTGTGGAATTAAAGAATTATTCCAGTTCTACCAGGTAAAATGGACTTAATGAAGATGCAGATAGCTGCAACACTATTAAAAAAAATTTATTCACTTTAATCAGCTCATGCTCCAGGCAACAGTAAGGTCCTAATCAAGAAAATGAGAAAATCTCATTTAAGGATTTAAGGAGAATTGATTTCAGGCAACTTAAACCGAGATGCAATTAGCTGGGAGGGTCCCTTGGCCAGTCATGGGGACAAAGGTCTCATGGACATTTAAAGAAGTTGGTCAGGTCTGGGGCTCGTGGGTGGCTCAGTCCTTGAAGCTCAAGATCTCGTGGTTCATGAGTTTGAGTCCCGTGCCCGGCTCTGGGCTGACAGCTCAGGGCCTGGAGCCTGTTTTGGATTCTGTATTTCCCTCTCTCCCTGCCCTCTCCCACTCGTGCTCTGTCTCTCTCAAGTAAAATTTTTAAAAATGTTTATTTAAGTTTATCAGTTCTTTCATGCTGCACCTTTCCTTGGTACAGCTAACTATTTTAACAAGATGAGGTACTTTTAGGACATTAAATTATTACCCAGCCTTTCCTGGTGCAAATTCACAGAACAAAGTTCTAAGATCAGCAACTGACCTGTTGATTCGTACCCAAGAAAGAATGCATCCGGCTTACCCCAATCCAGGAAAAGATTGTGGTGAGAGTGTCACCAGCATCAATGAAGACAGATAGCTTTTGGACAGTTCCCTGCTCTGGGAGGAAAAGCTTGCCAGATGTTACCTGGAGCCCATAAGAGCTCAGGGCTGGATTTGTTAAGATTTGCAGAACAGTGGATACACATGCTCCAAGATGACTTAAGTCTGAACTACAATGTTCACACCAAGCACTTACTTAATGGATGTTTTCACACCTCCAGCAATGGGGAGCTCACTCCCACAGCAGCTCATCTCATCTTTGGGCATCCCTGATCATTCCTGGAATTTAATGCCCTGGCCTGTCCACCTATATGTGCACTTTTAATCTTTGGAGCCATTGAGACAAACCACTAATTCAAATTTGGCCATGAAAGATGGCAATATTCTAAGAAATAACTTGTAAAGCATTAAATTCCTCTTTCACATGTCAAAGGCCCTGAGTCTCCTGGTCAAAGATCCTTAGTTTATATGCCTGATGTTTCTATGCAATGGTTGAGTCCATTCACCATCCTGAGGTTAGAGTATCCTGCCCAGAGCCTGGCGCCTTTACTCCAGGTATGGGTGGGGCCTCTCTGTCTGACTCGAGGCGGCCCATGAATGCAGCCCATGGGTTTTGCCAGCCTGGTCACGGCTGCCTCTGCCAGGAAACTAGACACTAAGACTCTTCCACTCTTTCCACGTGTTTAACACCCGAGTCCTCGCTCTTTGAACATGGGGCCTTCTCTTTCCTCTTCCATCTTCATCTTGTGAGGTCTCTTGTGGTTTAGTGTAACCGCGCACTTCTACTTAACAAAATCTCTTTTAAGCACTCCCTATGGATTATCACGTAGGTGGGCGTCAAGACCATTTTGGATCTGATTTTGTCCCTCAGCCTGTAGAGTGTTCCCCCCTCTTCCTGTCACTGGGACTTTGATTGTATCTTAAAAATGACTGGTCAGACAGTTGACCTGGAAAGGGCCAGAGACTGAGGACCACCATGGTATCCATGGAGTTCCATTCCTTGGGTTCACCCTTCCACGAGATACCACTTAAAATGCTTTTATGATTGAAAAACTGACCAGCCTTTTGTGTGCAGGTCTCACGGCACGTAACTCACCCTCCATATCAGTTGACAACAGGTTGTCACTTCCCAGCCACTCTTTGGGGACAGCATGTCTTCATTTCTCTAGGATCTTGAAACCCAGGAAGCTCACAATCTGTTGTGGATTTGGGGAGTTTTTAATGCTGGAGTGGGCGGCAGCAGTGAACACCAGGAAATCTGATCAATCCTTCCTCACCATCTTCTATTTATTCTTCATCAGATTTATATTGTGTATCATTAAAACAAAACAAGAAGCTTAACACATGTTCTTTTTAAGAGAGAGGTTGCAAATTTTACTTCTAAGGAGATCGCGCTATTAGGAGCCATAGGGATCCCAGTAAAATCTACTTTCACCGGGTGAAATAGGAATCTAATTTCAAAACCGAAAATACTGGGATATTTTTAATCAACAGGGTCTTAAAAGTAATGTTTCAGACGCCTAAAAAGGTGTCTTTGTATGTCCTCTCTGGCTGCCAAGAATAAAGTCGGCTTCTGTTTGCCAGTGTTACCTCTCTTGTCTTTTTGTCCCCACGTCCCACACGGAATCCAGTGCCCAGGGCCTGGGTGGCCAGGGAGCCAACTGGGCCAAAGCAGATTTCACCTTGGAAATGGATGTCAACAGTTATTTGTTCTTTTAGATTCAAAAACTTTTTTAAAGGGTGGATCATAAGACGTGTCATCAAAATGACGACATACAGTGTAACTAGAAATGACTTGCTTATTGCAAGGATCTGTTGGTGGCGCTCTAAATAAAGCTCAGCATGTTCTTCCCCGTTTCCTAAATCGTCTGTCTGTTCACTTTTGTTCTTTCAGCCCCTCACGTGAGATCAGTGAACCCCAACTATGTGTAAAACCAATGTGCTTCAAAACTTTTTTCTGAGTTAGTATATCTTTTAGATCCATATTTTAAGGAACTGAAAGCTGGTTGCTTCTGGAAGCCCTGCGTGTGTATACATGTTGTATGTGTGTGTGTTTTCCTTAAGAATGTATTGCTAATTTCTAGGCTGTATTCATTATGATGAATGCAGGCCAGAGTGGGCAGTATTTCCAAGTTTAAAAAAAAAAAAGAAGAGGAGAGCCTGGGTAGCTCAGTAGGTTAAGCGCCTGGCTCTTGATTTCAGCTCAGATCGTGATCTCTATTTGTGGGATCAAGCCCTGCATCAGGTTCTGTGGTGATGTCGTGGAGCCTGCTTGGGATTCTCTCTCTCTCTCTCTCTCTCTCTCTTCCCCCGCCCTTTCTGCCCCCACCCCCCGCACTGGCTATCTCTCTCTATCTCTCTCTCAAAATAAGTAAAAATAAATATTAAAAAAAAGGACAAAAAAATGCTCTTCCTCCAATAATAATAATATAATAATAATAAAAGTACTACTTGACAGACCGTGGCTTGCTTAGGTATTACCAGGTAAAGATGATTTCTAACAATTATCCATTATTTTCTTCTCCTCATGAAACACGGGGATCCAGAACTGCAGCCATGGCACCGCCGGTGACCACTGTGACGTGTGTGCCCCTGGGTACTTCGGGAAGGTGACTGGCTCAGCCAGCGACTGCTCCGTGTGCGCCTGTCCCCGCAGCCCGCCTGCCAGGTGAGCCCGCACAGGTGCACGCGCACACCTGTGCCCTGAAGCTGGGGCTGCTTCCATTCCCGGCTGTGGGTTCCAGGCTCTTGGTGTGGCCTGTGTCGACTAATACCCTGTGTGTTGAGAAAGGCTGATTTTAAGAGAATGTGTTCATTAGTACAGCATTTGAAGAGAATCTTTCCCAAAGCGAAGTATCTGTGTTGGGATTGGAGTATTAGAAGGAACCCATGAAATAAAGTACTTTCAGGTTTTATTTTCTGAAGAAGAATTTTAGCTTCCAGCCTCTATATCCAGCGTACCTGGAGATGAGTTGTTATTAATCTTATGAATATCGATACAAAATATTCCATTCCTGTTTAATGTAAGGGACGGGGGGTTAGGATTTGTTTATGCTGGTGAACCGATGAAATGCAGAAATGCTCTAGTCATGAGATCGAGGCTAGCTTCTGCCTTGAACTCGTGATGCTCACATTAGAATTATCCGAACACCAAAAAGAACCAGAGATTTGATATGGATATTGGAATATCTATGAGACCTCTTTTGTTTACATGAAATTGTAATTCATAAATAACATTTCATCATTGCTTAGAATATTTGACAAGGCATGGAATGTGTACAGATCGAATACCAACTTATGGTAGACTAAAATGAAGTTTTCTTTTCAATCATTGCTTTAGTCTTCTCTTATTGTTTCCAAGTAAGTAATGCTTGGTGGAGTGCCAAGGGAGAAGCTTCCCTTCTGAACTATCAGGCACCCTAAAATTTATAGTTATTACTAGTGAACTTTTTGGGTTAAAATATATATATAGATTTTGACTCCTTAATTCCACTTCTGTAATCAATGCTATAGAAATACTTGCACGTGTGTGCAAAGATAGATATATTTTGACATGGCTTATACTTGTAAGCAATCACAGGGGAAATGAAATATCTACTTACAGGGAACTGATTTTTATATATCGTGGTACACAGCTACAATGAAATCTGGGACTAACACTAAGAATAAGGTATATCTGTAGGTACCTAATTGGCAAAAGGGGCAATTAAACTATGTAACTGAATGTAGAATATGCTAACATGGAAAAAATTCATATCTACCTGTGTGCCCATATACATATAGATAGCTCCTTCCATGTCCACGTTTCACCTTCTAGCTTGCACATTTGCATACTTTTGGATATTTTACTTCTTCAATCTAAAAAGGTTCTAGCCCCCCCCACCCCCCAGGTGCACGGTAGTGAGACGGGTGTGGATATCTCTATGAGCTCTGCATCTGAGAGACCCTCACAGACATGCTTTACTTTGCTTATGTCTTGTTTCCACAAAGTCTGTTCCTTTAGTCTCTAAGGAGGAAAAATAAGTCCAAACTGAAATGGGGCTGACCCAGAACCCTGTCACACTTTCCAGAAACTCCTACCTGTCAAAAATACCGGGCTACCCCAGAGGCTTTTTCCAGCAGGTTGCAGGTACCAAATTTAGCCTGTAGATGGCGCAAGGGGCACGGGTAATTTAAAATGTGGCAGCAGAGGTTGAAGTATCCAAAAGCTGAAATCCCTGAGATCTGAGAGGATTATTAAATTTTGAACGGCTCTGTCATTTTGCTCCTAATGGCCCATCACATGGCTCCCTGTCCTTGGGTTCATTTATTTACAGATGGTGCCCACTCCCCTGTGCAGAACTTCCTCTCTGCTTTTCCTCCTTGCCTCCTTTCTAGTCAGTTCCAGCCACCAGCGCTGGTCAGGTGGCAGCCTCCCGTGCTTGCTCACGGGCTTGTACAGCTCTCTCCAGTCCCCTTTCCATCTAATAAGCCAGGTGATAATGCCCTTCAACCTCAGAACAAGACCCTTTCCACCTGGAAAACGTTCTTGTTTGGTGACTAATTTGTTGAAATGCATGCGATGGTGCAGGTTTGTTGCAATCTGCCTATTTGCCCCTGTGCACGCACGGTTGTCACTGAGCGGACGTGCGAGGAGTATCTTTTGGATACGAGAGATGCATGCGATAGTGTTGGTCACATGTTTGTTTTCCTTCTTTTGACCCCCAGTAGATTTTAAGTCCTAAAAAGGTTGTCTGTCTGGTGTAAGCACTTAACCTTCAGAGCAGTAGGGAGTATCCTCAGAGTGATGAGTAAATCCCATAAGGAAGATTTGAAGATCTGAGAATTCAAAAAACGATTTTTTTTCTTCTAGTTTTAGTCCCACTTGCGTCTTGGAAGGTGATCACGATTTCCGCTGCGACGCCTGCAGTCTGGGCTACGAAGGACAGTACTGTGAAAGGTACCCTGGGGGGTTGGTTACCATGCGTGGAAATTGCTAGGCGCGTCTGCCCCGTTGACGCGTACAGGGCGTATTTACTAATGTGATTTGGGAGACGTTATCGGTGTGGACGTGCGTGACCGATACGGGACCTTATTTTATTCCAAAACAGCATCTACATACAATGTAGAGTGAGGTAAATGGGCTTGCGTTCTCTGTATTTTATTTGGCAGCAATGCTCGCCTTCCTTGAACGAGGGCTGGTGTGATATACGGACTTGCTGGTGTTGATACTACTGTGTATACCTTCCTGCAGGTGCTCCTCAGGCTATCACGGGAACCCTCGAGCGCTGGGTGGCACTTGCCAACGGTGTGACTGCAGCCCCAGTGGCTCTGTCCATGGCAACTGTGACCGCAGGTCCGGGCAGTGTGTCTGCAGGCCAGGCGCCACAGGGCTCCGGTGCGACGAATGCGAACCGAGGCACATTCTGCTGGAAAGCTTTTGTGTTTGTGGGTATTTTTCCTCCTCTAAATGTACAGAGATTTTTCTCTCTCTCAAATTTTTCCCTGTCATGGCATCGGCAGGATAAAGTAGGTGTGTCAGCGAGCTATCTGAGGATATGACAGACAAGGCTCTGAGAGGAAATACGTTTGGAGTTCATTGCCATCCGTCCAAGTCAAAGATGAGCAAATGCACTGTGAAGTTTGGAGCAGCAGAAGGAAACACACACCTGGCCTCAGATCCATGCTGGGCATCAGCTGTTTCTTTCTGTGTGACCCCAGGGAAGTCACTGGTCTGATTTGAGGCTTAAAGGCATCGTCTGAGAATAGGGGCTCAGTACTTCCTGCCTCCCTTCTGTCACACAGGTGGCGGGAGAATGTTCTCTGCCCATGGCTGTCATTACTGCAGAATGGCTCGTGCAGATCCAGAGAAAATGTGCATCAAGTTCAACTTTCTTTCCCTTCTAGCTTGTGATGATGAATGTGTGGGTGTGCTGCTGAATGACTTAGATAAGATTGGGAACACCATCCTTTCCGTGAACCTCACTGGCGTGATCCCTGTCCCGTCTGGAATTTTGTCAGACCTGGAAAATACAACGAAATATCTCCGGGTAGGTACTGGGAATGCGGAGATGGGTAGAAACCTATGTCACTGAGAGATGGGAGAGTCAGTGGGGACAGTATTCTGTCATTCTGTCCGTCTTCCTCATCAGGGCGGGAGTCTCATTCCCGGCGTCTAGGCTTCCTGCAGTGTAATCAGGGACTTATCGTCCACACACTAACCTGTTTCCTTGTGGGACCACTCTAAATTGTTTGATTTGTGGGGCACCCGGGTGGCTCACTCGACTAAGTGTCTGACTTCGTGGCTTAGGTCATGATCTCGCAGTCCATGAGTTCGAGCCCCGCGTCAGACTCTGTGCCGACTGCTCAGAGCCTGGAGCCTGCTTCAGATTCTGTGTCTCCCTTTCTTTCTGCCCTTCCCCCACTCCCACTCTGTCTCTCTCACAAAAACAAACATTTAAAAAGTTTTTTTAAATTAAAAAGATAAATAAAAAATAAATTGGTTGACTTGTCCCATAAATGCCTCCATAAAAATTCCTCCCCACAGTCCGGTCCTTGTGCCTTTTGGGGTAAGACAAGTCCATTTGCACCTCTTTATGACAGATCTGTGGATGTTTGAAAGCAGCTGTCCTAATACCAATACAGGAAGCAAACAGTGTCTTCTTTAATGCTGGAGTATGCTGGCAGTCAACTGTTTTCTGTAAATGTATTATTCTTAGCTAGGTTTGTAGGGCACAAAAGTTTCTCTTCCCCAGAAGGGTATCTAAACATCTCTGGGAGTAAATCATAGTTTTATGTTTAGTCACACAGGATCTGGGTCCAAAAAAGGGATGGAAAGTTAAGAAATTGGCTTAGTGGACAGCATGCTACTGTAGCATTTTTAATTCTAATGGGAAAAAATGCAATTCTTAATTTTGCTTAAAACCTACACATTAGAGCTTGAGATAGTGAATTTACTGTGTCAGGAGGTAATGAAAAGCATAGTCATTCCTGAATGCCTGGTGTAAGATAAAAGCTTAGGCGTGTGTGTGAATATGGCTGCTTCAACCATCTCGTCTTTTCTCTATAGACTTAATGGCCATAAAGAGAGGTTAGGGAACTCTCAGAGATGTGTTTTCACATTATTTTTCCTGAAATGGAAAAAAAAAATGTTTTTGAAAGATGAAAAAGTTCTCCAAAAAAAAGCAAGCAAGCAGCGTTTAAATTTCTTTTCCGCTACTATAGACATAATCAGTAAATATTATTTTCTGTCAGCATAGACCCTAGCAATGTAACAGTATTTTAAATTTGTCAAGCAAGGGAAGTACTTGATGTAAATTTCAACTCTTTTTGAATGACTTGCTCTTATTTAAACCACTTTGTCAGTTTCTTTAAGTCACTTTTTATGTGTATGTAAAGTATGCAGGTGACCTCTTAAACTGTCCATTGTTTCCACAGTTTACCTAACAGCCACCTTGCAAGGCAACTTAACTCCCTTGACCCTAAACAATAACACAGCCCCTTCAGAGGCTTGTTGTAAGGTTTAAATAAGATCAGGCAAGTCACAAAACCAGAGGAGTGTTAGCATGAATCAAGCACTTAATTGTTAGGAATTATAAAGGCTTTTCTTTACATAATACTTTGTATTTCTGCGTAGTGTTTTTTTAAGGTATCAGTAATTATAGTTAAAACTTACACGACTCTGATCCTGAAATCAAGCCAGGCTTACCCAAGAATTGTAGGAATAGAAGCGCCTGGGTGGCTTAGTCGGTTAAGCGTCTTTAGCTCAGATCATGATCTCCCGGTTTTGTGGGTTCGAGCCCTGCATCAGGCTCTGCGCTGACAGCTCAGAGCCTAGAGCCTGCTTCAGATTCTGTATCTCCCTCTCTCTCTGACCCTCCCCTGCTCACACACACACTCCCTCTCTCAGAAATAAATTTTAAAAATTAAAAAAAAAAGAACTGCAGGAATATCAGATTCTACATAACACACTTGACTACGTTCATATCTATATAGGAAATATAATGCAAAAAATGACAGTATGAAACTAGTTATCATCAAAACTTAAGCAAGTGAGACTTATTTTATTGTTTAATGCAGTTTTAAGGAAAGAAGGTTTTCCTTCTGTGAACAGCAAAAAAGAAGTGATTCTTGGGGCACCCGGGTGGCTTAGTTGGTTAAGTGTCCGACACTCGGTTTCGGCTCAGGTCATGATCTCCTGGTTTGTGTTTGAGCCCTGTATCCTGCTCTGCACTGACAGTGCAAAGCCTGCTTGGCATTCTCTCTCTCTCTCTCTCTCTCTCCCCGCTTTTCTCTCTCTCTCTCCATCCCTCTCACATTCACTCTCTCTCAAAATGAATACATAAACTTAAAAAAAGAAAAGTGATTCTTAGTCCAGAACCACTAATTTGTCTACTTTGTCCTTTTAAGGAAGCTTTACTGAAAGAAAAAACACGTAAGGACCGGGCAGAAGATGAGCTCGAAGATGCTGCAAAACAAACAGACCACCTGCTAAGGGAGGTAAGTTCTCCACCCAGAAGACCCGCCTCCCATCCAGCCCTTGAAAGCCATTGCATTGGGCCAGTCTGGAAGGTTCTATTAAATCAGGGCAAGCCCTTCCTCCCAGGAGCTGTGCTCCAGGAACGATGTCATCAAATTGGTTTTAACCCTGCCAGTTTCTGTGTTTGGTGGGAAGAGAGTCTGGACTTAATTCCTCCTGTCACTTTTGCTGAGGGATGACGGCCTGTACCGCACCTTTGGCCTTGTCATTCCCTCCGGGGAACCAAGGGGCTGCCGGGGACAGCGCCACAGGTGTCTGTGCAACTCTCAGGCTGCAGGCCGCGTGCTTCTGACTGGTGCAGTTTGAACGTCAAGTGAACCTGTTTTGATGTCAGCAGGGAATGATTTATTCCATTCGGCCCGTGCCAGATGCATGGTTTTTAGTGACACAAAAAAATCTCCTCATTCGCAGATGGTGAGGAAGGCCTATTGTCAGATTTATAATGTTCGCTTTTGGATTTCGTGTGTGTGTGTGTGTGTGTGTGTGTCCATGTTCATACCCACATAGGCACGTATGTATATAGATATGTGTATGATAGTGCATCTCTGCATGTATGTATACACACACACACACACACACACACAATCGTGCACCCTAAAGTATTAGGCCGGCCTGTTAATTTAGAATTAAGGATGATTTGGGAAGAGCTTAAGGGTTTAAATGTGGCTTCTAAGCACCTCAGTGAGCAAACAGTTGGTAGGAAATGATAAGCCGATTAGAATAATTCTCTCTACCCATTAAAGAAGATTCTCTTTGGATTTTTGACTAGAAAACACTTTTAGAACCAGTCTGAGTTACTTTACACTCCCAAAAAGTACAACCTTTCCTTTTACAAATTGTAACATCCTTAATGAAAGTAACTGCAGGGGGCGCTGGGGCGCTGCTATCGGGCTGCAGGCCTCGCAGCCATCATGGCGTTTTATCCTCACAAGGCCGCATGGGGTAAGCTTCAGTATTACTCCGTGCCATTGGTGAGGCCAGGACATGGTTAGGTACCAGGTCTCCAGCCTGGTGGAATCAGGCCTCACACCCCGTGTGCACCTGACTCCGTGTTCTTAACTCCTCAGCTAAGTTCTCGCGGTCAGTACAAATGAGCGAGATTTTGCTTTCCATACTCTATATACTTGTGTCCTAAAGTGAATATAGAATCTTCACAATAGACATGCTTGGGAGTTTGTGGTTTAATAGCCAATTAGGCTCTTTTAAAAAAAAAATTCCTTCTTTCCTCCCACAGATGGAGTAGTAAATTATTTCGCTAAGCACTTCATTTCCAACCCTGAAATATTAACCTCGCTTTACGTGACACAGGAGATGGCTTTCCTCCATACCCCGGGATATATTTTGTTGCTTAAAGAGACCACTGGAATGCCAAAGCTTGCATGTTATTCAAAGTCAAACTAACCTGAGATCTTTATTTTCTGTCAGCTCACTAGAGTGTTAAGGAGTAGCCAACATGTGACCAGGGTGACGGAAAGACTTCTCCGCAAGACCCAAGACCTCTTGACATTTACTGAGAAGCTGCAGATAAATATCCAAGGTAGTGTGCTTGGGATCCGTGTCCCGCCTGTGCTTCTGTGGCAGGAAGAGCTCCATTCCATTTATTAAACATATGAATAGACGTGTGTGATTCGCACTAAACTTCCTGGAGCCAAAAGCCTAGAATATTCCATACTTGGGGATCCTGAGTCCTGAGGTGAAAGATCATAGACTTTTGTTCAGAGTTTTGTCTTTTAGAAACATGAATGCTTTCTTTTTTTAGTTTTTTCATAATTCCTTATAAGTTCCTAAGTATCAGTGAGTATGGTGCCTCCCCATTTATTATGGATTTGTCAAATGAACGCTTATTAAGTGGAACACAGAGGGCCAGATGGTGAGCCAAACCCCCACAACAGCCCCCAAGAGAACATGAGATGCAGAAGGTTATTACTCACAGGTCCAGGAGGAAGCACCCACCATGCCTCAAGGGGCCACCTAAGTTAAGGTGGGGTACAGGCAGAGAGAGAGAGAGAGACAGGGCCTGGGGTATATTTTCTATTGAGGTTCTTTGGTGGAGTGCTTTGGGGTCCCAGGCAAAGGTTGGTCAGTCCAAACCAAAACAGAAGGGCCTTGGTAAGCACCACAGAGGTCTTATCAAAGAGGCCCCTAAGGAGAAGGCCCTGAGAGGTAGGGGAGGCTTGTTCACCAGGACTGTTGGGGAGGTCAGAACAAGAATTGACATTTGCTTGTTGACCTTGCCGGGGCTGTTATCTGGGGCATGGGCTTGCACGAGGGACTGTTGTCAGTTTAAGGTCACTGCAGGCTGCTTGACCACACAAAACCGATGCCAAGGCAGCAACACCATAGAGCAGGTGAGCTAACCTCTCGACACCAACCCCTCTGCCCCGAATAGGAGCTGATAGGATTTGGGGCTTCAGTGTGTACCCACAATATTAGAATAATTTCGTTCTACTCAACTGAAATGTATCCTCTGATCTGGCTTCAGGAATGCTATTTTCAGTTTTCTGGCTACCAGAAACATATTCTGGCTTTTCTTTCTTTTTTTTTTTTTTTTAAATATTTTTATTTATTTCTAGGAGAGAGAGAGAGAGACAGCGTGAGCAGGGGAGGGTCAGAGAGAGAGGGAGACACAGACTCTGAAACAGGCTCCAGGCTCTGAGCTGGCAGTCAGCACAGAGCCCGACGCGGGGCTCGAACCCACGAACTGCGAGATCATGACCTAAGCGAAAGCCGGACGCTTAACCGACTAAGCCACCCAGGCGCCCCTATTCTGGCTTTTCTTGTTGGGTTCTAGTTTAAGGATATAAAAAGTACTAAATCCTATAAAAGTTAGACTTTACAGGGCAAAAGGTAAGGAAATTATTAGAACACATGATCTGTTTATTAAGAAGAATTGCATTGAGTATTGGTCGTTCATTTATGCAGTAAATATTTACTGAGCTCTTGTATGTGCAAATGTTTATGCCAGGTGCAAGAAATGGTGAGGGAAACATGGCGGCCACAGCCCTTGCCCTTATGAGTTTATGGATACCAGAGAATACCAACATTAAATAAACCAATAATCTCAAATTCTTGAGTATTTTGATAAGGGGGAACCAGAGCACATTGGGATCGATGGGCTGGCCTGGCTTGGCCTGAGGGTCACCCCAATTTAGGTGAACAAAGCTGGCCTCCCCGAAGAAGGTTCCAAGTCTTTCCATTTTAGTGCTGTCCACTTTGAGAGACCTGCTGAACAATTGATGGCTTTCCTCCATAGAAATTATTGAAAAAGCAGCAACTCTAAACCAGACCTTGGATGAAGACTTCCAGCTACCCAGTTCTACTCTTCAGAATATGCAAAAGAATATTACATCTCTGCTAGAAATCATACAGAAGAGGCATTTTGGGCAGTTGCAACAACAAGCCATACTGGAACTCAAGTAAGTTTCTAAATACCATTCATGACACAATCAATTAGAGGTAGGAGCTTGAATACTGAGGGGTCAGGAGGCATGTGGGAGGGGGGTGAGGGAAAGTGCTGTCACTGGGGATGGAATGTCGTAAGAGAGGGGCCCGATCGTCACACACAAAAAATGAAGAGATGGGTGCCAGATACTCCCAATAGAAGAAGTATAATCAATGCCAGTATCTGTCTTTCTTAGTGACTCTGGAACATTTCCATGTACCACAAAAGAACCTCATGATACCATATTTACTGAAGATCAAATATGATGCAGTGAATTCCCATGGAAGAAAATATAGTCAGTGGCTGTTAACCCGCTGTAAGCTCTAAGACAGATTAATGTTATGTCAGAATGATGTAGCTCCGTTGTTTAAACTCTCGTTGAAAAGCACGATGTGGTAGGAGAGATCCAAGAATTGTTAGACCTGCTCACTAGGGCTTGTTTTTTTTTCAGGCTTTTTTCTTAGTATTTTCACAATTGTTACTTGATGTAACGTAGCACAAGTTGTGTTCCTCCTGCGGTGTGATAAATATCTAAGTAGTTACACAATATGCCATCAAAACTCCATTCTGTGTAGTGCAGTATTTAATCTATTTTGCTTTTTAAAATAATGTTGTGATGGATGTCTTAGACAAAAATCTTTTCCTACATTTTATGTTATCATCTTATTAGGCTAGATATTAAGAAGTGGAATCAGGTAGCCAAATAATTTCCATTTTGAAGATTCCTGACTTGCATTTTCAAGTTATTTTCCAAAAGACTTAAAAAGAGTTCTGTTACACTTCCACGGGCAACACACTGCAGAGTTGAGCTTACGGTTTTCTTGGCATACGTCTTTCTTTGAGCTTATACAAAAATCACTGAATATGATTTTTGACATTGTTGTTGATATGTTATGTGGAAAACAAAAGGAGGAACTTACTGTCAGATGGCATTGGAGAGAGAACTAGTAAAATAATCACTAGAACATTGGTTAGGGCCAAGAACTCACAACGAAATGGCTGCGAGGAGAGATCAGAGGAAGATGAGGTCCCAGGAAATGGGAAGAGTGCCACCATCTTGGAGCACCTGCTCTGGGCCGAGGAAGGTGCGGGCTTCACTTCTCTCATCCCGTCGCATAATCATCTCTGCTGCTTTGTGAGGTTGGGGAGGGTCCAGCTGGGGAAACGGGCCCAGAAACTACAAGTGATTTGCCCAATATTAAACCTTCAGGATCGTATGAAACCTGACCGCACACCTAAATCTGTGTCACTCTAAACCCTATGATTTTCCAACCCAATGGAAGGAAGAACCACTTGAGACCAGTCCATAAAAGATGGGTGGGTGGAATTTCAATGAGCAGATCAGAGACATGTGCTAGGTTATAATCATGTTTCCCTGACCCTGACCTCTCATGTGCGTCCTCCCTTCACCTGAAATGTGTGGTGTGGGAAGGAAAAGAGCTCACCAGGACCCATCATTCTTGAGGCGGTCATCCCAGGCTCAGCGCTGCTCTGCTCTGCTTCCTAAGCGTCCTTAGCCCCCCACTGCCTCCAGGATTACATCTAAACTTGGTGTATTCGATTCCAGCTCTCCTGGGGCTCCCTTACTGGCCCCGCTCTTCCTACCCTCCACACATGGTGTGTCCTCTCATTGCTTCTTCCCTCGGCTGCATATCAGACTCATTGGGGAGCTGATTAAAGCTGAAGATGCCCTGGAGATTCTTGGGACTCATTCGTGGGAATGTCTCTCCCACCATTACCACAGTCAGTTCATTCATTCATTTGTTCCTTCATCAAATGGATTGAGTCCCCAGGGGATAGGCATTGTGCTAGGAGTTGGGGACCCAAAGGAGAACAGAGCCTTCCTGCCCACTAGGAGCTTATAGTCCAAATGGGAGAAGTTCATTTTCTAAGTAGCGTTTGGGAGGAGGGGGGAAGACAGGGGAGCCCCTCCCCCACCTTGTTCCTTTAGCGTGCCCAGCCCTCCTCACCTGCTGGGCCCTCTACCACCCTTTTTCTGCCATTGTAGCTCTTTTTCTATTGGCAATAAAGTTACCCATAAGGCTGCCGATCTCTCTCTTCAACTTGTAAGTAAAATCATTACTACTAAAGATACCTTTTATTTAAAAACATTTAGGAGTTTAAGATGTGTTCTCTGGCCATCTCCGTCTTATTTTCCATAGATAATCCCTGTGCGTTGATGCCATTTCAAATGTCACAGATTATTTTAGGAGTTACATGTCAGCTTTTTATAATAACTCTTGGGAAAGTGGTCATGTATGCTGAAGTATGGTATTTTTTTAATGTTTATTTACTTATTTTGAGAAGGAGGGGCAGAGAGAGAGGGGGAGAGAGAATTCCAAGCAGGCTTCACACTGCCAGCATGGAGTCCTATGCGGGACTCGATCTCACAAACCATGAGATCAGGACCTGAGCTGAAATCGAGGGTCGGACGCTTTACCGACTGAGCCACCCAGATGCCCCACTGCTGAATTATGACATTCTGATAGGTGAGAATACTTATCACACCATCCAGTTGCTTATCATGCTTGTGTTGGGGTCCCCCAAACCATTCAGAGCTTCACTAGGACTCTAGGACTCTCCAGACTCATGGACAAGATTTCTTAGGGGATGAATGAAGCATGCACAGCTGGATACACAGGGGAGAAGACAGCGGAGCCTGGAGGAAACCAGGAAACTTTTCCTAAGCTCTCTCCTCCCCAGGATGGGTGAGAGCATACAGTGCCCTGGCAATGAAACTGTGGCACCACATTTGGGATGTTTCTACCCAGGAAAGCCCATGAAAAGTTCAACATCCAGGGTTTTTACTGGGGCCTGGTCTCATCTGCACCTTCCACCTAGCACATACTACATTCCAGACTCTCAGAAGGAAAGCAGGACAAACCACACTGTTTGCACAAACGGTTGAGGCAATGAGCCATTCTTAGCAGTCAGGGATTGGTGGGGATGCTTGCAGATACCAGCCAGGGGCCAGATTTGCCAGCAGGGCTTTCGAAGGATAGCTGACTCCTTTACTTCATGCTGTAAGTTATCCTTTGTAGCTTTGTTTCCCAGCTGTTTTCCATGCTCATGTCCTGAGTGCTAGCCAGAGATACTTCATTAAAGAAATGTGTCCTGTGACCGCATAAGTTTGGGAAAGGCAGTGTCTACTAAGGAGAGACAAGGTCTTCACTGCAGATCCTTTCCAAGCTGTTAGCACGCTCTGTGCATCAGAACTCTCTGGGAGAAGCCGAGAGAAGACAGCCCCACTTACTTCATCACGGAACTCTTTCTCATGAAACCTGCTTCCAGCTCATGGGGCATTGGTGCTGTGGAGGGATGTAGATTGAGAAACACTGGCTTAGCTGTATCAGTTGAAAAAAGTTTGCAGGAAGAAATGAAGAGTGCTGAGTTTCTTTTGTTGTTGTTTTCTTTACAGTCTTTGCCAGGTCAATGATGACTGTAACCCTGTATGTGATCACAGTTTTTGGTGGCAAAGTCACTTCATAGATGAAAAGTTGATGCCTGTTTTAAGATTTCTTAGGTACTTTGATGGGAAGAAGTGACTGGTCCAGTCTGCTTTTACCGCTGTTGTTTCACAAAGTGTTGGAATTCCTAGGATCACCAATCAGACAACAATAGGAAATAAAAGACATCCAGATTGGCAAAGAAGAAGTCAAATTTTCACTTTTCACAAATGACATGATACTGTACATGGAAAACCCAAAAGAACCCACCAGAAAGCTTCTAGAACTGATACACAAATCCAGCAAAGTTGCAGGATACAAAATCAGTTCACAGAAATCGGTTGCATGTCTATACATCAAAAATGAAGCAACAGAAAGAGAAATCAAGAAATTGATCCCATTTCCAATAGCACCAAGAACCATGAAGAGAAATAAACCTAACCAAATAAACCTAATTAAAGATGTAAAAGATCTGTATGTTGGAAACTATAGAAAGCTTATGAAGGAAATTGAAGATGACAAAAAGAAATGGAAGAACATTCCATGCTCATGGATTGGAAGAATATTGTTAAAATGTCAGTACTACCCAAAGCAGTCTACACATTCAATGCAATCCCAGTCAAAATTGCACCGGCAATCTTCTCGGAGCTAGAACAGACAATTCTTCTAAAATTTTTATGGAACCAGAAAAGACCCCTAATGGCCATAGTAATGTTGAAAAAGAAATCCAAAGTGGGAGGCATCACAATCCCAGACTTTAGCCTCTACTACAAAGCTGTCATCATCAGGACAGTATGGTATTGGCACAAAAACAGATGCATAGACCAATGGAATAGAATAGAGAACCCAGAATTGGACCCACAAACATATGGCCAACTGATCTTTGACAAAGCAGGGAAGAGTATCCAATGGAAAAAAGACAGTCTCTTTAGCAAATGGTGCTGGGGAGAATTGGACAGCAACATGCAGAAGAACGAACTTGGACCACTTTCTTACACCACACACAAAAATAAACTCAAAATGTGAGACAGGTAACCATCAAAACCCTAGAGAAGAAAACAGGCAATAACTTCTTTCACCTTGGCTACAGCAACTTCTTACTTGACATGTCTCCAAAGGCAAGGGAATTAAAAGCAAAAATGAACTATTGGGACATCATCAAGATAAAAAGCTTCTGTACAGCAAAGGAAACAATCAACAAAACTAAAAGGCAACTGACGGAATGGGAAAAGATATTTGCAAATGACATATTGGATAAAGGGTTAGTATCCAAAATCTATAAAGAACTTAACAAACCCAACACCTGAAAACTAAATAACCCAATGAAGAAATGGGCAGAAGACATGAATAGACACTTTTCCAAAGAAGACATCTATATGGCCAACAGACACATGAAAAGATGCTCAACATCACTCATCACCAGGGAAACATGGATCAAAGCCACACTAGATACCACCTCACACTGGTCAGAGTGGCTAAAATGAAAAACGCAGGAAACAACACATGTTGGCAAGAATGTGGAGAAATGGGAACGCTCTTTCACTGTTGGTGGAAATGCAAAATGGGGTAGCCGCTCTGGAAAACAATGAGAAGGTTCCTCAAAAAATTAAAAGTAGAACTACCCTATGACCCAGCAATAGCACTGCTAGGAATTTACCCAAGAGATACAGGAGTGCTGATGCATAGGGGCACATGTACCCCAATGTTCATAGCAGCACTTTCAGCAATAGCCAAATTATGGAAAGAGCCCAAATATCCATCAACTGATGAATGGATCAAGAAGATGTGGTATATTTATACAATGGAATACTACATGGCAATGAGAAGGAATGAAATCTGGCCATTTGCTACAACGTGGATGGAACTGGAGGGTGTTATGCTTAGTGAAATAAGTCAGTCAGAGAAAGATATCATAAGGTTTTACTCATGTGGAACTGGAGAAACTTAGGAGAAGATCATGGGGGAAGGGATGGGGAAGAAATAGTTTCAAACAGAGAGGGAGGCAAACCATAAGAGACCCTTGAATACAGAGAATAAACTGAGGGTTGATGTGGGAGTTTTGGGGGAGAGGGGAAAATGGGTGATGGGCATTGAGAAGGGCACTGTTGGGATGAGCACTGAGTGTTGTATATAAACAATGAATCATGGGAATCTACTTCTGAAGCCAAGAGCACACTGTATACATACACACACTGTATACACTGTATGTTAGGTAACTTGAGAATAAATTATATTAAAAAAAGACGTGACTGATCCATGGTCAGACATTAGAGATATATTAGATTTACTTGTGTGTTTCCCATGTACTTTGAGTTATTTGCTGTATCATAATGCGACATCTTATGATCATGAGAAATCTTAAGAATGTTCAAGTAATTCCTGGTGACTCTCTAATGTCAGCGTTCAAGCATGCACCTTTAGAAATCATTTTATGCTCTGTCTTTGGCCAGCAATATGACATCTGTGAAAGCTGAGGGTGATTCACAGGCATTTGCCATGAAGTTCTCCTAACAAATTGAGGCAGGAAGTTCATGGGATATAGTCAATCTCTGCCAACATTTATACTGTGAAAATTTCATTTATTCTATGTAACTTCAAGTTCAAAATGGACTTACATGAGCAATTTGATGGCATATGTACAAAAGAATAGGAAAAAATATCTTAATTTCCTAAACCTTGGTCTATCATCGGTGGTACGAGTTAGATCTTTCTGGAACCTTGAATTTGAAGTTTTTATAAGATCTCTTTAAGTAGCTGCAGAAATACCTTTATGTCCTCTGATACATTGGTAACTTCATAGCACATCACCGAATGGCTTCTTTTCAGTTTCTTGCCGTACAATAAAACAAGACTACAGTTGGGATCACTCTGACTGTGGGTCCAATTTACCGCATCCAGATTCACAAAGAGGATTTCTTTTAATTCTTTTATGAACATATGTTAGGAAGTTTGTCAATAGTCTGTTAAGGATAAAGTATAAAAATATGGTGCCTGTAGCTGTCTTAGAAAAATTACTCCCTTTAAGAGGTTATGATGGGCCACTTACAAGTCCCCCAAGACGCGGCACATGGATATGCAGATCCTTCCACTGCGTTTCATGATGTGCGCATTGTTCATTCACTTATTACACGAACCATCTATGTTTATCAGGGCCGCTGAAGATTTGTTGTCACAGATTGAGAAAAATTTCCAGAGGCCACAGAGAGAGTTGGAGGTCTTAAAAGAAGCGGCAAGCAGCCTTCTTTCAAAACACAACGGTGAACTGCAAGCAGCGAGGGACCTTGTGAGGGAGGCAGAGGTGAAGACCCAGGAAAGCAACCGCCTATTGCACCTTGTCAGCGCCAACCTGCGAGAATTTAACGTGAGTTTTCATATATATATATAATTTTTTTAAAGTTTATTTTGAGAGCGCACGCGTGCAAGCAGGGGAGGGGCATAGAGAGGGAGAGAGAGAATCCCAAGCAGGGTCAGCGCAGAGCTCGCCGCGGGGCTCGAACTCACAGGACCATGCGATTGTGACCGGAGTCTCAATCAGCAGTAGGCACTTACCGGACTGAGCCACCCAGGCGCCCCTAACTGTGAGTCTTAACAAGGACAGACTCTTTCCTTCTCAGGACTGGGAGCCAAATTCTTCTACGTAAATAAGACCGGTCTTAGCTTCTTGAAAAATGAGGCCCAAGTACTAACTTCAACACATAGTGTCGGGCACTGACCTTTAGAAGCCAACCCCCTTTTTTTGAAGCATCCTCAAAGGTGATTTTTGCCGCAGGATAAGAAGCTACATGTTCAACAGGAACAAAACCTGACCTCGGCGCTGATTGCCAGAGGGAGAAGATTGCTGGACGCTGTCACTTCGCCAGCAGCTGCTGTAGAAACTGCCCTCGCAGTAAGTTCCGCCACATACAGTTTCCAAAGCGTCTTCACACGCCTCCCCCTCCCCCTCCCCACACACTCACAAGTGTACACTGTTACACCGAAGCATTATGTGAATTTCTCTCCTAGCAGTTAGAGCGGCACCGGGATGAGCTGCTCATCTGGACCGCCAAAATCAGGCGCCACGTAGACGATCTGGTCATGCAGATGTCCCAAAGAGGAGCTCTTGACCTTGTATACAGAGCGGAGGACCACGCAGCTAACCTCCAGAGACTAGCGGGTGCTCTGGACAGGTGAGACCAGGCCTTGCAGGAATCCCAGGGGAGGTGATCCGTTGATCGGAGAGAAGAATGGCTCTTTTGATCGCCGTGTTGAGTCCCTCTTCTTTGGTTGACAAAGGAAGACTGCTATTTTATTCACACGGCAAGGGGGATTTCCTCCCACGTCTGGGAACATTGTTGCCCTTCCACCTATGGGGGAAAAATGCAAACGGAACTGGAGAGGAATTCATACAAATGTTATGCTGCAATATCAAGCCATTAAGGCCTTGTTAAGTACCTACTAAGTACTCAGGGCCTTATTAGGTTGGACGGAATGAAGATATTAATTTTTTTAATGTTTCTTTTTGAGAGAAACTGACAGAGATAGAGCATGAACTGGGGAGGAGCGGAGCGAGAGAGGGAAACACAGAATTGGAAGCAGGCTCCAGGCTCTGAGCTGTCAGCACACAGCCTGACACAGGTCTCGAAGTCACAAACTGAGCTCATGACCTGAACTGAAGTCGGAGGGTTAACCCACTGAGCCACCCAAGTGCCCTTGTCATATATATATTTTAAAGATTATTTATTTGGAGAGAGAAAGAGCAGGGGAGGGCAGAGAGAAAGAGAAGAAGACAGAGCCCGATGTAGGGCTTGAACCCACAAACCATGAGATCATGACCTGAGCCAAAATCAAGATTTGGTGCTTAACCATTGGAGCCACTCACGTGCCTCTCCCCGACATATTTTTAAAGACCCCTGGCCTGGTGTATCTGAAGTACAGCAAACAAAGGAACTAGTGTTTCAGCCTTATCAGTGATTCACACAATATCCTGGTTAATTGGTAAACTGATTTTGTTAAAATTTGTTACAAATTATAGGTAGAAAATGTCTGGCCACACTGAGAATATGTGGGCTTCTGGGTGTTCCGTGTGTTTTGTGGAAGGAGAAAAATAAATATCTTTCCAATTTGAGGAGTGCTGCCATAAAAGATTAGCTCACACAACAAAAGCAATTAAAAATGATAGAAGCTAGAATGCTGTGTACATTATGTGCTGAATGGAGCATTACTGCCTCCACATGCCATAAGAATCTATAATAGGAAGTAGAATTAGATGCTTAGTTTCTCCCTTTTCATCAGCTTTCATTATTCTCCAAAAGAGAAAAAAATACTCTGACTACATACATAGGTAGAACAAAACCTTTATTACCTAGTACGAATCGTAAAAGCAATTTGTTATGATACATGAGGTTAAATAACATCATTACCTTCTATTTATCAATCACCAAATTTTGCCAGTCAAGTAGTAAGTGCTGGTGTCTGGTCAGGGGATCTCTCAACTTGATAACCTTGGGAAGAAAATGAAGCGAGTTACTCAGCAGGCAAAGATATGTCAATTGTCAGATTTCATTTTGAAGATAGAGTGAAGCTGGATGAGATCGCATCATTACCAGTTGGCAAGTTCATAAGTGACTTGCCCACTTGTAAGAGTGGAGTTCAGATGATTGAAATATTATCTGATCCTCCTCCAGAACCTCTAGTGAATTTCGTTAAATCGGTGTGTACCTTTTGAGGGACAAGATTCAGGATTCTTATATATATACTTAGGGACGCTCTTTGAAAATTAACAAGTGTGGACCAGGAGAGATTACAACCAATGCCAAACAGGGCACGGTGCCCCAGACACTTGCAGAGGGCTTGAACAGAAACCATGTTGAGGGCAGCTGGTCGAAACTGATGGTTAAAAAGATGGGCAAAAGCAATGGTCTCTTCTTCAGGTGTTCATTAAACAGCACCTCTGAGTGTCTTCATGACAATGTAGCTACTTCTTTCAGAGATGGCATTTGGAGTTGGAAGGGAATCCCTATGTTGTTAATTCCCTGTTGATTCTTTTCTAGTTTCTTACCTAGGAAGCTTTAGGAATAGTGGGGAAGTTCCATTTAGTTTATACTAACATCTGTACATTTGCTGATTACCTAGTGGCCTTGGCAGCGTTAGACATGTGTCCCTGAATGCCACCAGTGCCACCCACGTCCATTCCAACATTCGGAGCATGATTGAAGAATCAGAGAAAGTGGCAGAAGACGCTCTCAGGACCGGGACAATGGCAAGCCTGGTGAGAGGTGCCTCGGGGGCTGCAATAGGTGCCTTCCTTTTCTAGGCACTATGGGAGATTGTTCCAGAAGGTGCTGAGCAAAGACCTAGTGGCTTAAGTTCATGCTGGTCAGTATTCTTATCTGGCGAGATCTGTTTGGTCCTGTCATCATGTGATACAAGTTTTAATTTCTTAAGATCATAAATACTTTACAAAGACTAGGGACTAGTGATATGGAGATGAGGAAAAGCTCACAATTATAACAGAAGGATAATGCTTCTTGATATCTACTTGAGGTAGCTTTTCTTACCTGTGGATACCATTCATTTAATGGTGGGTTTTGTCTTTATTTAAAAATGCTTTACGTTTTTTCTCCTCAGCCATAAACTGGGACACTTTAAATTATCCCTACATATTACCTCATGGACTCCTATGTCTAGAACTTGACTATTTGGCTATTCGGATAGAGTTGCTCTCCTGTCTCCAGCAGGAGTGCACCCGCCCCCTGTCACCCCCCCCGCCCCGTCCCAACCCCCCCCCCCCCGTTCCAATCCTCCCCCCACCCCCCACCACCAGCCACCACCATGTTTACACTCTCCTATTTTCCAGTTCTCAGAGTCCCTTGCTCCTAATGGGAAAGTGGCTCTCCAGCGCAGTTCCAGATTTCTGAAAGAAGGCAACAGCCTGAGCAGAAAGCATCAAGGTGAGTTTTTAGCTTGGACTGTATTGCTAAGCAGAGGGAATACAAAAACTTCTCTGAGCATACTGCCGGAACGTTCTCCTCTCCTGGAGGAATTTGAAAAGTGAATGCTGCTTCGTCACAGTCACAGCCAATTTCCTGACATAGGAACAGCATATAATTTAAGTTTTTATTTATCTCTTAAACTTTTATTTAAGTGCTCTCTCTTAATGTGCGGGCCCCTCTAATCTTCCACAGGCTTGTTAAGCGTTCTTGGGTAACTAAATCCTCCACCCATGGCTTTAGCTCGTGAGCTGTCACCGTTTCGCAGCATTTGGCGAGTTCTCTTTGGCTTTATGGGTTCCTCTATCTGCCACACAGCAGTTTCGTGAAGAGTTGTGCTCTGTGTGGTACACTTCTTTGGCACTTTGGCCAGACAGAGCTAATATAATATTAGACTCATGGTAGCTTCTCATTAAGTCATTATTGAATTAAGTCACAATTGTTTTATCAATTTTATTTAAAAAATAACCTAGGCAGATAGTTTTTTTTCTTGAGGGTTTCAGTAAACAATTATTTGGCATACATATAAGGGCTCTCCGTTAAGCACAACACACAATGGCAGCAGGAATCTGTTGCATAAGAAAAAAATACGAGTTTTGTAACATATACTTTTCACCTGAGTATCTTCTAACATATCAAAAATAATGTCTTTTCCTATGGGAGTAAATGGTGGGCCATAAACAAAGCGCACACCCCTTTCAGATCACTTCCATGGCCAGTACTGCATCCTCCCATAGCTGTCTGAGCCCAGGGCATGGATATGCACGTATTTTTTGTTTCTCTGTGAGTGACATTATTTAAAATTTATGCTGTCATCTCACGGTACAGAAGGCTCCTAATGATGAATCATAAAGCACATTAAACACAAACTCTAGCATCAGTGTTGATGGGATGTGGTTTCCGTTTACACAGCCAAAGGTATTTCATAGGCTACCAAGTAACGAATTTTCTGGCAATTAAAATCTTAAGCAGAACCGTCGTGTTCGTCAAGGATTTTATTCGTAATTCATTTTTTAACCCTGTGTCCAGAATCAAGACGTGATTGTGTATTATGAACAGAAATATTAAAAGCTTTGCTCCCACAGCTCTGATCAGACTTGAAGGAGGCCAAGTCTAGTACCCATTGGGTGGGGAGAGAGTGCAGGAAGGGGAGGGCCATTGGCCAGAGAAGGATGGGGGATGGAGGGGCTCCGCTGGGGAAGATTCCTGGGCAGGACTAGTTTGAGGTTTTACAACCCGGAGGAGAGACTTGGACAAGATTTGGGTGTGGACAGGAAGTCAGTGAGAGTGATGAAGACTGAGTGATTTAAACACAAGTCTTCACCTTGAACTCTAATTAAATTGGACATGCAATTTAAGAAGAAATATTAGGGAGAAGGGCAACAAGCAAACTAGAAAAAATGATCAAGCAAGCAAAAAACAGCCTTAACTTCTATAATGAGTGATGCTAAGTCTTTCTGGAAAAATGTCAATACTGGGAGGTCTCTGTAGAAAGCTGTTGATTCTGTAGACGGATCAGAGTGATCAATGAAACTGCTGAGTAGGCCAACCCAAAAAAGGACACTTTTTCCCCTTTAAATAGGTATCGCATTGGCACTGAGTGAATTGAAAAATTCAGCAAACAGATTTCAAGAGAATGCTCGTACAATTACTGGGCGGACCAATGAATCACTCTTGAGACTTAGAGCAATCCCTGAAGGTAAGTGGAAAAGGGGGCTCTTGATTTAATTAATGCTTTCTCATTTCAAAGCCATTTGAAATGTGTGTGTGAGGAAGTCCTGCCACAAGTCTGATTAGGCGCCCTTGCTCAACAGGAGACCAAGATTGATAGAGCTTTTACCTGCCGAGGAGTATGATTTGGAAATGAAGAGGACTCCTTTTTAAATAATTCCAGAACACTGGCATTGAAATGCTAGAATTATACTCCGAAAAAACAAAAGCTTTGGGAGACTTGACTTTAGCATGTGAATTGCTGACTTTTAATGTGAGCTTGACACCTCCCTTAAATGAAAGGGTCATTCAAAGAAGTCAGCAAGAAGCTGAATGTTCCTGTTTTAAGGGGAAATGCTAGATTCATTATAACTGTGGTCAATTAAAGAACTCTTGCTTGGGAATCTTCCTTCATGAGGCAATAAAGCATTCTAAAATAAGCTCATAAATCACTTTAATATTGATGGTTTGGAAATGCACTATTCATTAACATTTGAAATAGGATAACTTTTTAAAAGCGTCCTACAAATGAATCCTGCTGCCACGCGCTACTTACATTCCCTCAACCTTCTCTATTTTTTCTAAGACTTCTAGGATGTCCTAACAGCCCAGACTTCTTCCTGCCAGTTCACCTTGTAAACATGAGAATTACGGTGGGGACCTGGGCCTGGGGCTCTCTGAATGGACTTGTAACCTTAAGTCATTGGAGCCTTTTCTGATCTGGACACTTTTTCCTTCCTTCCTTCTTCCCTTTCCCTCCCTCTCTTTCTTCCTCCTCCTCCCTCTCCCTCCTTCCCTCCTTTTCCTTCAGGGATGCAGGATGTATGTTGATTAAGCCCTTAAAAATAACTTTATTTGGAAATAATTTCAAACTTGCAGAAAAGTTGCCACAAGAGTAAAAAAGAAACCTGCCTACTCCTAAAAAAATTTTTTTAAATGTTTTTGAGAGAAAGAGAGAGTGAGCAGGGGAGGGGCAGAGAGAGAGGGAGACAGAATCTGAAGCAGGCTCCAGGCTCTAAGCTGTCATCACAGAGCCCAATGCAGGGCTCAAACCCACAAACCGGGAGATGATGGCCTGAGCAGAAGTCGCATGCTTAACTGACTGAGCTACCCAGGCGTCCCAAAATCCTGTCTACTCTTCATCATGCTTCTTCTAGTGTTAATTTTTGTCCCATTGGTGATTGAATACTTTAAAATGAATACTACTGCCTTTTTAAAGAGAATTCATCCCCCAGATTTTCTAGAATGGCTAAATTCCACTTTATCGATAGTGATCGTTTAGTCTTTACTCTGCTGTTATGTCTAGCAGCCAGCTGACAGTGTGAGTAGATATGACTTCTTCTAGCCTATGATATGCCCATCTCACCTACGAGTTTAAACCCCCCAACCTGCTTATCCATACACACAGAGTGATCTGAAGAAAGTGTTTAAAGAATATGGGAATGGAGGGATAGAAGTGAGACCAAATAAAGAAGCGTAGCTTATTCACATAGAAGATGCTGAGCACATGGCCATTAGCAGGTGCTGTCGCCATCTCCCTGCACACTGAAATTTCAATACAGAGAGGATTGTTACCAAGATTATTTCATTTGTCCCTCAAAGGGAGCAGTAGGCATATGATATGCAGCCTTAATGCTGCCATTACAAACCGGGAGCCCCATTTTGTGTTTAGCAGCCAATGAGAAACAACTGTAACAGGTTTCTAAGTAAAGTTACATTTATTGTGGTTTATGGCCTTCCCCGTGTATAATCAGTGGAGGGCATGATTGCATGTACATTTATTTCAGGTGTCAAAGACAAAGGGACCAAAATCAAAGAGCTGGCCACATCTGCAAATTGGAGTGCGGCAAGCACTCTAAAGAACACTGTGGGATTGCGCAAGGAGCTGTTGAATACATCCACCAGCTTGTCCAAGGTTAATGCCACCTTACAAGAAACAAACAAACTTCTACAGGACTCTTCAATGACCAGTACGTCACGGTCTCCCCCTTCCCACTAGCGAAGTCTGCGTCGTGAGATTTTGAACTGGCCGGGTGTACAATGGTGTCCTGTTCCCAAACAGAATTCCTAAAGAACAAAAAAGCACTGGTATCTGGATTTGCATTTATAAAGAAAGAGAAAGGTTGTGGGTAGTGCCTGGTGCTGGTACATTTTTCATATACAGCTGACTTTGGAACAAGAGATTTCAACTGCTTGGGTCCCTTATACAGAGTTGATAAATATAATAAAGGTATTGAAAATATATTTTCCTTATGATTTTTGTGATAACATTTTTTTTAGCTTACTTTATTCTTTATTGTAAGAATAGAGTGTAAAGTACATGTAACATACAAAACGTGGTAATTGATTATCTTTGTTATTGGTAAAGCCTCCCGTCAACTGTAGGCTATCCCTAGTTAAGTCTTTGGGGAGTCAAAAGTTATATGTAGATTTGCAACTGCATGAGGTTTGAGTGCCCCAACCCCTGCGCTGCTCAAAGGTCAACCGTATTTAGCAAAACTTTGAGGATTTGCTTACTAGGATATTATATTTTATCCAATGCACTGGTAATGACTAATTAATTTCTCTGGTTTCTGCCCTGCTGCCAACTTTCTTGCCACCTTGAACTCATAAGCTCTGCTAGCTGGAAGGAGAGTTAAAGATGCAGAGACACAAGCCAGCCTTTTATTTGATCGGTTGAAGCCTCTGAAGATCCTAGAAGAGAACCTGAGCAGAAACCTATCAGAAATCAAACTGCTGATCAGCCAGGCCCGGAAACAGGCGGCTTCTGTGAGTGTGGGCTTCTGTGGCACGCGGGGACGCAGCCATCCTGTAGCTGGGGCTCTTGGGAACCGCAGGTCTCAGGGAACTTGTGTGGAGGTGACTGTCACACTGGGCCCCTGGGCTTCCACGGACTCAGCTTTAGATCTCAGATTTCTTCCAGCCTTGTCTGCAGTATATTTGAAACTTTGTGTTCAATATATTTACTTAAGTACATACATAAATTTTTCAATGACAACTTACGACTTTTATTTCTGGCGCCTGTGCCATGTCTTAAAAATACCTTCTTTCCTGCCCTAGACCGTATATCTAAATGTACTACTTAATTAGTATCATTTTTTTTTTTTTGCTTTGTTCAACATGTTTCAAAATGTTGTTAGCCAAGAGATCTCATGTCTCTATAGAGATTTATAATTGTAGCCTAGATGTATCCATTTACAACTCCTCGCTACCTGGTGTAGAGCACTTGGTCAAAGTGTTTACGCCGAAGTTTCAATGGCTGGGTGCGGTGGTATTGGCATCATTTGACCAACCTGGTGTTAATAATCCAAGTAGTTTTCAGGATGTTTGCACACTATGAAACTCATCTTCCAGGAGTCCAACACAACACTCTAAGCACACACAAATCCAGGTCACTAAATGCAGAAAACACTTGATAGCTGGAAAATTATGAACTTGAGGAAATGGTTTATGGCCATCAGTAGAGGCATTTTAGGGAAATGATAATACTTTCAACAGAATATGCAGTTGTCATGCCGCCGGGAATTTGTAGAGGATAAATGTGACCCCTGGTCTCAGGCTCATCTTCCTGAATCCTTCTAGTTACAAACAAGTTCTGGAATCTTAGATTCTCTCTCCCTCGAGTGGCCTCACGATTGGAAAAGAGCTGTAGATTGATGTGAGCTCCGGTTTCCATTTGTTTCAGTTAAAGTTACCAAATAAATGTAAGCTGGATGGAGGTTTCCAAATGCTCTGGTTAATACAAACCTATAATCTTTAACATTAATATAAGAAATATATGCAATATATATGCGTGCAAAATATATGCAATAATGTTAATATAAGAAATATATGCAGATACTTAGAGAAATATGTAGTAAGGGCAAAAATTTCTGTATAAGTATTTGCTGAATGTATAAATAGATTATCGCCTCATTTATTTGTCAAACGATTATCAAATATCCTCCCTGTGTTGTGTAAAGATTCCAAGGTGATCCGGGTAAGCTCCTTGTCTTACAGAATTAAATCTCACATGAGCAAGACTGTTTCCTACAGAAGATACTTATAAAACTTCAAGAGTGATTTTTTGCTATTTAAATAGTTCACCAAATAAACTCACTTTCATCACCACCAGATTTCTCACTTTTAGGAGACCCAAAACGTGAGGCATCCACCGAGAGAGGAAACCTGCCAAACAGTGAAAATCTGTTAGGAAACGGCGCTTTTGAACTCTCAGCATGCTGCCCGCATGAGTCACTAAGCGATTAGGCTGCTTCCCCTTTTCTTTTACAGATTAAAGTCGCTGTGTCTGCAGACAGAGATTGTATCCGGGCCTACCAGCCTCAGATTTCTTCCACCAACTATAACACCTTAACACTAAATGTTAAGACAAGTGAACCCGATAACCTTCTCTTCTACCTGGGGAGCAGCACCAGTGTGAGTGTGGACCTGCAGAAAGCAACAGTGAATCTCTTAGGAACATGGATATTTTCTGAATCGGCAGGGTTGTTTTGTTGTGTTTTTTTCTGATGGGGAAAAAAATAGGGCCTTGGTGAAATCACTAATTCTTCTAAGGGAAGTAATAAGCATTTGTCGAACTGGTGGCATCAGATTAAAAACACACATAGTACAAAACTCAATGCCCGTGAGGAGGACCGTGGTATTGATGAGAGTCTTCCCTCTGCTCTCTTAATTGCTAGCTGTGGGGTAGTATTTCCTCCCCCGTCCAGCCTCTTCAGCCACTGAGTTTAGCATTGGATTTTAGGATTGTAAAATCGGATCTTGATGGTTGTTATCAGGAGTGGAGGATGCACCCTAAGGGGTGTATCAGAAGTGTCCAACCTCACCCAAGCTCTTGCACCCAACATTCTGGTGGTTCTCAGAAGGCAAGTCCCCTGTGGAAGGCCACTGATATGTTTGTCTGTACCAGTGGGAGTGGGTGGGTGCTACAGCAGAAAATATTAACAAGCACAAATTCCAGAACATCTTCTTTGGAGCTAAGGTGCCACTTACATACAAGACCGTGATGTGGGATTTCATGGCTCCCGTCTTGCTGTGTATTTCACATTCATTTATTGCCTTTTCAGACTGAGCAGATAAGTACAGCGCCTTCCCACATGCTAGGCTACTGGTGACTCCCAGTGAGAGTTCTTGGGGGAATTTTCTGGAAGGGATTGTGGAAGGCCATGCTGGTAGGCCAGGGGGGTGGGGCACTCATGCCCAACAGTGGCCTGTCTCCAATACTCGGCGTCATGCCCCAGCTCCAGGGAGGCGAGCATTTTAAAGACAAAAAATAGGTATTTCTGCTTTTAAGAATAGAGAAAATGCTGTAGGAACCCCTTGTTTAACATGGTTTGGTAGTCATGCAACCAGTCTGGCACATAAACTCATCCCAGCTCATGCCCACACTCAGTCCGACTTCCTGGCGGTGGAGATGCGGCGAGGGAAGGTGGCCTTTCTCTGGGATATGGGCTCCGGGTCAACACGGCTGGAATTTCCAGACTTCGCAATCAACAACGACAAATGGCACAGTATCCATGTAACCAGGTAGTAGAGGCAGGAAGTGTTCCCCAAGCGCCTCTTTCTGAAAACTGTACCTTATACATTTGTAACGTGTTTTTCACATTATATGATTGTCTTTGAAACTTCTGGGAAGTCAGGTTGTAGTAAAAGGATAGTTGGTTTACATTATAGAAATAAGGACTTTATTTCTTATGACAGAAGAAATAAACTGTTACCAAAATCAATAATTAAAAGAAGTAAAAAAAAAAAATTATGTTACTTTAGGACGCTTGGTCTAAATCTGTGGCAGCCAACCTAGTAAATTGTGTTCTTCCCTGTAGAGAGGGGTGTGAGGCAGCGGGTAGAAATTCCACATAGTGGGTGGGTGTGGTGTGCACAGAGAAGAGGACAGAATGCAAGGATCCAGATGGAGAAGGTGGTTTCTTAAAATTCAGACCCAAAGCAAAACTCTCCATTGTAAAGCCCCTCTCCAGAGGTGACTCCTTTGAAGCAGCTTTAGGTTTATCGTTTTGTTTTTCCGTGATATTATAGTTTATTGTTGATGGTGTGTTAATAGCTGGGAATTTTTGTCTTTTGCTTTGCTATTTATAGAAAGGGAGTAATACCGAAGGCAGCAGACTGTTTCAAATACAGCACAACCTTGGATTGTGTGTAACTTGTTTTGCGAATGTTCTGCAAGACGAGCAAACATTTCTCATAAATTTTAACTCGATAAACAAGCGATGTCTTGTAATACGAGTACTATGTGACATTAAACGCAACATGATCACAACTGAGCCAATGGTTGTTGAAATTCGCTTTGATAAACCAGTGCTCTGGGATTATAAGCATGTTTCTGGGATGAATTCTGCTTGCAAACCAAGGTTTTACTGTATAGTTTAACTCATTATCTAAAACTATCTTTAGCACGAAGGAATGTATATGATTTAGAAGACCTTCTTCACAAGGGTTTGAGAGTAAACGGGGCGAAGTGGGCAGGCCTTGGAGAGGGAGACTGGTGGGGGCCACCGAGGGAACTGTGTTATAAACAGATGCGTACGTACGTGGAGGGACTTGGAATTCTGAAAGTGTTCTTTTTGCAATTCTTGGTGACCCTTATAGATTTGGAAATGTTGGTTCATTGAGTGTAAAGGAAATGAGCGCAACTCAGAAGCCATCACCAAAAACAAGTAAATCACCTCAAACAGCTAAAGTTCTGGATATAAACAACTCGACACTCATGTTTGTTGGAGGGCTTGGAGGACAGATCAAGGTAACATTCGGAACGTTCACCTGAACAGGACTGATTGTGTTTACCTGTATATAAAATTAATGTTCAAATTATTGACTATCTTATGCAGAGGAGTATTTTTTTGTTTCTATCATTTTGCTTCCTGACAGTAAATTTGCAGAATTGGGCTGGTTTTAGGAAGCAAAGGGCCCTGCTGAATAAATAGCGTAAATGGAAAAGAAGCCAGTGGTTCATTTTTGCTATTTGAATTTCTTTTCCAGTTCTGAATTCTGAAAGTGTTCTTTTCGCAATTCTTTGTGATCCTTATAGATTTGGAAGCATTGGTTCGTTGAGTGTAGAGGAAATGAGCGCAACTCAAAAGCTATAAACAGGAAATTCAATATTCCACCTTAATTTCTCTAGTTTCCCTTATTGCTATTCTAACTCTAGTGGTAGAATGATGCTAATTCGTGTTGGCCACAGGAGCCTGTGATATGTATTTTATTATACCTGTTGTCCCCTTATTGAATAGAGTTCAGTCGCCTGGACTTGTGCGGTTCAGTGCTCTGAAATGAGAGTAAGGGTCTCCACCCCAGCCAGACCCTCACCCCGGACATGCTCTGAGCCTGTTTCCTCGGCTGTGAAAGGGGCTTCTCTCCAGGGATCCTGGGAACCGAGGTGACCTTTAAAATCCTGTCAGGTTGTCTCTAATTCTAGGATTCTACTTATTAATTGGAAGGAAATTCAGTGATTCCAACCGGGCCGTTTTTCTGGATGTTGCATTCCCAAATTTGGATCTGTTAGATTTGAGCTCCCAGGAAGGGGTTTCGTGCACATGGAGAATTTACTCCTTTCCTTCCGATACACGTGGGTTGTTTGTTTTGTTTGTTTATATTAGAAGTCTCCTGCTGTGAAGGTTACTCATTTTAAAGGCTGCATGGGAGAGGCCTTCTTGAACGGACAGTCCATCGGCCTGTGGAACTATATTGAACGGGAGGGCAAGTGCCACGGCTGCTTCGGAAGGTAAAATGCCCGATAATTAAGACTATACTTTCAGGGATCATTTCTATAGTCTGTTACTAGAGAAGTTTCTCTGAACGTGTAGAGTACCCGTCATATGTTTGCACGTATAGGAGGATTAGGAGGAACTTGATGGAGGACCATGGGGGAGAAGAAGGGGGGAAATGGTGGGGGAAAGGGAGAGAGGCAAACCATGAGAGACTCTTGAATGCTGACAAAAACTGAGGACTGATGGATGTGGGGGGGAGGGGGGATGGGCATGGAGGAGGGCACTTGTGGGGATGAGCACTGAGTGTTACGTGGAAACTAATTTGACAATAAACTATTTGTAAAAAAAAAAAAAAAAATCCCTATAATTGAACACATAGTATGTTGTTAACACCTGACAGGTGCTTAGAGGATTCACGTGCGCATCACGGGCAGTACAGAGTCTGTGGTATCAGTCATCTTACTGCAAAGGATGTGATGTAGGTCATTCACTAATAGAAGTTTAGGGATCATTTTTAACCTCTAAACAGTACTGTTTTCACTCTTCCGTATGCTTTGGCATCATGGATCATAAAATTGAGAAGCATCAGACATTCTCTCCAATAACCTTCTGTCTCAAAGAGCCACAGTGAAGTCTTGGGTAAATCCTGGTACATCTTTATTTTGAAAATACCTCCAAGGAGAAGAATTTTGTTTGTGCCATCGGTTGTTATGGATAAGTGCTTTCCTATTCTTAAATTCTAAAATTCTAGAAATTAAATGCAATGATTCAATTATTAAATGCATTGCATTCATTTGGCAATGGAGAGCAACTACCTAAAATCGTTTTACAGGTATTGATGTAGCAGCAGGCATTTAATAACAAGCCCACCGAGCTCAACACTCCCTGTGTTATTTTCTAAAAAACTAATTGCCGCTCTGTAAATATACAAGACCTGTTTTCTAGCACTTTAGTAATTAAGACAATAGATTGCCTTTGCCATTAGAGAAATGTAACATCTGATAGGATTCTGTCATCTAATGGGCTGCTCTGTCCAGATAGATATCTGTAATTAACAGTGAGCTGTGACAAGATCAGTTGGAAGCAATTCCCATTACATTTGGAAACTCGTGGGCGAGTTTTCATTTTGTTACTGTCAGATCTGTTTTCTCTTAGGGCTCAGAGCTTGGGATTTTGTGGTTTGAGCTTTTTATTTGCTACTTTCCCCTTACTCCACTTGCTTTCAAAGTCATGACCAGAAGCTTGGTTATCGGAGCCTTAGGTCTGAAAAAAAAAAACCAGCTTTGGAATCTAACTTTCTCAGGCCCCCTCTCCTACCAAAATCCCTCTTGGTGACTTGGTAGTAAGTCACTTACTTCGTGGAGATTTGACTTCTTCTTCCAGAAAAGGAAAATCGTCGTCATGTTTGTCCTACCTCCCGAAAGTGGCGTGAAGAACATCTAGCATGGCGTATGTGAAAATGCTCAATAAATTTGAGACTCTTCCCCTCTGATCTTCCTGCGGTGAATAATAATAAAAAATGTCAGCACCTAGTGAGGTAAAGGCACCAGCTCTAGAACTCTGGGGGCAGAGAACTCCCCATCACTTTTTCCTCATGCTGTTTCTCTACTGGGGACACTTCTCCAGCAATAGTTTTCAAACTTGAAAATGTTCTGGCCCCTGGGCCTCTGGGCCCCCATACTGACCCCTGATCATTAATCTTACTTGTAGAAAGTCTTAACAGAGATGGAAAATGTCTAATATGGAAAATGTCCCTCTGTACTTTAGCTGTTACAATGTCCCCAATTTCACCTGCCATTTGCAGGGTTATCTTAAAACCGCTGACTTTAAACTGCAGCAATGAGTGAATGTAATGACTGCTAGCTCTTCTCTTTTGTTGGGAGAGGAAGTCAATTTTCTATGTGGCCACTGATTTTCTTCTCTTTAAGAACTGCCCACCCTCACTACATGTCTACCCAACCTGAACCTCCAGGGAAAGATGAAGGTCACTTCGAACTGAGGGGAGGGATGAGCAGGTGGGGCACGCCACCCTCCCGACATTCATCCTGGAACTGGCTTTTTTGGTAGAAGCCTGACCACCCAGCTGAACCTTAGCATCTGACGGACTCATTAGCTCAAAGTTTTGATTACATATTTTTCTGGGTACTGAACAAATCACCTGGCTATTCGTACACTGACTACCACTTCTAAAGTATGTTTTATTTTTAAGAATACCAGTAGATAGGATACTAATAGATACTTTTACTATTTAAAAAAATTTTTTTTCCTTGACCCAGAATGAATCAGCTTTATTTGATGTAATGGGCTGAAACATTTTTGGCCTGTGTATAACAGAAGCTTTCTTAGCTTGACATTATTCTCAGATGTCATCTCGTACCTCTTTAATTTATACAAAGTTTTAAACATCTTTGAGAAGTTAAGCACATAGGGCTTTTTCTTTTCTTTTATAGTTTATTGTCAAGTTGGTTTCCATATAACACCCAGTGCTCATCCCAATAAGTGCCCTCCTCCATGCCCATCACCCCCCTTTTCTTCCCCGCCACCCCCATCAGCCCTCAGTTTGTTCTCAGTATTCAAGAGTCTCTCATGGTTTGCCTTCTTCCCTCTCCCCAACTATTTTTCCCCTTCTCCTCCCCCACGGTCCTCTGTTAAGTTCCTCCTAATCCTCCTATACGTGCAAACATATGGTATCTGTCCTTCTCTGCCTGACTTATTTCGCTCAGCATAACACCCTCAAGTTCCACCCACGTTGCTATAAATGGCCACATTTCATTCTTTCTCGTGGCCACGTAGTATTCCATTGTATAGATAAACCACATCTTCTTGATCCATTCGTCCGTTGATGGACACTTAGGCTCTTCCCATGTTTTGGCTATTGTTGAGAGTGCTGCTATGAACACTGGGGTACATGTGCATCAGCACTCCTGTATCCCTTGGGTAAATTCCCAGCAGCGCTATTGCTGGGTCATAGGGGAGTTCTATTGTTAATTTTTTGAGGAACCTCCACACTGTTTTCCAGAGGGGCTGCACCAGTTTACATTCCCACCAACAGTGTAGGAGGGTGCCCATGTATCCCCACATCCTTACCAGCATAATACATACTTTTTAAAAAGTGGGGGTGTCAGGAGTGTCCTGACCATAAACGTTTGGGAAACAGTGAGTTAAATGATTAAGTGCATTTCCCCAATGTGAGGCCATCAGAGCCTCTAATGTGCAAATGTTTAGTAACCTTGCCCTATAGTTTAACAGTGCTGGAGTTGCAGCATCCCCAGACTCACTTGATTCCAAACTTTTTAAAAACCAGCATTCCAGACTTGCTTGTGTCCACAGAGCACATACCATGGCAAGTGCTGAGACAGACACAGCTGTGCTTTTGGTCTACATTTGTAAATTGAATTATCTCCATTTTAGGCAACTGTCCCTACCTATCAGACAAAGACTTGAGCTCAAAGAATTAACACACTAATTCTAGTAAATGAATCAATGTTAGCAGACCAGTGATTAGGATTCAATGTGCTTTGGACCTCTGCGTGTAATCTGCCACTATTAAATCATTAGTGTGGTCCATTGATGTCCTTTAAATTAAAAAAATAATTTTCTCAATAGAAGAATTTACCTTTAACGTTGACTGACATTACCAAGTAAACTAATTGAATTTTTTGTTTTATTCCTCTTTGAATATATTTACGCTTCTTTCTATGCTGTCGGCATATGTTTATAACTATAAACAATCTCTTAAATTCTAAAGGATATTACAAAAGAAACCCTGGATTCTAGCAGTTTTCATCTAATGATGGAAAAATAAAACCTTTTTATTTAATTAACAGGTCTTTATTCTTGTATTGGTTATGAGTGGATGTTGTGATAGGCTGTGTGGCTGACCTTTGGGACAGGTCAGTTGCCTGCGTTCAGGGCCCTCAGCTAGGTGCTGGTGAGATCAACATCGGTCCCCTGACTTCACCTCCAACATCTCCTGGTCTCTAGGAGAGTGAGCCGTCTGGAAGAGAGACAGTACTCTGCTACGGCAGGAGCAGGGAACAGGTGAAGCGGCATCATAGGCCTGGGCCCCGGTGCTGCCCACTCGCTCTTGTAACAGCTGCCTTGAGTGCTGATGGTGCTGCATTAGGTGTTACCCCATCATAAGTGAGGGCTCGGACTAGAGGCCTCGTGATTTTTTAAGGCTCACAGGGCTGATAGCTGGGGAGGGAGAGGGTCTCCCTTGGCCTGCCTGACAGGACTCTTGCCTGGAATGGTTGGGTCTGGAAAAGAGCTCTCTGTAAAGTGCTCTTACCAACCCTGCTTTCCTCTGTCCTGGGACCTCCTGCCTGGGTGGGGGGCCTGGAGCTGCCTTCCTGTGGCCCACCTGCCAATGGGCACCGGGGCCTCCTGGTTATAGAATGGAAGACCCACAAGGGACAAGCCCCAGAAGTGTGTCATTGACCCAAGGGCAAGAACAACCTTCTCCAAAGACGTGTGTTCACACATTGTTTCATCCGAATGCACCCCTTTTTGTGGCTGCCTCGTTTGGGCAGACCCTGCCGATGGAGAGAAGCCAGAAGTAGAGAGTTCCTGAGAACAGAGAACCCGTGAGCTCTGGGGAAGGAGAGGGTGTGCACAGCGGAACAAGACAGATTTCTGGAGTTCTGTTTGAAACCTGGCTTCCCCATTTTCTTGGGTGTGCCCTTCGAAAAGGTACTTAATTTTTGAGGCTCAGCTTTTGAGAGACAAAATGGCGACCCATCAGGGACCTTGGAACAAAGCAGAATAATCAAAGCCGAATGGACTGAACATTTAAGTGCCAAGCACTGTTTTAAGAACTTTACATGTATTAAATCATGCACAGCCCTTCCTGAGAGCTGCTATTGTTGCCCTTATTTTATAGATGAAAAGAATGAAGCGCAGAGACATTAGGTAACTTTTCTGAGTTCACACAGCTAGTAAATTGAGGGACTGGGATTTGAGCCCTGGCAATCTGGTTCTAGAGTCTGTGTCCTTAGCCCCATGAAAGTGATCAGCCAAGGGATAGAGCAATGGAACATGCTTGGAGGAAGTCACAGGTTTAAGAATTAAATAACAGAGAATTAAGCCATCGTTTCTTTATGCAGAGTACATTTCCTTTAAGTTAAACCCTTCTTGAAAGAGGTCAGAAGACGGCAGTCTTTAGAGAAAGCTGGACTGTGGGAAGCGATCAGTTTGAAACGTCGGGTTTCACAAAGCACTGCTAGGTTTGTTTTGTGGATGGAAACTGCGTCACGGTTGGGTGACTTGTCCCGCTTGGAGATATGGCACCGAGTTGGGTTATTCAATAGGGAAAAGTCCAAATTCCTACCCCCAAAACACGCCCAAGTCCAAGTTTCACTCTGAAGCCCAGAAGCAAAAATTTTAGACCTATTATGACATGTTCCAGATAAACCTCCTTTATAATTAAAGCATGAATAAAGGCAGCCTTTCGAGGTGTGCCGAAGACTGGAAAAGTCAGACGCTCGCCTGAGAAGTACTGAGGTCTATATTAAATAGTTTTGTTCCAAATGTATCCTGCAGATTTTTGATATTTTTTTTGTTAATGATTTTTCTGGTACAGCGGTCCTTCCGCTACATTGATACATACTTGTTTCCATCATTACTCCAGTTTAGCTGACATCTTAGTTTAAAACCAGTAGAGGGTGATAACATGCTGATATAAAAATTACTCTGAAAGCTTTGGGATTAAGAAGGGACAATTAAAAGGACATTAGAACAAATAATCTACTTGATATGCAGAAGTATTTACAGCAGTTATCCATCCTTTGAAGACATTTCTCTTTACTACAGCCAGCGCTGCTTGCATTAAGTTTCTGTTCTGCATAAAGGAACTGGCACTTACTTGTTCTGCATAATCTCGTGGCGAGCGTATTCTAAGATACTATGATTTATGCTTGTTATCAAATTACGGAAATAACAGCTCTACCAGTTTTTTGAGGGGGGGATCTCCATAAAGGTATCGTGTCCTCTCTTTAACTGCCTTCCTGAGAACAGATTGTATTTCATCTGCTCTGTTTTGCAGCCCCCAGAACGAAGAGTCTTCCTTCCATTTTGATGGGAGTGGTTATTCAGTTGTGGAGAAGACACTCCGGGCTACTGGGACCCACATCATTATGCTTTTCAGCACCTTTTCACCCAACGGGCTGCTTCTCTACCTCGCTTCAAATGGCACCGTAAGTGGCTTATGGGACAGCAGGCGGCTCTGTGTGTACAGTCAGATTGCTAGGAGGAGAATTACGTTTCATGACTGAAGAGCATATGCGAAGATAACACATACATATGTATGCCATACTATTTCCTGTTTTAAGTAACTATTATAAATTCACCGAAGAACCTTTGGAAAATACAGAAGAGAGACAAGTAGAAAACAGCCTTCTTATCCTTATAGGTAACAGTAACAGTTGTGATTAAATTTTGACTTTCAGATGTCTTGCTCCACGTTCACTGTGAGCACTGAGGCCTTCTTTGAATTCCATGTTATTTTTATCCTATTGTGCAGGTGATCTCTCTTGATCTTCTCGTTTTTTTGTGTTTTTTTTTTTTTTCTGTGGGTGGGGAGACTGGCCCATGTCAATCTCAATGAAAAAGATATAGAGATTCCACCTATTTTACGGAGTTGTGGATTTTGGCAACAATGTGTTTCTCTCCTTTATATCTGTGTAGTATTCTAGAAAGTCTTCCTGGACATGTTAATTTCCTAACAGAGACCTCTGACTGATAGGCCAGATCCAGTTTTCTGAGTTTGACTTTGGAAGACTTCTGCCACCCTTGAGTCTGTAAGAATGACACAGCCGCCAGTAACTCTCTTCTCTTCTTCACAGAAAGACTTTTTATCCATCGAGCTGGTACATGGCAGAGTTAGAGTTACCGTTGACCTGGGTTCAGGGCCTCTTGCTCTTATTACCGACAGGCGCTATAACAACGGAACCTGGTACAAAATCGCCTTCCAGAGAAACCGAAAGCAAGTTAAGTGCACAGAAGAGCAAGGAGATGCTGGTCCCCCTCATGGGAACAGAAATCCTTCCAAAACCAGTGGTCTTTATTTACCTTATAGCTCCTTGGGTGTTCTTGAATGATATTCTAATAGAAAGCCATGGTTTTCTTTGAAATACTAAGTGCCAGGATTCACATTTTGCTGGAGAAATATTATAATTCCATTTTTCTATGGTTTCCAAGTACATTACTTAACATTAATTGCTGAATTGGAAATCAAGGATCAAATCCATTCTCTTTTCTGCCGTGCAGACACTGCTGTCATTTAGTTTTGTATATTCTAGATACACTGACTTTTATACAGACGATTTTTTAATAGTCAAGAACACTCCCTGGTCAAATGTGCAGAATGTGAAAGAGTAGGTCTTTATAAATGAGCTTTGTTTTTACTTTAATGTAGAAGGGGATTTTCATTTTCCCGTTTCTCCTCTTTGATCTCCTTTTAGGACTCCTAGCAGTTACTGATGCATATAACACCAGTTATAAAGAAACCAAGCAAGGTGAAACCCCAGGAGCATCTTCTGACCTCAATCGTCTAGATAAAGATCCAATTTATGTGGGTGGATTACCTAGGTCAAGAGTTGTGAGGTATGTCACGTGGCACAACTGTCATGTTTGTAATTGTCAAATGTGTCAGTTTCCCAGGGCTGCCATAATAAGGTGCCATAAGCCAGGGGACATAAGCAACTGTGGAGGCTACAAGTCCAAAATCAAGGTGTCGACAAAACTGCGTGCTTCCTTCTGAGGGCTGTGAGAAGGGATCTGTTCCATGCCTCTCTCCTAGCTTCTGGGAGTTTCAGACATTACTCGGCTCGAGGCCTGCATTCTCTCTGTGCCTTACTACACTGTCTTCCCTCTGTATCTCTGTGTCCAGATTTCCCTTTTTAAATTTATTTTTGGATATGAGCAGGGGAGGAACAGGGAGAGACAGGGAGAGAGAATCCCAAGCAGGCTCCATGCTGTCTGTTCGGAGCCCGGCGTGGCACTCGATCTCATGAATCACAAGATTATGACGTGAGCCAACACTTAACCAACGGAGCCACCCAGGTGCCCCTAAATTTCCCTTTTGATAAGGACAAGGGGTCATATTGGATTAGGACCTGCCCGATGACCTCATCCTGAGTACATCTCTAAAGACCCGATTTCCAAATAAGGTCACATTCACAGGTACTGGGAGTTAGGACTTCATTATCTTTTATGGGGGGCAAATTGTAACCCCTCACCTCTGCCTTGATTCTAACCACTGTGTGTCATATTAATTGGGATATAAAGAAACCCTTCTGCGGGAAAATTAACGATTTTCTATTTGTTGTCTTTAGAACATCTAGTGGTCGTTACTGTTACTTTATACTGTACAGTACTTGTAGACCCCACTTTCCATCACAAGTTGTTCTCTCTAGAAATGTCAGAACAGTAGGCTCTCTTTCAGGGCAAACAATAAATAAAATCATGCTGCCTGCATTTCTCCTTTGTGTGATGAGAACGAATAATGTATGTGAAAGGCTGAAAGACCAGCATCAGGAAGTTGGAAGAAAGGTGGCAGGGGAGGCAATGAAGTCCCTTTTTAACACTGATTCATGTTTAGTTTGGTGACTTTGATAATTTACATAAGCTCTCTGTGGGTCTTGGTCCTTAGTTTTGTAATTTTGGATTGGACAGATGAAGCCCTATGTTTCTTTCACACCATTAAAAACAAAAGGGTCCTGTACAAAATGCCAGCAGTCTGGGCAAGACCGATTCCGGGGAGTGGGATTACCAAATGTCAAAGCCGAGTCACCTGCCCAGTGGTCTCCAAATCCGTTAGGAGCACTATCCCGTCTTCCAGCTGACTCGTGCACGGAATCCTAATCAGCGGCACGGGGGTGCGTCCACTCTGGTTGCTGTTAAGCCGAGCAGCCCGGATCCACTCCTCACCCCTTTTCCTTGCCAGGAATTTCTGAAAGTTCCAAGGGACACAGCTTGCGCCCACGGTCACCAGCCCCCCACGCCCCATCTTGGAAATGAATCACACTTACGCTTCCGGGGAGTCGGTCACTTGCCCCAGGTCTTACCCCTCTGCCAAGATGGATCTGGAACTGCAAGACGGTCTCCTGATCCCCGATTCCAGATACTGTTTCCTCACGTGGCGGCAGCAGGGTGGGTGGGTGCTCCTGTAGCGACAAGCTGTGCCACAGTTCCTGTGTACTCTGCCTAAATGGACACTGTGTAGACACTGGAGAAAAGGTCCCCTTTTCTAGGAAGGCATTCCAGATCACAGACTTTTATGCTGGAAGGAACTTGGGTATCTATCAAGGTCAGGCTCCTCAGTTACAAAGAAGAAACAGACCCAGAAAGGTTAAAATCTGCCCTGAATCTTGCAGTGGCCTAATGGTCTGCAGCTCACTACTCAACACAGAGGGAAAGAAAAAGGAGATGTGACTCTGACTGGAAACCATGTGACTTCAAAGTTCTCCTGTGACTAACTGATGCTATAGAGTGTAACTCCAAACTCTGTTCAGTCATCTCCATATTTTGGAAATGAGAGATTGATTACATTACAACTTTATCCCAACCAGCAGTGTGGCAACTTCTATTAAGAAAAATACGGTACTGAGGCCCCTGGGTGGCTCAGTTGGCTAAGAGTCCAACTCTTGATTTTGGCTCGGGTCATGATCTCACAGGTCGTGAGATCAAGCTTCGCGTCAGGCCCTCTGCTGACGGCAAGGAGTCTACTTGTGATTCTCCCTCTCCCTCTCCGCTGCTCACATGCGCACATATACTCTCTCTCAAAATAAATCAATAACCTTTTTTAAAAAAGAAAAATATGTTACTGGATTTCAATCTATGTGCTTTTGTTTCCTTAGGACTGTGTAGTTTCTTGTAATTGGTCTGTGTTTTAAGGAGTATATTTAAATTGCAGTGACTACAATACTTTCCATTAAAATATGATGCATTTTTATCTGGGTAGCCATTTAGCCAAACTCCCTAAATTCAACCCCTTTCCTTGGTCATTAGACCATCAATATCATCAATATCCATCACCATCAATATCCTTCTTAGCGGGAGGCATAGACATACCTGTAGAATGACACATAGAAGCAGATCTTCTTCAATTGTAGGTCTATTTTTACTCCTTCTTTCAAAAACGGAGTTATAAAATCCAAATTTTGTCATTCTTATACCCTTCCCTACAGGAAAGGTGTCACCAGCAAAAGCTATGTGGGCTGTATCAAAAACCTGGAAATCTCCAGATCAACCTTTGATTTGCTCAGAAATTCCTATGGAGTGAGAAAAGGCTGCATACTGGAGGTGGGAAGCATCTTACTAATATTGGAATGAGTTTCTGTAAATGTCCACTGACTTCCCAACATAATAATAGTACAGTCTATGCCAGTGAGGTGGATGGGGGAGAGAGAGGATGGGGAGGCCAGCAGTAATGTTCAGGGGGGCCTGACGGTGCTCTTTTTCCTTTTTATCCAGCCTATCCGAAGTGTTAGCTTCTTGAAAGGTGGCTACATTGAATTGTCACCCAAGTCTTTGTCGCCAGAATCAGAACTGCTGGCAACATTCGCCACCAAGAGCAGCAGCGGCATCATCCTGGCTGCCCTGGGCGGGCACAGGGCGAAGCGGGGTCATCAGCAGGCACACGGGGTGAGTAGCGCAGATGCCGTTGGTCCTCAGGCACGGGCTCAGGAAGGAAAGGACTTCAAGAAGCACTAGTTGGAAGATGACTTAGCCGTGAACATCTGTTGCAGCCGTGTGGCCAGTTGTTTCCGAGTGTGCATCTTAATATGCAGAAGTCCCTATCGCTGAATGCCTTCCCCGATGAACCAGTGACTTCTTTGTATTACACGATCCATTTCTTTTGTTGAGCTTCTGAGAAGGTGCTACCCCTCCTTTTCAAACTCATTCAGATAGCATTTCAGTGAATGTCAAATTGTGCCCCACGTAGCACATTTTTCCTTATCTACAAATAGGACTGAAAGGAGCAGAAAGAGAAATGTGGCCTGTGACAATATGCACAGCGGAGCAGCTGTAGGAGAGAGAAAAGTTGATGGTCTTCCATATTTATTTTCCATTTTAAGAGCATCGATGAGATTTACCCTTTCCTTTGCTCAAACTTGCATGTATCACGTAATTTGTAGAGGCTTTACAGAATGCTCATTTACGGTCTTAATGAGATAGAGTTCACGTAGAGCTCATAGCATACTGTCCTCTTTCACACAAGGTACTTTACAGACATTGCTGTGTAGTGGTCGCAGCCACGCCGCAGGGCGAATGCTGCTTCCTACGTTTTGCTGAGGAGGAAGTGGGTTCAGGTTGTTAACCTGCCCAAGGTCACACAGCTGATATATGTTAGAGCCAGGGCAGGAACACCGGTCTGCAGACTCCTGGTGCCTCATGAGGCACTTGGCGAAGGTCTAACAGCGACAGAGTGGTTTATGGGCTCCACCAATCTTTTTTGTTTTCTCCTAGTTGAGATGAAATTTACATAAAAGTAACCATTTTACAGTGAACAGTTAGCATGTAGGGCTTTGACAACGTGGTGAGGCCACCTCCTCCATCTAGCTTCAAAGCATTTTTGTCACCCACAATAATAGCCTGTGCCACTAAGCAGGCACGTCCCATCCCCTCAGCTCCCTGGTCCCTGGTGACCAGCATCTTCCTTCTGTATCTATGAATGAGTGTCCCTATTCTCTAGATTTCATATAAATGGGCTCATACAGCATGTGACCCTTTGTGTCTTCCATTTAGCATGTTTTTGAAGTTTGTTCACATTGTGGGGATATGTCAGTACTTCATTTTTATGGCTGAATTGCTATTCCATTATACGTACATAGCATAATTTATTCACTGATGGACATTTGGTGGTTGTTTCTACCTTTTATCTGTTGTTAATATGCTGCTGTGAACATTCACATCAAAGTATTTGACTACCTGCTTTCGTTTCTTTTGGGTATATACCTAGGAGTGGAATTGCTAGGTCACATGATAATTCTTTGTTTAACTTTTTGAGGAACCAATGGACTGCTTGCCTTCACCAATCTTAAAATTTTTTTAATGTTTATTTTTGAGAGAGACAAAACACAAGGGGGGAGGGGCAGAGAGAGAGGGAGACAGAATCTGAAGCAGGCTCCAAGCTCTGAGCTGTCAGTGTAGAGCCCAATGTGGGGCTCAAACCCATGATCCGTGAGGTCATAACCTGAGCCGAAGTCGGTCGTTAACCGACTGAGCCACCCAGGTGCCCTGCCTCCACCAATCTTAATAGGACCATCTGCAAATCATAGTTTGCTGCTGGGTCAGCAAAATGGAATGCTGTCATCCAGGGCTCACAAGTGTACTGTGAAACACTCATACTCGCGTTCTGCTGATGGACCTATTTTCAATGTGGCAAAATAGTTCTCAAAGCTTTAATAATTTCCAAACTCTTCAACATTTTAATCCCACTTTTAGAAATGCAAGAAACAATTTCACAGGCCAAAAAAAAAAAAGTGTTATGTTTGGTAACAAAAAATTGGAAACTAAAATTTTAACAAAAAATTGGTCAATGATTTACAGTATATCTATCTGCTGGTACATCATGTGGCAATAAAAAGCATGAAGTAGAAATGGGAATCTTTGATAGGGTTAATGAGAAGACCATAAAGCAGAATGTAAATCCTGTGAACAGAGATTAGAAAGTCATACGCAAAATTTGAAAGACTTGTGTTAGATGGTGATATTCTTGACAAGTTGCTTCCTTGTTAATATTCCCATATTATCTTCATAATTTAAAAAATCACAGAGTAATGTGTTTTCTATTGAAAATCTCTTAGCAACCTTCCCAGGCCTTCTTTTCCATCATGCTGATTGAAGGCCACATTGAAGTGCATGTTAATTCTGGGGACGGAACAAACCCAAGAAGAGCTGTGCTGCGTGCCCCCAAGGGCACCTACGGCGACGGGCAAGAGCACTCCATCTCTCTGCTGAGGACTGGGAGGTATTCATGTACAAGGCCACGGTGACCTTGGCAGTAGGGACCATGTTAGGATATTCTTTGCAGCGAAAGGATTGGGATGATTAGTATGAAGTCATGAACATTCTGAGATTTTATAGCTCCAGAATCACTCTGGTGCATCTGCTCAGTAATAAGATACTTGTGGAACTTTCACAATAAAGAAACCTTAACTCTGTTCTTGTGTGGGGCCCAGGATGAAATGTTTCACATCAGATTAATTCTGTGGCAGATAGTACCATGGTGGGAGTAGATGTCATTGCATCAATACTAAATAATAAATGTAAAAGAGTCTGTAGGAACACAATAACAGTAAAATAGTAAATAGCATTGTGTCAACATTCCTACATATATCTCTTCAAAGCTGTAGATAAGTAAACCAAATGTTTCAGAAGCATGCTGCACATTTTATCACAGGTCAAGGAAAAGAAACATGCTCTCCAAAAATCAATTGAACTCAGTAGCATTTGATAACATCCATTCATTTGGGGAGGATGTTCCATTGTTAAGTGTTAATTTTCAAGACTCACCTTTTTATTCACTTAGTGTCATTAAAATTTATCTTCAGTAAGAACTTGTGGAATTATGTATTAAAATAGTTATGTTTATTATATTTAAACGCTTTTTTCTCCTTTGACCTTTTAGCATTATCACTGTCCAACTGGATGAGACCAATCCTGTGGAAATGAAGTTGGGCCCATCAGCAGAAAGCAGGACAATCAATGTATCCAACCTGTACATAGGGGGGATTCCGGAGGAGGAGTGGACATCAGTGCTCAAGATGCGACGATCATTCCATGGCTGTATCAAAAACCTGATCTTTAATATGGAGTAAGTGTAACTGCTCTCAATGTGGTTTTGTGCTTCCTAATCTTTTAACGCTGAGTACCCACCCTGACTTGCCATCTAATTTTGCTGTGTGAGATTACCTAAAATCCTACAAGTTTCTGAATAATAGGTGAACCCCACTGTTCTATCCCAAGTCTCCCAAATGGATTCTACTGGGTTAGAACAATGGATAGATCTGGTAATCATACATTAAAAAAACAAACAAAACAAAACACATTAGTTCCATCGGACTATGAACAGACATCAGAGGTCAAATACACCTTGACGCTCACTACCGGGAATACAGATATCTTGTGATGCAAGTTTCTTGCTGTCTTGAACTCTCTGCTTTAAAGGAACTTTTACAGTGGGTTTCCCACAGCTTTGGGTGAATGGCTCCTCCCAAAACAGTTACCGTCTAAGATCTGCAAGTGTTTCCCCCGTGGAGCTCATCCTCAGGAAGGGAATAGACACGTGCCCGCGGGGGTCTATTTCCTCCTCACTCGCCCCCGGCCTGTGTGAGAAGGCTGGGGAAACAAAAGCAGACCTCCAGGTAGGGCCGGAGCCAGATCTGCCCAGGACACACAAGCCCCCTCCTAGCGGAGCTGCCGGTTTGCCTCGAGACCTCGCACAACGGCTTGGGCCTCTGATGGCTGCGCTGCCCCCTGTCAAAGAACCTCTTAGGAGTCCTTGGACTTGGAAAGAAGAAAACATTACACTGGGTTTCAGCACAGTGATCATGTCAGAGCCTTGTTCTGCTCACTGGTCAGCTGGTTTACGTATTCGCCCAGTTCTCTGTTTCTAAATAAATTGGCTCAGCATCTTAGTCCCGAAGGCCCCGCGGCTGGGAGTTCCGTAGGGCAGGAGTGTTTCCGCGCTGTCCCCAGCTGCGTCCTCAAGGCGCTGAGAGGGTAGGCGCGCACGGGGTGTGTTTTGAGGGCTGCAGAGCGAAGGCAACGGCATGACTGTGGGGCAGGACTGCCTGGCAGGTGTCCACCTGTAAGAAGGGACTCGGTGTTCACCTGAGGCCAGTGTGGTCCGCGAGAAACAGGGCCAGAATCTCTCACCCCTGCCAGGGCTGCGCTGGAGCCACGTCTTGAGGGATGCCCAGTGGTGGCCAGGACGATGCGGGGAGGGGCTGGGGCGGCCCGAAGAATCAAATGAGAGAATATATGAGATTTAGGGACTTCTAGTCACTGGAAGATGGTCACTTTGGTTTCACCAAGAGTAATATATTAATGGCGTCTCACGGACTGTGGTATTCAACCACCAAATGACTTTGGTTCACGTGTCAGCTTGTACGTAGTATCTTCGTTAATGTTGGAAACCCTGTGTATCTAGACATTTGGACTTCACGAGTGCGGGTGGCTACGAACAAGTAGACTTGGACACCTGCTTGCTTTCGGAAAGGCCGAAGCCAGCTCTTCGTGGGGAGGACAGCGAGCTCCCGCCAGAGCCTCAGCCTTTACCACGTCTGGTAAGAGGGGCTTTCCTTAATTCTATCAGTCGCGTCTGGTCAGAACGAAAGTGTGCAGCCCAGAGGAGGCTGAAAGGGGGACCTCGTCACAAAGGTGTTGGGAGAACCAAAGGAGCACCGTGGAGCGACACCGCGGGGGAGGTAGTGCTTCCAGGGCGTGGGAGTCGGGGCTGCGGGGTTGGGGGGGGGGGCGTCTGAGCAGAGAGGGTGTCCTGGTGAGCACTGGGGCACAGAGAATGAAGGGCCTGTCAGAGAGGCCACCTGGAGCTGGAAGGGAGGAGAAACACTCCAGCTTCTTCCATTCACCTGCCCTCCAACTCCCAGAGGAAGCCATTTTTCTTTATCTTTCTTTTAAATGTTTCTTTTTGAGAGAGAGCGTCTGTGGGGGAGGAGCAGAGAGAGAGAGACAGGGAGAGAGAGAATCCCAAGCAGACTCCATGCTCAGCACAGAGCCCGACATGGGGTTCAATCCCACGGACTGCGAGATCATCACCTGAGCCTAAATTACGAGTCTGATGATCAACCAATGGAGCCCCCCAGGAGCCCCAAGGAAGCCATTTTTCAAAGAAGCCTAGGAATGGTTGCCAGAGTCATCCCCGTGTTGAGAAGCAGAGCAGGGGCAGGGCTGGGAATGGCTCTCTGCTTACACAGCACAGCATTTACAGACAGCAGGCCCTGACAGCTGTCTTCATCGGACTACCATACAGCAGGCTTTTCGGAAGAGTTTCTATATGGACACATTGTCACTTTCGATTTAGTCAGAAACTGGAAAATAAGTCATTATGTAAAATAAAAATTGAACATTTATTTGTTGCTTGAAAAAAAATTGATTCATCTAGGAGAAGCCAAGTTTGACCAAGTATTTAAAAAATATTTTTTTTAATGTTTATTTTTGAGAGAGAGAGACAGAGCATGAGCAGGGGAGGGGCAGAGAGAGAGAGAGAGAGAAACACAGAATCCGAAGCAGGCTCCAGGCTCTGAGCTGTGAGCACGGAGACCGACGTGGGGCTCGAACTCATGAACTACAAGATCATGACCTGAGCCGAAGTCAGACACTTAACCGACTGAGCTACCCGGGTGCCACATGAACAAGTATTTTTAATGGCAGTTATTAGTTCTCATTCTCTTCTCCCTTTTCTCATTTCTCTGTTTCCTTGGTTGAAAACACGCATCTAATTATTTAGATGGTGGTGCAGTCGTACAAAAAGCAGTACCTTCCAAGTAGGGCTGATCTTTGAGCTGAGGACAGTGCTCTTGGTAGCATCTACCTACCCCAAGCGGTAGCCTCACGTGGTCCAGACTCACTGTGTGGATGGTGCGGCCAGGCCACGTGCAGGTTCCCCAGCAGCCCCCCTTCCAGCCTCGCTCCTCCCAGCTGGACCCTGCTCTTGTCTGGGAGGAATTAGAGACCCCTGCTGGTCACCTGTGGGCACTTCCGGTCTCCTGGTGCACATGCTGCCACTGATCCCCTGGGCCTTCCCCAGGGTGAGAGGCAGGGGAGGGCAGCAGCAAGGCCTTTGCCCCTTTGGCCTGATGAAAATTCATGGGGATTTTAAGCAAACTTAAAAGTTAAACTTAAGAGTGGGACTGAGGTGAAAAACAGAAGCTCTAATTGCCTTCTCAGATAAAGACACAGCAAGTACATGATTTAAAGCAGAGAATAAGTCCGTGCAAACGTGCATTTGTGGCTATTGGTGTTCCGATCCTGTTGCTTCTAAGATACTTTTGTACACATTGGTGGGGGCCCTGGCTCTGTGTGGCTGAGAGTTCGTCTGCGTCTCTTACAGGAACAGTGTGCTGTGGACAGGGCCCCCGAGTACGTCCCCAACGCTCACCAGTTTGGCCTCACGCAGGGCAGCCATTTTGTGTTGCCTTTCAATCAGCTGGCCGTCAGAAAGAGGTGGGTATTGTTCTAAAGTCTTTATTAGATGTCTCACTGACAAATGAATCTGGGAGGTATTCTTCAGACGAGTCTTTTCCAGAAGCTTCTTGTATTTTATTATGGAGTATTCAACTTGCAACCAAATGGCAGCAGTGAAAAGGCAGAGAGAGGAATGCAGCCTTTGTGTAATTCAGACGCTTAAAATGAGGTTCTGCAGGGCTCCTGGGGCTTGTCTTTCCCCTTCTTGATGAAGGCTAGCTGCTGCCTCTCTGTATGAATACAGGAAAGCATATAGGTAGGGAATCTCTCTAAGTCACTCTTGTTCCAGAAACTCCAGTCCTCTAGATCTAGCATCATCTGGACTTTTCAAGCCCATTCTCTTGTAAGCATTTACTAATGTGATCAAATTGTCCACCCAAACTCTTTCACTGTGCCTTTCAAACTCCCTGGTGCCACACCCACACCAGTCTGCATGTTCACTCTTGCCCTCACATCTGCTTGTCCCCGAGGACTCTTTGTTGACAAAGCCAGCTCACATCCCACGATGTGGCCTGGGGGAGTCCACCTTCCTCTGCTCCTTCGGCCTGCACCTGGTGTAACTGCCCCCCGTGATCACTGCCCCCATGGCACCGTCTTCAGACCTTGTGTCTGAAATGTCTCTGTTCCACAACTTGGGCCGTCTTTCTCCGTGAATCCAGCCACCCCACACCAGACCTTCCCGCTCCTCTGGCTCCTCTCTGTCCCAGGGCTCTTCCTCAGCCACCCTCTCCCCATGGTCACACACATCCTGGCCTTCTTGGTAAATACCTATCCCTCCTCCAACCAAAATCTCTACTTGACACATCCTATTAACCCACTCCTCCTCATTTCTGCTGCTACCTCCCATTCCAACAGCTCCTCAACTGCATCAAGACCTTGAACCCCTCATGCTTTCTCACCAACCCCCTCCCACAGCTCCCCTAGAACGGTCTATCCCCAGCCAAGAAGGGCACAGTGCCATAATTACTGGTGTTCCTTTGTAAACTTCCACCATGGCCCCGGGAAAAACTCCTACTTGGCCAATCTGTACCAGAACCCAAACTGGTGGTCAAGGCTGCAAAAGTGTGTCTCTCCTTCCTACCTGGTTTGACTTGAAAGCCACGGCCATTGATTTCAGATAGACCCTCCAGACTGTATGGGAAGCCAATACATTTCTCTATTATGTTCATTTTCTAAAAAAAAGTTTTTATAGCTTCTCTTATTTCAAAACTCTGCATTCCCATAGCCTCTCTTCATGCCCCAGCCAAGGACTGCCTCAGTGAACAGAGAACCCCCTCCTCCGCCCACTACCCAAAAGAGCACCCCCGCTGCCTTTGTCCCCACCCTTGTCTCTCTTCCCCTGCACCACAGAGGAGGGGTCCTGCTCCCTCTCTTGCTAGCCCTCGGGACCCCCTCACCCCCAAGCCATCACCCTCCTCCTCAGTGTTAAAGAGGTGCAAACACTTGTGCCACAGATTGCCTCGATATACCCCAACTCAGTCCTCAGAGTTCTTGTATGGGGAAGGCACCATCTTTATTTTATAGACAAGGAGACTAGGTAAGAGGGAAGTCAGGTCCCCAGCCTCAGGGCACACAGCAGAACCAGGATCCAAACCCAGGTGCTATGTCTGTGCTGGTCATTCCCTTTCTAGTAGATCTGCACCTCATTATTTTTTAATGTTTATTTATTTTGAGAGAGAGAGAGAGACAGAGCATGCATGTGCGCAAGCAAGCAGGGGAGAGGCAGAGAGGGAGAGAGAGAATCCCAAGCAGGCCTCATGCAGAGCTCAGGGCGGGGCTCCATCTCATGGATTGCGAGATCAGGACCTGAGCTCACAGTATCCTGGCTGTATTTCATAGTAAGACGTCTTAAAAGAGTTGCCTTATTAAAAAAAAAAAAAAAAAAAAAAAAAAGCTGCCTCACGTGGCAGTCTCCCTTTCCTCCCTCTCTTTTCTTCCCCGCCCGCCCAGTCAGCCTCCCCTCCCCTCCCCTCTGCATCATTCTTGCCACAGTTCTCCCAGACCTGCTGTGGCCACATCCCGTGGTGCCTTCCGTGCTGGGCCCTCGGCACTGTCACATGCCTTTGGCCACTCGGCCTCCTTGGCTGCCCTAGCCCCAGCTGCTCCTGATTTCCTGCTCACCCCTCCTCACCCCTGCTCAGCCTCCTTTGCTGGCTCCTCTTCCATCCGAGAAGGCCCAGGGCCTCTTCTGTGTATTCTTCCAGGGAGCTTCCACACTTCAAGGGCTGTAAAATAGCATCGATTTGCACCAGCTCCCACATCCCTGGCCCTGATGTCTGCTTCGAACTCAGGCAGTGTATGCCCGGCTGGCTCCTCCACATCTCTGCCTGGATTGGCACGAGCTCCTCACTATCAACATAACCAAAAGAGAATTCACAGTCTTCCCCCGCCCCTGCTCGCCCGATCTTTGCCATTTCTGTAGACCTCAGCACCGTACCCGTGGATGCCCAGGGCCCAAACCTAGAGACGGTGGTCTTTCCTGCCCTCCCCAAATTCAGTGCACCTACAGGTCTTACTGCTTCCTCCTCTGGAGCACTGCAGGAGTGAGTTCATCCCCTCTGTGTCCCCCACGGCCCCCTGGCCTCGTGGACGGCTGCAACAGCTGTCTGTGGACACCCTGGCCTCCTCGGATGGACTCTTCACATCAGAAGTCCCTTTTAAGATGTAAATCAAGCCATGCCCACTCCGCTTCTTAATACTGTGACTTCCCGCTGCGCTTGGAATCTAAATACTGCCTCCCGGAGGCCCTCATCCACGAGGACAGACCTACTCTCTTCCTTTCCCCGTCCCAGAGCGCTTTAGCGCCGTGCTGCCTCCTGCGGGGGGGAACCCAGACGCAGCCTTCCCTCCACTGCCGAGCGGTGCCGTCTCCCACGGAGCCCTGGCAGGGGGATCCCGGGCGGCCGCCCAAACCAAGCCCATCGTTCTAACCTGCCCAGCACTGTCTGAAAACAAAGTGCTGAGCTCTGTGCGGCTGGCTCCTGTCATTCAGGTCTCCGCGGAAACCGCACCCGTTCCGAGCTGCCTGCCCCGACTACTTAACGGAACCACCAGTTGGCCTCTCAGGACCCATGACCCAGTTTTCTCTCTGCTAGATTTCTAGTATTAGTTCTGTGGGAGGAGAAAGGACATTCCTCTTTGTCCACTGCTCCAGCCTCAGCATCTAGTACAGTTCCTGGCAGACACACGTATGTGGTAACTATTAGCTGGGTGAATGGATGGATGGATGGATGAAAGACTAATGAATGGCTCTCTGCTGGGCTGTTAAATATACGGGTTGAAACAGCCATTGGCATCTCTCTTGGAGGTTACTGTTACAAGTGAAAGTTTCTTTCTGAGGGCCGAGCTCTTGTCTTCCCTCCAGGCTCTCCGTTCAGCTAAGCATCCGGACGTTTGCCTCCAGTGGTCTGATTTACTACATGGCCCATCAGAGCCACGCGGATTATGCCATGCTCCAGCTGCACGGGGGCCGCCTTCACTTCCTGTTCGATCTTGGGAAAGGCAGAACTAAGGTCTCCCACCCGGCACTGATCAGTGATGGCAGGTGGCACACGGTATGCCCTCAGGAAGCTTGTGATCACTCGTGCTAAGGTTTATTCCACCCATCCCCTCGTATCCGCTCCAGTTCACCGTCATGAAATGATCCTTTTGATTTCCAGCTTGCTGTGTGTCCGCTGCCTCCGCTATAGAACATGAGCTGCTTGCAGGCAGGGACCTTTTCTGCATCCTGAGGCTTAGCTCGGTGTCTGACACCTAAAAGGCACTCCGGAGCTAACGCTGGTGGAATGAGTGAAAGGGACCAAAAATATTCTCGACTTGATGAGAAGTAAATCAAGCCTGCCCTTGATAAGGGTGGAGTGAATGGGCCAACCCTTAGGTCATGGCCTTTGCTTGCCTCTAACTAGGTCGGGAGAACTTCCTGTTCTAACGCGCGCGCTTTATTTTTATTTTTTTTTAATATTTTTTATTTATTTCTAGGAGAGAGAGAGAGAGAGAGAGAGAGACAGCGTGAGCAGGGGAGGGTCAGAGAGAGAGGGAGTCACAGACTGAAACAGGCTCCAGGCTCTGAGCTGGCAGTCAGCACAGAGCCCGATGCGGGGCTCGAACCCACGAACCGCGAGATCATGACCTAAGCGAAAGTCGGACGCTTAACCGACTAAGCCACCCAGGCGCCCCCTAACGCGCGCGCTTTAGCTGGGCCTGCTCTGGCCTCCTGCCCGGCTCGGTCTCCTCAGCAGCGACCGTGCAAAAATCGGAGCCGTCCTTTAGGACCTCATTCACGTTGTTACAGCTGTAATGAACAGATGTTGCAAACAAACATCTGTTACAGTTTTCTCAGATTCCTTAAAAACTGTGGATATTCTCATTTTGCTCTAGGTCAAGACAGAGCACTTTAAAAGGAAGGGCTTCGTGACTGTTGACGGCCAGGAATCCGCCACGGTGACCGCGGTGGGAGACGGTACCATGTTGGACGTGGAAGGAAAGCTGTACCTAGGAGGTCTTCCCTCTGAGTACAGAGCCAGGAACATTGGAAACGTAAGTTGCATTTCCTGTATGGAGCCCAGTTTGCCTTTATTGTGGTTGTGCTTTTGTTTTGTTTGTAAAGGAAAATGTTATTTGTTGAATTACCTTGTTTGAAACTGGAGCTTGGCTGCATTTAAAAAAAGTTTTTTTAATGTTTATTTTTGAGAGATAAGACAGAGCATGAGTAGGGGAGGGGCAGAGAGACAGAGGGAGACACAGAATCCAAAGCAGGCTCCAGGCTCTGAGCTGTCAGCACATAGCTGGTCGCCGGGTTCCAACTCACGAGCTGTGAGCTCATGACCGGAGCTGAAGTCACTCAACCCACTGACCCATCCAGGTGCCCCCAGTGACCCTAAGTATTACAGTATATGATATTTTTAAAAAATATTTTTAATGTTTGTTTTTGAGAGAGAGTGCACACAAGCAGAGGAGGGGCAGAGAGAAAGGGGGACAGAGGATCCGAAGCAGGTCCCAGACTGACAGCAGAGTCTGATGTGGGGCTCGAACCCATGAACCATGAGATCATGACCTAAGCCGAAGTCGGACGCTCAACTACCTGAGCCACCCAGGTGCCCCATGATGCACACCTTTTAAACGGCATCCCTAAGTTGTGTGGGGGCTTCCCCTGGAAGCTCAGCCGACCTTTCCTGTTAATTAACGAGCCTTTCCCTTTCCCCAGCCATTTAGCCCTGGTACAATGCAGGATGTCCAGTAGATTTATAGTTGCAGATTAGAAAACTCAGGGCCTTGATTCCCACACTACTTAATCAAAATAATAGAAAATATGTTTACTGCATTACGAGCCAAGATCTTACTAGCCAGTAGCTTTCAGTTAGATGTTTATGTAAACTGTTGTGGAAATTCGATTTTAAAAACCAAAAGTTAATATTTTAACGTGTCTTGTTGAAGCATTAAGAAAATTTTACCCTTGCCCTTCTGGTTATACTTAGTGTATCTATTCTCATGTCACTTGGTTTAGATCACCCACAGTGTCCCCGCCTGCATCGGGGAGGTGATAGTGAACGGCAGACAGCTGGACAAGGGCAGCCCAGTGTCAGCATCTGCAGTGACCAGGTGCTATGCAGTGGCCCAGGAAGGAACTTTCTTTGAAGGAAGTGGATATGCAGCTCTTGGTACGTGTTATCGGTGATCTGGAAGGCAACGTGTGGGTTTAGGCTGCACTCTGAAATGGATCCAATGGTCTGTCCTGATAGGATGGGATCCCCTGGACAGGCAGGCGGACCATCGTTAGTTAAGTGTTCCAGTGTCTTCTCATTTCTCAACTCCTAAGGCAGAAGCCTCCTCCCGCTCGTGGCCCCAGAGGGCCCAGCTGCTCCAGCCCGGAGAGCGGCTCCTTCCAGCAGAGGGCAAACGTGGTGCTGGTTCTCTCTGTACTTGCCCTGAATTTACGGAAGGCAGAATATTCTCTCTGCCCCAGTTAATAAAGGCCTGTGACAAAAATCAGTGCATCAAGTATCTAGACCAGCCAAATGCAAGTCAGATTTGATGAAGAAACGGACTCCCCTGAGACTGTTGACACTATGGATCCTAAGTAGAGGAATTTAAATGTCTAAAAGGCCTTCGAATGTCTATTCCTCAGGGCCCAGAACCAGCCTTTGTAATGGAGCCGGCCTTCCCTCTCCGTGTGATGTACTTGAGTTAGTGTTTCTCGCCTGTTTGCACTCCCAACCCTGCCCCTCTTGGCCTCGGTTCTGCTTCCTACCCCAGGAACCACAGGTGTCAGGGAGTCCTAGTGGGAGACCGGGGACGGCCGGGAGGAACGGAAAAGCCAGCACGCTTCTCTCCTTCCTCTGGGCTTCCACGCTCTGGTAACTCCACCTGCTCCCCACTTTCCTCTAACCCTGCGCTGAACAGCTGCCAGCTACGTATCCCCAGTTTGGATTCTCAGCTTTTCTAGCACTTGAATAAAATACCCATTAAATCCTTATGTAAAAAAAAACAAAGACAACAACAAAAAAACCCCCAAAACTAGTGTGGGTACTAATATGCTCAGTAAATGATGACATACTCGGTATGTGGATATTGGGAAAATAAAGTGGACTATTACTGGGTAGCTGATGAAGGGATTCTATGAATCAAATCCCTTCTGGCTTTTCCCTAGAGGAGAGAATGGGCCTGCCTGGGCTCTGGTCCGCCTCAGCCCCGCCAGGTTATCTTGAATAGCATCACTTCATCTTACAGATGAGGAATCTGAGGCCAGAGAGTGGAGGTGAGCTGCTGGCGAGGATGGAGATGGATTCAGAGAAACAGCTAGTGCCGGGGCCCCTGACCTAGGAGCCAAGAGGCACAGCCAGCTGGCCGGCCCACGGCCTCTCTGACTCTGAGCCTCCCTGGGCCAGGCTCACCCCTAACTCAAGATCATCCTTGTATCTTTCAGTCAAGGAAGGCTACAGAGTCCAGTCAGATGTAAACATAACACTGGAATTCCGCACCACCTCCGAGAATGGCGTCCTCCTGGGGATCAGCAGTGCCAAAGTGGATGCCATCGGACTGGAGATTGTGAATGGCAAGGTAGGTGCTTGGGGTCCTCCTTTGCCCTAGTGCCCGAGACAGCACAAATATCTAGATCCAGACTTCCATTGATCGTTTCAGTGGAATGGAGAAAAGGCTTAATTAATTAAAAATTAAAAATGACCAGAAAATGGAAATTAAAGTTAAAGCAAAATTGCAACTTTACCACACAGAAATCTTTTTTCCAGAGCCATCTCAAAGTTGCCAACCTGATGCTCTACCTTCCCTGATATGTGTTCCCTTTTTATTTGGAAGTAATTATGGATTGCTAACAAGTTATAGTAAAATGTATAGGGAGATCCTCCTGTGTTAGCATCTGCATAACTTTTTTTTAATTAAAAAAATGTTTTTTCAAACATTTGAAAGAGAGAGGGAGACACAGAAGCAGGCCCCAGGCTCTGAGCTGTCAGCATATGTGGGTCTCAAACTCACAAACTCTGAGATCATGACCTGAGCCAAGGTCAGACGCTTAACCTACTGAGCCACCCAGGGCCACAGCATAACTCTCCTACAACATCAGATCCATGAAATAGACACTGGCACACGCCAGAAGTTTTTCAGTTGCATTACTTATACATATACGTGTGTGTGTGTGTAGCTCTACACAATTTTGTTTAGCTTTATGTATCCACCCTCACAATCAAGTCACTTAATTGTACCTCAAGGCTCCCTCAACCCACCCCTTCGTATCCACACCAACTCTCTCCCCAACCCTGGGCAACCACTGATCTGTTCTCCAGCTCTCTGTTAGCTCATGAGTGTTATATAAATGGTACGATACAGTATATATTCTCTTGAGATTGGGTTTTTACACCCAGCCTCGTTTCCTGCCATTGATCTGTGCTGTTGTGTTTATCAACGGTTCATTTTTTTTCCTTGTTAACTATTACGCTCTTGCTTTTCCATTTCCAGTCCTTCCCATGCTCGGAACAAAATGAACTGAACAATTAGAATACCTTAGTCTCTTTTGCTTGAAAACTGCCTCCAGGGTTTCTCCTGGTTCTCCTGCTCCTTCCTCACCCCACTGGGGCTATGTGGATACAGGCAAGATGTAATGTCCTTTCTTTTCTGTAAGCTCTCTCCTGACCGTAGCTGAGGTGTGGCTCCGCTCTCCTGGTCTTCAGGCCCCACCTCTGTCTTTTGTGGCCTGTGCTCCCCGGTGAGCTGTGACGAGTGGTGTGGAGTTTCAGCTCTCGCCAGTGTGTGGGGACTGATCCTGGAGATCTGGCCAACATCCCTTGCAGATCAAGCTTCCCGTCAGGGACACTGCTACCTTTTCAGCCATCTTCTGTGTCCCCCAGAGGACCCTAGGAGAACTGGCGAGCTGTTGCCAGGCCACTCCTAGACCATGGGGATGAAAGGCGTCTCTCAAATCTCCTCTCTATCTAACTACACTTGGCCATTTCTCTTGCACTGTGGTCAACTTGTGTTGCTCTGGAACTAAGATGCTTGAACCTACTTAAGCTACTGCCTCCTGCAAGGGAAGGAACAAGTCTCTGTGCTCTAGTTTTTTCCAATTGTGTTTGCAATCTCATTTGCTTGTTTCCAGTAATTCTGCTTCTCCCCACTGGGTTTCTGGCCGCTCAGACATCCTAGAATGGGGGTGAGGAGGATGTAAGAAAATCAGAGCTGCCCCTTGCCCTTCACCTCTTAGTTCATCTTCATGTCTAAACAGAGCTGCCTCTACATCATAGCGCTTGCCTCTCTACACTGTGGCTTATAGCCAAAGGCTGTCTCGTCTGTGCTTCAAAAGAATTTTGAAAAATTTTTGTATCATTTGCACATTTTTATGTGACATCTAAAAAATGTTATTGGAAACGTAACAGTTGCCAAAAATGTGATTTCTGATGTATATTTTACCTCTACTATTGGCTTATTTTTCCTTTAAAACTTTTCTTAGCTGTTGCCCGAGGGTCTGTACTGTACATCTTTAATTTATCAGAGTTGACCTTGAAATACACTCACCTCTACAATACTATACTTACACGTCTTCCCTGCTCTCTTTTGCAAGTCTTAGATTTTTCTGTGCTACAACTTGCTGTGGTAGGTAGGGTACCTATCGTCTGTCACAAGAGAGTCTGTAAATGTTCCTTCATCGGTGTGAGCCACCTACTATGAACTGACCGTCTACACCCATCAGCTCCTGCAGCCCTGAAAATGGCCCTGCTTTGAGGGCAATGGCTCGGGCTTGTTCCCATGGGGTGGTCATTGATCCTTTCTGTAATTTCGGGAGTGAGGAAATCTGAATCCTTTGAGGTTGTTTCACAATCACTGTTTTTCATCGCTTACCCTCCTTTTTAGCAGAATGTTGGGATTTATCTACTCCAAGAGCATTACGTAAATGGATCGTGTTCCTTCAATATGGAAAAACTCACCAAGGTATTTGCCTGTGTCTTGGTTGTTTAGATCTTGTTTCACGTTAACAATGGTGCCGGGAGGCTAACCGCCGCGTACAAACCGCCAGCTGCCAGTGCTCTGTGCGACGGGAGATGGCACACGCTTCAAGCTCAGAAAAGCAAACACCGCTTGGCTCTGATTGTGGATGGGAATGCAGTTCGTGCCGAAAGTCCACACACGCAGTCCACCTCAGCAGACACCAACAATCCCATTTATGTCGGCGGCTACCCAGGTACGTATGGGTGTCTGCTTTGCCCGTCCACTTTGAAGCAGCACTGTCAGTTTAGCTGGATACAGAATAGGGATTAAGAAAAATACATGGTTTCTAAAAAACCATTCTAAAAAATACATACTTTCTAAAAATGCATTCCTTTACATTTCTAAATGTATTCCTTTACATTTTTAGAAAGTCTATTTCAAATACCTCGAAGTTCTCAGAAAAACTAAAATCTGTGCACGTAAATTCATCATTAGGTAAGGCTCTGAGAACACAGATGCAATGTAAAGTAAGCTAGATGACCCCCCAGAGTAGGAGATCATTTTAGGGCGGGTAACCATTTTAGAGGACAAAGAAACATGGTCTTACCCTCTCACACGGATCCTGGATTTGAATTCTATGTTTCGGATGTTCGCAGTGCTTATTACAAATGACAACACAAACATCTCGTTGATGACTCTTAAGTCATAACTATGCCTTAAAATTACTACACATTAAAAGTTTTCATGGACTTATCACAGAAGCCTAATTTTGATGAAGAAATTACTCGATATTATTTTTTGCCCCTATTGTGCTATTCGTGCAATTTAATAGAACTAAGCCAGACTTCCCCTCTCTTCCTTAACAGCTGATGTGAAGCAGAACTGTCTGAGCAGCCAGACGTCCTTCCGGGGGTGCCTGAGAAAGCTCACCCTGATTAAGGGCCCACAAGTGCAGTCCTATGACCTCAGCACAGCGTTCCATCTACAAGGGGTGTCCCCCCATTCCTGTCCTGGGGGTGAACCCTGAATTTCAGAGCAACTCCGCAGGTGGGAATCGTTGCTTGCATTTTGAGAATTGTTTTTGTGAATTAAAGTCTCTTCAGTTCTGACTTCATTTTCAACTCAGGTTAAGTATTTCCAGAGAGAAATTTTGTGCTTCTATAAACCGAAACCATGTGTACAACGAATACCTCTATTAAATAGTTAAAACTGTAAACTGAATTCAGTGGCTCTTTCTTTGTAAACATTGAATATTCTGTTGGTTACTTGACAGTTTTTGATGTTTTGCATTTTGAGTTTTATAAAAATACTGAGTCTGGTCCAAGATAGTGTTGTAGGAAGACCCTGAACTCACCTCCTCCACAATCTATACCTATTTTATAGAGCCGTTCCTCCTGAAGAACTGAGGGCTGGCTGGCTTCTGTGCAACAGAGCACATCAAGAATGGCCAGAGAGGTGGGGACATGGTAACAAAAGGAGCCCCCAGCCCTGTGAACTGCGGTGGGGAAGGTTAGCACAGAGGGACCATGAGCTGATCTGTCTGCTCTACAGCACAGAAAAGACCATCGTTTAAAAGAGCAACTAGTATCTAAGAGATCCTGCCTTGTAACTCCACCAAACGAGAGAGCTGCTGGAACTCTCTCTGGGTCAGAAGGGCTGGCAAGTGCCATGGCTTACACGCGCCCAGACACCCTGATAGCACAGACAGGAGCAGGGTCCGGTGCCGAAGCTGGCCTGCCACTCAGCACTGGGTGCCCCGGGGCACAGCAAAAAAAAGCCATGGTATAAAAGAGCAATAGAATGTAAAAGAGTCAGCCCTGACACCACCAGACAGTGGGGGAGGAGCTGGAACTCTTTCGAGGTTCGATGGACTGGCGAGCGCCATGGTCTACACTCCCTGTCTGCCTTGATAGTGTAGATGGGAAGAAGGGCCAGGCAGCAGAGCTGGCCTACTGCCTCACTGAGTCCTGGGCCACTAGCGCACACCACCCCGGCCATTCCACCAAGGTGGCCCTGAGACGGCGCACACCGGAACACCCCTGGTCAGTGCTCACTACAGCCCCAGCCATCCACTCGAGGTGAGACAGGCACAGAGCACCCCCAGAATATTCCAGGCCTGCACCACTCCAGCTCCAGACTGCTTGCTAGGGCACCCCGGTAAAGGGCATGCTGGGACTTCCTGGCTCATGCTGCTTTGGCTCCAGCCACACCCCCGGGGCAGACTGTCCCAGGATACCCTGACCTGTACAAGTTTTAATCACCACACTAGGTCACTCCCTGTGCTTGTACCCACTTCGGCTTTACCTGTCCTCAAGGATGCCTTCTGGCCAGAGAGCCCTGGAACTGCCTGAGTCATACTCACATCAGCTACAGATGTCCTGCCCAGGTGCCCCATCCATGGAGCACCCTAGGTACCCCTGGCCTACCTCAGTTACAGCTGCCTCCCCAGAGTGCCCACTGCACGGAGAGCCCTGAAACACCCCAGCCCACATCCGCTTCAGCTGTCCTTCAGGGTGCATGGAGCACTCTGGGACAGCCCAGCCCATGCCCATGCCAGCTCTAGCCATCACACCAGGGCAGCCCTAGCACGGAGTGCCACGTGATCCCCAGCCCACACCAGACCCGGCACCAGCTAGCCAAATCCATGAAGACACACACGTTCTACACAGATGACCATACACAAGCCCACGCCTTCAAGTTTAGAAGCGCTGTTCCACCTAATTCAGAGGACCAAACACAGAAATGCAAGTAAAGTGAGAAGACAGGGACATATGCTCCCAATGAAAGAACAAGACAACAACTCAGAAAAAGAACTAAATGAGATGGAGATAAACACTATGTGTGATAGAATTTAAAGTAATGATTATGAAGATGCTCACCAGACTGGAGAGAAGAGTGGAAGAACTCAATGAGAACTTCAACAAAGAGACGGAAAATATAAAAAAGAATCAATCAGAATTGAAATTAATAACTGAAAAAAATACACTCTAGGACGTCAATAGATTAGCAGAGGCAGGACGGGTCAGCAGTCTGGGCAGACAGGGTAATGGAAAGCACACCAGCTGAACAGCAAAAAGAAACAGGATCTTTTAAAATGAGGACAGGTTAAAGGATCTCTTAGACAACATCAAGCAAACATTTACATGATAGGGGCCCAAGAAGACAACAACAGAGAGAGAAAGGAGCAGAAAACTTATCTGAAAAATAATCGCTGGGTTGTCCTGGGGAAGAAACAGACATCTAGGTTCTGGAAGTACAGAGTTCCAAGGAAAAGGAACACAGGAAGGTACACAACTAAACACAAAATTAACATGTCAAAGGTTAAAAATAAACAGACAATTTCAAAGCAAAATTTTACATACAAGGGAAACCCTATAAGGCTGTCAACTGATACTTTAGCAACTATTTTGTAGGCCAGAAGGGAGTGGAATGATCTATTCAAACAGCTAAAAGGCAGAAGCTTACGACCAATAATACTCTACCCAGCAAGATTATCATGTAGAATTCAGATACAGAGAAATAGTTTCCCAATCAAAAATTAAAGGAGTTCACTGACACTAAACTGATCTTATAAGAACTGTTAAAGGGACTTCTTTAAGTGGAAAACAAAAGGTCATAGTTAGAAGAAAATTATGAATAAATAGATGTAAAAATATGACAGCATATCCATAAAAGGAGGAGGGAGTAAAAAAAGTTCTTTTAGGATGTGTTCACAGTTAGATGACCATCAACTTAACATATACTGCCATCTTCTCAGGATCCCATACATGAGCCTCATGGCAACCCAAACCCCAAAACATGATACATAAAGAAAAAGAAAGCCAAACATGACACTATAGAAAGTCCTCAACTGCAAGAAAAGAGAGCAAGAGAAGAAGGAACGGGAGGGAAAGGGAAGATGAGAAGGAGAGGGAAGACAAGAACTATAAAGACCACTAAAAACAACTAACAAAATAGCAATAGGTACATACCTCACAATAACTATATTAAATGGACTAAATGCACTAATCAAAAGATATACAGAGGCAGAAAGGATAAGAAACAAGACCCATCTATATGGTGCCTACAGGAGACTCCCTTCAAACCTAAATATAATACAGATGGAAAGTAAAGGGATGGAAAAAGATATACCATGCGAATATGGGGGAGCGGGGGGGGGGGGGCGCGGAAGCAACACTCACACCAGACAAGATAGACTTTAAAACAAAAACTATGATAAGAGACAGAGAAAGGCAATACGATATGATAAAGGGGTCAGTCCAACAAGAGGATACGTAAATATCTATGCACCCAACACTGAAACACCTAAATACATAAAGCAAATAAATATAAGAGGAAAAATCGACAGTAATACAGTAATAGTAGGGGACTTCAATACCCATTTACATCAAAGGAAAGAATATCCAGGTAGAAAACCAATAAGGAAATAGTGTCTCTGAATGACATATTAACGAGACAAACCAGGTATGTATAGAACATTCCATCCAAAACCAGAGAATACACAATTTTTTCAAGTGCACATGGAACACTATCTAGGATATTTAGGTTATCAAACAAGTCTCAATAAATTTAAGTTTAGGATTGTATTGTGCATCCTTTCCACAATTGTATGAAACAAGAAATCAACCACACACACACTACACAAAACACAAACACGTGGAGGCTAAACAACATGCTACTAATAAACAGTAAATGGGTCAACAAAGAATTCAAAAAGGAAATAAAAAAATTCAGAGACAAATGAAAATGAAAACACAATAGTTCGAAAGATGTCAAACTGTTGTGATTTCATTTTCATCTGAGAAACTGAAAACAGTTCTAAGAGAGAAATTTATGGCAGGAAAAGACCTACCTCACTAAACAAGAAAATTTTCAAAGAATCTAATCTTACTCCTAAAGGAACTAGGAAAAAAAAAAAAAGCCCATTTAATCTACAATAAAGGAGTCAACAACATACAATGGGGAAAGACCATCTCTTTAACAACTAGTGCTGGGGACACTAGACAGCAAAAGAATGAACTGGACCACTTTCTTACACCACACACAAAAATAAACTCAAAATGGGTTAAAGGCCTAAATGTGAGACTTGAAACCATAAAACTCCTTGAAAAGAACATAAGCAACAATTTCTTGGACATCAGCCATGACCTTTTTCTAGATATGCCTACTGAGGTGAGGGCAATAAAAACAAAAATAAATTTGGACTACACCAAAATAGAAGCCTTCTGCATAGTGGAGGAAACAATCAACAGAACAAAAAGCCAACCTACTGAATGGGAGAAGATAATTTGCAAATGATACATTTTATAAGGAGTTAATATCTAAAATATATAAAGAACTTATACAACTCAACTTCAAAATACTCAAATAATCAGATTAATAAATGGGCAAGGATCCAGACATTTTCCAAAGAAGACTTAACAGATGGCCAACAGACACATGCAAAGATGCTCAACATCACTAGTCATCAGGAAAATGCAAATTAAAACCACAATGAGAGATCACCTTATACATGTCAGAATGGCTAAAATCAAAAGGACAAGAAATAAGTACTGGTAAGGATGAGGAGAAAAAGGAATCCTTGTGCACTACTGATAAGAATGTAAATTGGTGCAGCCACTGTGAAAAAAAGTATGGAGATTCCTCAAAAAAAAAAAAAAAAAAATACAGGTGTCTGGGTGGCTCAGTCAGTTAAGCATCCGATTTCAGCTCAGGTCATGATCTCACCATTCATCAGTTCGAGCCCAGCATCAGGCCCTGTGTTGACCACCCAGAGCCTGGACCTGCTTCAGATTCTGTGTCTCCCTCTCTCTCTGTCCTCCCCTGTTCACACTCTGTCTCTCTCAAAAATGAATAAACATAAAAATTTTTTAAATTAAAAACAGAAATAACATATGATCCACTAATTCCACTATAGGATATTTACCCAAAGAAAACAAAAGCACTAATTCAAAAAGATTTATACATTCCTATCTTTACTGCAGTATTATTTACAATAGCCAAGATATGGAAGCAACCCCAGTGTCCATGAGTAAATAAATGGATAAAAAATGAAAAGTATACATATAAAATGAACAAAAAGCAGAAACAGACCCATACATACAGAGGGGAGTGAGGTGGGGGAATGGGCAAACTGGGGGAAGGGGAGTGGAAGGTACAGACTTCCATCTATGGAATGAATAAATAATGGGGATAAAAGTAATAGCACAGAGAAGG